GCGTCAGCAGACAGCAGGCTCGCACTACATAAGAACTCGGATGCGGAAGCAGAAGCCGTACCGAAGGGTACTTTACAGCTGAAGTACAACGGCAACACACTTGTATTCATATCGAAAAGCTCATCTACAGGTTGCCAAACTCACTTTTTCTGGTGGTTGATGAAGCGCAACGCCAGCGCGGCCCAGATGCGGAACAGCACGATGATGCCGAGCGTGATGCCGAAGTTGCGCGCGATCTGGTGGTGCTTCATGCCGAAGTACTCCTCCGTGTACTCCTTGATGGTGATGTGGCCCACGGTCTCCGGAGCGTCGGCCATCGGCTGGCAGCCGAGCTGCGAGCCCACGTTCTCGTACGACTGGGTGGCCTCGTTCCACGTCGGCAGCTCGTCGCAGTCGGCGAACACGAGCGCGATGAGGTTGGCGATGGGGAACTTGAAGGGGCAGATGTCGTACAGCCACGTGTAGCCCGACGGGATCGCGTAGGCCGGAGGGCTGAAGCCGATGAACATCATGAAGATCGAGTTGAAGAGGATGCCGGTGATCTGAGCGACCTCCTCCGACGGCATGGCGTACGCGAAGAACTGGCCCAAGTACACGAACATCAGCACCAGCAGAGCGGACTCGAGCCAAAACACCACAGCCGTCCAGAACCCCGTGAAGCCCACGAACCAGTAGAAAACGACGGTGAACAGCAGCGAGCTGACGAAGCAGTACGGGATCTCCGCCAGCGTCGAGGCCATGAAGTACCAGAACGCATTGAAAGTCTGACTTGCGCGCTCACGGTAAAAAGACTGGCGCTCGGCGCACGTGAGAGGCATCACGCTCTGGAACACGGCCATCGAGCTGAAGAACGAAGACATGAAGACCATGCCGACGCCCGAGTTCAGGCCCGAGTACGACGCGTAGTCGTCGTTGCCGACGAAGATCAGGCCGAAGAGCAACGCCAAGAAGATGGCCAGGTACATGCGCGTGAGGTTGTAGCTCGGTGTTCGCCAGTACATCTGGAAGAACCGCCACACGACGAACTTCATCTGCGTCATGGAGCTGGCCGCACGCTTCTTGCCGAAGACGATCTCCGGGAGGTCTGGGGACGGGGTAGTGATGCCTTCCTTCGCCATCGTCGTCTCCAGTTGCTGGTTGTACGGACTGTTCTTGAAGTAGCTCACGAAGTCCATCGAGTCCTTGGATCCGTGGCCCACACCGGCGCCAATGCACTCCAGCATCCACGTCGCGGGGTTATATCCGACTGGAAGCGGGGCCACGCCGGGGATGTTCTCGAAGTAGTCGATCAAGTTGCGGCAGTCCTCACCCAAGTCACCGTAGAACGCGGTCTGGCCACCGCGCTGCAGCAGCAACAGTCTGTCGAACAGGTAGAACACCTCAGCCGAGGGCTGGTGAATGGTACAGATAATCGTACGACCCGAGTCGGCCACCTTACGGACACCGTCCATGATGATCTTGGCCGAACGCGCGTCCAGGCCACTCGTCGGCTCGTCCAGGAAAATCACACTCGGCTGAGCAGCAAGCTCCACACCGATCGTCAGTCGCTTCATCTGCTCCACGGAGCTGCCGCGGATGATCTGGTCTGCGATGTCTTCAAGTCCGAGCAGTTCGATGCATTCGTCCACGGAGTCGTACTTCTTGGCGTCCGAGATCGATGCATCCTGGCGCAGGAAAGAGCTGAAAGTCAAGGCCTCGCGAATCGTGGCCGCCTCCGAGTGCACGTCCATCTGCTCACAGTAGCCCGTGCAGCGGCGAATGGCCAGGTCAGTCGCCTCATAGCCGTTCAGCATGATCCTGCCCGTGATCTTGCCACCAGTCTTGCGGCCGGCGATCACGTCCATTAGCGTCGTCTTACCGGCACCAGTAGAGCCCATCAGCGCAGTGATCGAACCGGGGACAGCAAAACCGTTGATGCCCTTGAGCAGCTCGAGTTGCTCCTTCGGGTTGTGAGGGTCCGGCACCCAGTAGTGCAAATCCTGGAACGCCACAGTCACCGGTACGAAGTTCTTCTCACGCGTGTGAACGGGAAGATCAACGACCGCGTCGGCACCACGTTTTGCACCCTTCGGTGTTTCGGCGAGTACGTACGAGTTCTCAAGCTCGGCCGACTTGTCCGACACATCGACGTTGTCAGGAGTTTCGTAGCGGATGTACTCCATCGCCAGGTACGACAGGAACATGAAGAAGACGTACACGGCCAGTAAGTAGATGATGGCGTACGCGACCCACTCCTTCTCCGTGGCGATACCGAACAAATTCAGGTAGTACTCGCCCATGTTAAGACCGTCGTACTTGGCGCAGTAGTCCACGCCGTCGTACACGCACACGTCGAAGTCGCTGGAGCGGTACTGGTTGATGGCCAGCGCCTTGAGAGCCCACGCAATTGGGCTAATCCAATGCGCCCAGATGAGGTAGTCGGGAATTTGGCTCTTGGTCACGATGAAGCCCGCGAAGATGATGAACACGAGGATCGAGACCATGCCCACCGGCATCACCACGTTGGCGTCGGGCAGCGCTCCAGCGAGGAAGAAGAACCACATGCCCATGGCCAGGTTCGACACGAACAGTACGACCTCGAAGATGATGAACAGCTTCACATCGGACGCGAACCCGCAGACCCAATAGACGATCGACCCGAAGATGATGGTCTCGGCCAGCGCCAACGGGATCTGGCTCACAGTCGTCGCTAGAACGTAGGACCCCGTTCGGAAAAAGTTGGCCCGGCGGTGCTTGTAGAAAATGTCTCGCCCAGCAATGTAGACCGGGATCATCGAGCCTTGGCCCATGGAGAGGAACATGACAGTGGCGAAGATCACTCCCATGACCACGGAGATCTGCGTCGGGTCGAACTGGTAGAAGATGGAGCAGTAGATCAAGCCCATGATGATCACCATCATCAGTCGCCCCATGACGAACGCCTTGTTACGGTACGTGATGAGCAGCGCGCGCCACTGAAGCGCCAGCACACTGGCAAATACAGACTGGTGGAAAGTCGGCATGGGGTCGATGATGTCCTTCACACTCGCGACCAGCTTCGGGTCATACGGCGCCTCCAGTGCAGCCAGCGTGTTGCGGTAGATCCGAGACTGGCCGAAGCACTCCGCGAACTCCCTCGGGCTGCGGGGCTGCTTGGTCGGGTGGGAAACCTCGTAGCGGTGCTGCTGCTTCGTACCCAGGTCCAGCAGGTAGTCGGCGATGTCGCGTCCCGGGGGACACTTGAAGCCCAGCGTCTCGAAGTATTCCTCCACCTGACTGCAAGGTCCGTGGTACATGAGCTCGCCCTCGTTCAGGATCATGACGTCGTCGAACAGCGAAAACACCTCCGGGGACGGCTGCAGCAAGGCAATGACCACCGTCTTGCGGAGTCGGTGGGCCACACTGCGCTGCGTGTTGATGATGTCGTACGTGGCGGCACTGTCGAGGCCCGTGCTGATCTCGTCCATGAGCGACACGTACTTCATACCGAACTCCATTTCACCAGTCGTAACGCGCTTACGCTCACCTCCAGACACACCGCGCAGCATGTTGTCGCCCACGACAGTGTCCTGGCAGATCTGCAGTCCCAGCTGCTGGATCACAACCTCCGGGTAGTGAGCGAAGATCCTCTTGGTGGCTTCAAGAGCCTCCTGGTCGCTGGTGTGCTGCGCACCCATGTCCAGCATGCCCTTGCCATGCTCCAGCAGCTTACCACCGCAGAAGGTGTGGGCGAACTCGAGCGTCTCCTTGACGGTCAGCGTCGGGAAGTGCTTGTCACGCTGGTTCACGTACGACACGAACTGCGGCAGCTTATCGACGATCTGCTTGTGGGCCACACTGTTGAACGACACGTCGCCCTCCATGGTGATGTTCTTCGCCATGGGGAAGCGGCCACTGAGGACCTTCATAAGAGCCGACTTGCCGGAGCCCGGTTGACCCAGCAGCAGCGTGATCTTGCCCGGCGCGAAGCGGCCACTCACGTTCTTGAGGATCTCCTTGCGCACCGTGAGCTTCTTGGGGCCCATGAGCGTCTTCTTGAGCTCGTTCGGGATGGTCGGCAGCTCGTACTTGGTGGCGTGGTCGTCGGCCACGACGATGTCGGCGGACAGCGACAGGTTGCTGAAGCGCACCTCCATCTCCGGCAGGGGGCGGCCCATTGCCGCGTGGATCTTGGTGGCCATGAGTTCGTGCAGAGCCTGCGGGCCTTGGGCCATGAGGGTCTTGCCCGACTCGTAGCTGAGCTCGGGGCCCTCGACGGCGGACTGGTCAGCTGCGGCGGAGGAAGGGTTCATGGTCTTGACTGACCTCTGCAAGAGGCAGGAAATTCCAGAATGACTGGGAGACGCCAGCCTTGGTCCAAGGCCCTCGGTCTCCGAGTCGGAGGGGCATGTCGGGTGCGTGGCTCGCAGAGCGCAGTGCAGTTCGGCTGCATAGATAGCGGTACTTGTGCACGTTGAAGTGTTCCGCGCAGAGAGCGGGCTCGCCATAATCAGGACCCAAAAGAACGTTTGAATGGACCCTAATTTAGATGTTTATTTGATATTTGATATTTCCGAAAAGTTGGATAGTGAAAGTAAGGTTTTTCTGGCAGTGCCAGATGCTTACGCTCGGCTAGATTGGGCTGAGGCCCAAACGAAACACCATGTTGATGGCAGCGGTACACTGTATCAGCAACTAGAGGTGTCAGCGGATCAGTAGCGATCAATCCAGTCGCGCGTCCCCATTGACTATCGTGCCTTCGGGCTTGCCCACCTCGATCGGTCCCATGCTGGACTTGGAGGCAGGCCTTTGACCATCCTTTATTAGAGCTGTGAGCTGCCACGAACCACAAGATCTCTCGACAAGGCATTCCACTTGAGCTTGCTTCCGATCGACGCCGGGAGAGGTCATGTTAAACTGCAGCGTGGGAGCCCCTGAATAGCATCCCAGTTTCCTTGAAAAGCGAAATCAACCAGCTGCTCGCTGCCCACCCAAAGACCCATCGACGCTGAGCGACATATTGTTGCGTGGTTGCATTGAGCTCTCGACCTCAGTGAGGTCCAGGGCCTGGGGTGAGGTCCTCGCCATGAGTGATGCGAAAGCAACATCTGTGCATGAGTCGCTTCGGCTATGGTGCGCCTGATCGCAAAGTAAGCCTTCAAGAGCGGGACAAACACTTCAATGTTGGTTGTCATTGACAACTTGTCAGAAATGTGGTGCGCTGTTCTCACCAAATGCAAGACGGCAGGTAGGACGAGTTGAAATGGCATGGTGAGTAAATTACAGGTTGGTCGTGTGTGCTTCTGTTAATAACTGTAAATGCACTAATAACGTTATAATAAGTGTACGCTTAGTCATGCCAGCATACAGAAACAGAAGGTAACAGCCGGACCACACCTAGATTGGACAGCAAACTTGCAAGGATGAATTCTAGCTGTTGGGAGACATACATGTAGTAGCGTTTCTAAATGTCAGAACCACACTGCTCTCATTTTCAACTGCACGCAGCCGTGCTGCTGTTTTATTTTATGCGGCGCGAACCGATAACAAGTACCTACTCACGCCAGCCTTGCAGGAGATACTACTAATAATCATGGTACTCTGTTGTGGCAGCCTTAAATTCACGCTTCCAGAAATGACCGTGTAAGCCCAATCGCCGTAGGATGCGACGGTAATAAGTAGTGTGATGCGCCAACGATCTAGCCAAAGGCAATCTGTCAGATGCCAGATCAACAAAATTCCACGAAAACAAGGAGCTCGTACCTGGTGCCGGAATTCGCCTGGCATCGTTGTCTCCTCGACCATCACCAGACCGTCATTCGGGTAGTTGTGCTGGTTGAATGGATTCAGGCAGAGCTTGCCAGCCAGCACGAGCGGGTAACATCGGCGCGGGAGTTTCCCTAGCCGCTCATCCAGCTCTTCAGCGGATAAAGTCGCCAGCTCCTCCGCTGCTACGCCGCCGTATCCTGCCATGCCGATGTGCTTCTTCATCGAAGCGTGGTACCGTATTCTGCACAGTAAATAAGCATGGCACACATCAGTTCTTTTGCAAAAGCAAAGAAACAATCCATCCCCTCCACCACGCAAGTTTTACCCTCGATTCGGAGGCGCAAGCATCACCACTTTGGATTTTGTGTAGTTCCAGTCCACAGATCGAAATGCTTCCTGGTAGCAGCAATATTTAAGGAGAAAATACTGGAGTTTAGCATTAGAACCGCGTACACCCCGCCTCAAGTCAATTCATTACCCGCAGCACGAGAGCGCCGTATCCGTGCGTCACGAAGTTTACAGCCTCGTCCGTCGTGTGCGGTTTCTGGCTCTTCAAAAATGCCGCCAGCTCTGATTGCATGGAAGAGGATCAACGCATCGAAATGAATTAGCGCACTACCAGTGCAGCGCTACGCCTCGTACGCAAATTGCACCGCAACCTTTGCCAGAGGTGGCGAGATCCTGAGAACGCGGCCGGAAGCGGAAGGGCTGCACGTCAAAGCCTCGCGCCGCGTGCAGATACAGCTCCAGCGGCCGCAGCGGCAGCGAGCCGCCGTACAAGTCGTGCACGGTGACCAGCACGCCCCGCGCCAGCATGGCCCCGCCGCGCCGGTCGATCGCCGCGCTCGCCATCCTCACGGTCTCATCAGTTGCACAAAAACAAAAACAATTACATGCTAAAACAAAACCGCTCGATCAATTGAATTAAAATTATGGTCCATAATTACGTTAATCTGGTCCCATTTGTCAGTTTAAATCCCAGTATGTTTAATTCACGCCTATCAGCCATTTTTCCATTATTGTGAGCTGCAGCGCACACCAAGAGAAGACAACGATGAACGCGACGGCCCCCGGCGCGCAGAGCGTGCACGGCGTGAACCCGCAGACGCTGGTGGAGAAGATCATGCGCAACCGCGTGTACGCGAGCGTGTACTGGAAGGAGCAGTGCTTCGGGCTCACGGCCGAGACGCTGGTGGACAAGGCCGTGGAGCTGACCGAGTTCGGCGGCACGTTCGGCGGCAACCAGCAGCCCACGCACTTCCTGTGTCTTCTGCTCAAGATGCTGCAGCTGCAGCCGGAGCTTGAAGTTGTGCGCCAGTTCATCGAAAACGACGACTACAAGTACGTGACGGTGCTGGGCGCCGTGTACCTGCGGCTGGTGGGCAAGCCCCGCGAGGTGTACGAGCTGTTGGAGCCGCTGCTGAGCGACTACCGCAAGATCCGCAAGCGCAACGTCATCGGCTGGGAGATCACCCACGTGGACGAAATCGCGGACGCGTTGCTCAACGAGGAATACTACGTCGACCTAGCGCTGCCCCGACTGGTGGACAGGGAACTGCTAGAGAGAAACGAAGGCCTGCCGCCGCGCAGGAGCCCGCTCGAGGACGAGCTTGACGCGGCTAGCGACAGTAGCGATAGTAGTGATAGTAGTGGTGAAGAAGAAAAATGAATGGACAATGATTTTTTTGTACTTGTGGTTATACTGCTACGACGTGCTGTACATCCGTGGTGAAGCTAATACAAGTACAGCTCTGCTCGAAGACGATGCAAGCAGTTGTTTAGTGGTGGAAGAAGTACAGCTGCATTATTGAGTTGACTCAGGTTTGAAGTTCTTGAACAGTTAGATAGAATTAATGATCTTCCTAGACTCATAAGTACCGTACAAGCCACAGACTTCTGACGGTGCAGTGTCAAAGCATACGCCGTGGCGATGTCTGCCGGCTGTGTGCAAAAAGATGGCTTCCTCTTCGTTCGAGGAAGAAAAATGGCGGTGGTAAGTATCTTACGCTCCCGTTGGCGAAGGCGTCATCCACGATGGTAAATCTCGCGAGCGTGAGCTGGCTGACGAGTGCGACGTGCAGAAGCTGTCGAGAAGAGAGATCGACTCTTTCGGTGTACTCTGGCCGTCGAGTAGAGGCCCCGGAGCCCAAGCGGATAGATCATCGATTGTAAGTTGCAGTCGCTGCTTCCGTTGGGTTGCGAGGTCTTGCTTTTTCTCCTTCCCATGCAGCAGTTCCGACACGAAGCCGACCAGAGCTCCTCCGGCTTGGTTTGGATGAGCGACCTTCATGTCTTCAATGTCTGTCGTCGCTAGATCATCCATAATAGGCGGGTCGTAGTCAAAGCCTTCTCCATCCTCGGCGATTTCGGTGGGTTGCTGAGACCGCGCAGAAGTCCAGCTGCCTCCATTGACGTTGGACGCGACCTTAGGGGGAAAGGTGCACATGCTGAACACGCAGTAGCTCACACAGCGCACGCACGACACACAGACGCGGTGTCTCTCCACAAGCCCCACAGTCTTCTCGACATCCTGAAGATCCGAGCACTTCCGGCAAGTGTAGTGTCCACAGAGCCTGCAAAAATGTTTCTTGCGCAGCATACTGAAGGGGGTGTAGCATGTTGCGCAGTACGAAGCCATGTTGGCCTCGTCAGAGGACGTTGGTAACCGAGATAGCGGGTAGTAGCCCAAACGGCGGCGTAGAACAACGGTCTCGAGTAGCGACACCTTGTTCACCATCGCGCGCAGGAGCTGGACAGCAGACCGAGGCATCTTACTTTGGTCGTGCCGTGGGTGGTGGTGGTGCGTCGCGTAGAAGAAGAAGCGCGTGAACTTTTCCTCTGAGTCTTCCTGGACGACGTACCCTGCCAGTATCCCTTTCAGTTCCTGTCGAGCGTCGATTCCGTGCTGATTATGCTGGTGATAGCAGCCTTCCTGGCTACTCGAGGCAGCCGTGGGTGACGACATCGTCACAGTGCTAAACTCCAGGTCTTCGTCCTGCATATCCATCGTCTGCATCACGCGTGTGAGCGATTTGGCCTCAATCTTCTCCTCCAGGTAGTCCAGGAACGTCATGCTGCGCTGTTTCCAGACCAGCCGCTGCTTCTGCATAAGCGACACGGCGTTGAGCTTCAGCTTGGCGGAGCGAAGAGGGGGTATCCGGCAACTGGAAGACCCTTCACTTATTCGCCAGGTTGCAGGCTCAGAGGCTCGTCGGGCTTGTGCATGCGGATGCAAGGCTGCGTTGCCCGCCCCAACGTACAAATTGCAATCCACAGTGCGAACATTGACTCCGTAGACATACTGGTCGCCAAAGACCGCCTCCATGCTGCGGTGGAACTCAGCGGCGTTGTCCGTCGAAAAGACACTCATGATCTCCCTCAAGCTGCACGGCAGGTTCATCTTGGCGACGACGCTGTACTGGTCTTTGGCTTTACTCACCGACTCGAACATCTGGCAGTCGGGCTTGGATCGCGCCATGTGTTTCCAGCGCCCCACCATCACCTGGCGCTTGGACACCGACTCCAGCTGCTTCTTGGCTCGGCGCGCAACAGACACGAGCTTATCGTCCGTCAGAACGGCCGAGCTGGAGAACGTCGTGGACGACATCAGTCCTTGTTCCAGCGCGATCGCAGCTCCAGCCGCCGTCTCGCTGGGGGCAAGCGACGTCGCGGACGAAAGCGACTCGGAGCTCTTGTTGTGCTCCGGCACAGCCCCGAACTGGCGGCGGAGCAGCTTCTCTCTGGTAAGATAAGGCCCCCCCGCAGGCACCACTGGAGCTTGAGAAGCTGGAGTCACTAGTCGGTTGGGTTGAAAAGACTGCTGCGGAGACAGGTGCCTCCTCCTGCTGGGCAGAGCGTTGGCGCGGCCCTCCGAGACGCTCGTCACGAGCCTCGGCGGCGGTGCCATGAACCTCAGCGCTGCGGCGGGAGTGGACGGCACGGACGAGGAGGCTGCTGGACCGATCGCTGCAGAAGTGGACGTCTCTTCGTCTTCGCTGTCGGGCACGAACCTCTGCCTGGCCGTGCGGACCTGCTCCCGGAGCGCGGGCGCCATGTGGTCGTCCAGTAAGCTTAGCTGCATCTTCGCCTTGACCCGGCGCTTCTTCTGGGCGAGAGTGGGCGTGAGCGCCACTCGAACACTGGGGACATGCGCGCGCGCTGACTCCGGCAGCGCCTTCGGTTTCCCCCGCTCGGGCGGCGACGCTTCCTCCATCGCTCGCGGCGCTAAATAGAAAGTGAGATAGATAACTGAGAAGAAGGCGCAATGGATACCATCGTATGCACCCTTGTAAATACCCGGAAGTCAGCTTCAACTTGGCTGTGTGCGGTGTATGGAAGATGTGGGTGCACCACACGACAGTAGCGGCTAGAATGGTGATTACTTTTTCCCCAAGCAGAAGACTGCGAAACGGTCAAGAGTTCAGCTCCGCTACAGCGAGGGCCGCCACTTCCAAGTCGAGGGGCTCTGGCGGAGAACGCTGATGCGTGGTGCTAGTTGTCTGCATAGAGCCCGCATGGTCGGGGCACCCACTCGGGGGCGGAACACTGGTTTGAAGTCAGGGGACAGGCGAAGCTTTCTCTGGAGCGGCCCAGAGGCAGTCAACTCCGCCGTGCCATGCAGGACTTGCCTTGCAATGGTGTCGGGTGCGCGTGCAGATACGTATCTCGATCTCGCTAGTTGAAAGTTCAGAGCCCGGATATGCGTTGGCGTTGTGCGGCACCTGCTGCACTTGCGTGCCCTCGGACGGATTTACCACGCCCGGCGGCATTCATGTAGCGCGCTCTGCCCACACACGCGCACGCCCTGCAGGACCCCCAAAAGTAGAACCAGCGCTGGAACCTCCTGCCTGCCCAGACGCGTACGTCCTTCACCAAGATGTAGCGCGCCTGCCGCTGCCGCGCTCTTTAGCGCAAATCTGGGCGGTTCAATTGGACAAAAAACCCGGACGAGCGAGATGAGCCCGTGGCAGCGCACGCTCGGACAGCCGCTGCGCTTCGCCGGCGTGGGGCTGCACTGCGCCCAGAAGGTGGCGGTCCGCGTGCTGCCGGCGCCCGCGGACTCGGGTATCGTCTTCCGCGCCAAGACGCGAGCAGAGAGCGTGGCCATCCCCGCGCTCATCGCGAATGTGGACGCGCGCAAGAGCCAATTGTGCACGCAGCTCACGGCCAACGGCACGAGCGTGTCGACTGCCGAGCATTTGATGGCGGCGCTGGTGGCGTCACGCGTGACGAACGCGTTCGTCGACTTCGAGCGAGACAGTGAGACTTCCAGCGTTGAGCTGCCGGTGCTGGACGGGAGCAGCATCAAGTACGTGGAAGGGATCCGCCGCGTCGGCGTCGAGGAGCAGCACGGCGCGGTGCTAAAGTATCTGCGAATCAAGCGCCCTGTGCAGGTCTTAAAGCAGGACAAGGCGGCGTGGCTGCTCCCTCTGCCGATGGATCTCAGTGGATCTCCTGCTTCGATGCAGGCGCCGACGCTGCATATGTCGGTGCAGGTGAACTTCGAGCACAAGCAGCTGGGCACGACGTTCTGTCGCTTCGCGCTGGGGGCTGATCCGGCTGCGAGTTTGGACGCCTTCCAGCGCGAGATTGCATCGGCCAGGACCTTCACTTTCGAAGACGAGATCGCGTGGATGCAAGCCAACGGCCTGGCACGCGGCGGATCGCTCGACAATGCCGTCGTGTTCTCCTCCAAGGACGGACGATCCACTGTGCTGAACGAGGACGGACTGCGCTTCCCGGACGAGTGGACGCGGCATAAGATGCTGGACTGCGTCGGGGACATCGGTCTTGCGGGGCTCCCGCTGCACGGCTACTTCTTCGCGACGAGTCCAGGCCACGCGCTGACCCATGAGCTGCTCCGAGAGCTCCTCAAACATCCCGAGAACTACGAGGAAGTGTCCTAAAATCAGCAAAATAGAGAGGGTAAGAAGGCCAACACAATGTGCTTTTACTGATGTTTTTGGTTATGAGGTGCGTGAGCACTGAAGTGGGCTGATAGGGGACGGCGGAAGAGGATCCGAAGCCTACTTCTTGTCGTGGTACGCGTTGACGGCGTTCGCATGCAGCTCCGAGATGTACTTGCGGTGCGAGCGCCAGTCCGAGCGGTCCCTGAGCGCCATGTCCGGGTTCTTGCGGACCTCGCGGTTCCACTTGACGTCGGGGCTGGCCGTCAGGTGGCGCACGCCCGTCGATAGGCACATGACGGTGGCCACGCCCAAGGCGGCGAGCAGAGGGTACGTCTACAGTAGAGATAAACATGCACACAGAGGGGTTAGCGCGTCTACTGGATGGAGGGACGTGCGGGCTGAGGATCACCACGTACGGAGGGGTCGCTCAGCCAGACGGAGCTTTTCTTCGCGGCAGCTCGGGCAACCATGGCGATAGATTAAGGAGGAGGAGGGGAAGGGGGGGCTTGGTCACTTGCTCGCTTGGTGGAAGATTGCGGAATGAGCTGAAGAGCTGGAGGAGGGGTTTCGCCAATTTCAACTTCAATATGGGTTGTATGGGAGTTTGTATGCTAAAATGGTGTGGATTTAGTGTACGACGTTTCGGTTTAACAACGGACCGCCGGGAAGATCGGCTGTGGAGCTTGGGCTTTGACAAGGGCTTCAACGCTGCACGAAGAACTATGGCGTCGCTAAGCTGTCTCTCGCACTGCCGATGGACGAGCTGCTATGTGCTGCAAGTCACTTACTGATGATAAGCTTACCCCGGAGCGACTCGTGCACTCGTCTATTTATAACTTGGCAAGTCAACACTTATCTCTTCTGGTGGTTGATGAAGCGCAGTGAGAGCAGCCCCAGCATGCAATGTAGGCGAGTACGATGCCGAAGTTCACCCCGATCTCATCGTGCTTCATGCCAAAGTACTCCTCCGTGTACTCCTTGAGCGTGATGTGGCCGACCGTCACGGGCGAGTCCTGCATGGGCTGGCAGCCGAGCTGCGAGCCCACGTTGGTGTACGACTGGGTGGCTTCGTTCCAGGTCGGCAGCTCGTCACACTCGGCGAAGACCAGAGTCACGACGATCAACAACGAGAATCGCTGAGGCACCATCTTGTAGAGCCACTGGTAGCCGTCCGGGATGGCGTACGCCGGTGGACTGAAGCTCATGAAGAGGAAGAAGACACGAACACGCCCACGATCGCGGCCACCTCTTCGTTATGGAAGGCGTAGACGAAGACGTGGCCTAAGTACGTCTGCATCAAGATGAGCACGTGAACGTTGATCCAGAAGAGGATGGAGGTGAAGAGAACCTTTATATACGTTAACCGATAACTCCAGAGGCCTGGATATGCATGCCTTGGGCAATGCCTAATCGACCACGGTGGGCGCTGTTCATTGGGGCTTGATACAGTATTTCTCGTGGCTTTTAGACGATTTTCTGGGTTTCTGGTGGTTTGATGCCGATTTTCTTGGTAGTGCTTGCATCCTTTGGACACGTGAGAGATCACAAGTCTCCTGAGCCCTTCCTAGTTCTCCTCTTTTCAGCCGCATATCGCCTGGTTGGGGCACTTTGGAGTAAACGCGGGTCCGTTGAACAAGAAGAGGATACCCGTCCAGAAGCCCGATACGCCGAGCTTCACGATAGACTGTCGGCAGATTGATCTCAACCGATGTTGCTGCTCTCGCATATGAAACTTCAATCTACCCGCGATACCGATCGATCGCTTCACGCACATTTACCCACCTCAACATGAACACCCATTACCCCACTCAAATCTGTATCCGTTGTTAGGCCGTGTGAGGTATTACAGGTAGGATAGCGTCGATTTCTTCCTGATCTACTCCTGCGTCTTGCAGTCTTTTTCGCGCCAGCGCCGTCTCCTCAGCTACTCTCACTCTCTTCAACTCCGTCAGAACAGCGGCTTCCAGCTCAGCCTTCTCCTCAAGCGCTTCCTTCTTCCTTCGCTCCAGCTCTAGCAAATGCGCTGCTTGGTTGGCCTGGTGTTGGATGAGATCTTTCACGTCCTTGTCCAGACGGACGAGTGCGTCGTCCACTGTGTTCATCCAGGCAGCCATCGCATCGAGCCGCTTGGGACCGCAGAACTTTTCGAACGCAGCGGAACTACCAGATGCCTCGCTCTTGGCCTGGCTGATGGCCTTGGCTTTCTCCTGCAGCTCTCGGTTGGTCGGCGTGCCTTCCAGCACTCGGTCGCGTGCCACCCACTCCTCCGGTCGGTCAGGTTGCGATAGGTACTGCACCTTGACTTGACCAGGGTTCCCAGCTGCAACAACATCGACTTCAATCTCCTTCACCTCGGCGTCCAGCAGCAGCGAGCCATGGAGCACCAGCACCGTGTCGCCGGCATTGATAACCATCTCTCCGGGACGGTCTCAACTTGACTTGACGCGGTTCAGCGTAACGGACGATTTGTAGATTGCCTGTAGATCGTCGTCAGCCAATCACCATCCCTGACGCGAGCTCCAACCTAGTGATGAGTCCTGCCTGCATGGACCTTGCCATGGTGAGCAGGGGGGACCGACCTCGTGGCGCTGTCTTGCGTCTAGTTCTTGCCGTCGACGACTCGGCCTTCTCTTTATTATGCACTTCACTATTACAAGGTTGGCAGGAGGCTCGTCGTTGAGACCGCGCACCAATCCGCTGCTGCAGTTTTCGGTACCGTGGCACACGCCCTCTTCCCCACCTGGCCGGGTTCTATCTAGCAGCAGCGGGTAGAATGGCGTCGATCTCTTCCTGCGAGATGCCTGCGTCTCTGAGTCTCTTCCGCGCCATGGCGGTCTCCTCGGCCACCTTGACGCGCTTGAGATCTCTGGCCACCTCCACCTCGAGCTCTGCCTTCTGCACCTCCGCCTCTGCCTTCCTCTTCTTGAGCTGGACGTTGCCCGCCTCCTGACTAATCTGCTCGCGCATGAGTCCCTTCACCTGCTTGTCGACTCTCGTGAGCGAGTCGTCCAGCGTCTTCATCCAGCCGATCAAGGCCACGAGCCGCTCCGAGCCGGGCAGGGTGATGGGTCTCTTGCTGGCCGCCGCGTCCTGCTGCATTGGCTGCGACTGCTGCTGTTGCTGTTGCTGCGAGGTCCCGTTGGGCATTGAATTGTGCACCAGCAGCTCCTCCTTGGCCTTCTTCTGGCGCTCGCGATTGGGCGGCGTGTCCTCCAGCACGTTCTCCTGCTCAATCCACTCGTCCCAGCTCTCGGACCAGCCCGTGAAGTGCACGAAGAACCTCCTGGCGTCTGGCGCGCCGTCCTCCGCGGGCTCAATCTTGAGCACCTCGGCGTCGAAGATCAGCAGGTCGTAGTACACGAGCACCGTGTCGCCCACCTTGATCCCCATTTCGGTCGCCAAGTTCAAATGCGTCTGGCTAGACACAGCGTCCAAAATCTCTAGATTCTCTACCATTGGTCATAATATCCACCAATCCAATACGCGTATGAAGCGACCAGTCAAATCCCCCGTTCGTTGTTCGGGTCTGAAGACACTCAATAGGACGGCGGAGCACAGCGCACAGCTCACCGACCCTCATGGCCACCAAGGGCGAGCACGAGAAGCCGGAGACGGTGGACGACGAGCACCAGCCGGTGAGTGCGATGGACATGCGTGTAGTGCCTGTATCTGCCCCAATAGCGCCGCCGTACTCACGCCATGTTGCGTGCTCAACCAGATCGTCAAGAAGGTGCGGCTGGATGTGGACGCCAAGGTGACGGAGGACGTCAAGAAGGTCAAAATCGACGAGAACGCAGCCCCGCAGCCCGAGATCGGAGGCCACGAGGTGCGGAACCATTGGATTTGTAGGTTTTAAGCTGGAAAATTTGGGCTCTAACGCGCTGGGTGTTGGTTTGTAGGACGAAGCGACCGAGAAGAACTCGTCCACGTCGTCGTCGCCGGTTGCCGAGGAGCAGGAGCAGGACAAGGAGAAGGAGGCTGAGAAGGAGGAGAAGGTGGTCAAGCCGAACACGACGGGCAGCGCCTTTGGCGGCTTCAGTGCCTTCAGCGGCAAGAACGCCTTCGCGGCCTTCACGGCTCCTGCGAGTGCGGACGCCAACGGCTTCGGCACCAAGGCGACAGACTCGGGCTTTGCGGGTTTTGCTACCAAGGCCTCGAGTGGCTTTGGAGACGCGACACCGTCCTCGTCCTCGACGTCTACGGACGCAGCCACGACCAGCTCCAGCGGCTTTGCGTGTTTTCAGGGAAAGGCTCCCGTGACGTTCGCGTCGTTCGCAGCAGCACAGCCGACCACGGATGGATTCGGAGCCAAGGCGTCGTCAGCTTCGTCGACGGACTTCTCGGACGCAGATGTGGTGAAGAAGGCGGAACCGGTCGTGCCGGCGCTGACAGAAGCTGAGGTAAGAGCTGCGGGTTGATGTGAATTGATGAGGCTTGAGCTCACGTTGTGGCGCGTGGTGATGTCCTTACAGCTTGCGAACGGAGAGGAAGGCGAACAGATTTTGGTCGAGGTACGTGGCTTTTGCGCATTATTACGGTGAATTTGTGCCCGTTGGTGGAGTGCTGATGCGAATGACGACTTCACGTCGGTGTTTATTCCTACCTACAGAAACGTGCCAAGCTGTTTAAACTGGTCGAGAAGGACTACGCCGAGGTCGGTATCGGCCCGCTGCGGGTTTTGAACTCGACGGACGCCAAGACTGATGGCGACAAGTTGACTGCGCGCGTTGTGATGCGACGCGAGTCGTACCCGCACGGACCCGGCACCAAGCTGCTGATGAACGTAAGCTTGGGCTCCTGCGTCCTGTGCGAGAAGAAAACAGAGAAGACGATGCTGCTGACAGTTCTGGAGGCAAATGAAGACCCGGAGGCGGAGAAGAAGGTCGTCTCGGTGACGTATCTGATGCGTTTCGGGTCGCCCGAGGACCTGGACACTGTGATGGCGCGGATCCAGGCGCACATGCACTCATCGTCAACGTCCAGTTGAAGCCGAGCCTGACTGAGCGCAGTTGCTCTGCTTGGCTGTAGAGCTCAGCACAAGCCGTGTAGCGATATTAGTCCAGCCGACGAGAAGTCTCAACGCTGGGCGCATGCCGGTCGGGTCGGCAGCGCAAGAGCAAGCAGGCACACACAGGGAGGCCCTAGCCCAGTACCAACTTGCACGCGCAGTTATCCGTTAGATAAAAAGAAGTTACAGCTGAACCATTGCGTTGGTGTCCTTCATGCATATTACATGTAGTAGTATTCCATTGCTGTATCCCCTCGTCTGTTGCTCGACGCACGTCGTACCTAGGGAGTTGCAGTGCGGTTCAACTGCTATACCGTCCACTATTCGGGTAGATATTTGTAAAAAGTAAATATAAAAAAATGTATCTGACCAATCAGCCGTCTCGAAATCCGTAATTACGCTCTGAACCGCCCGCGCACAAACGGTTGGATGCCTGGGTGAGCCCCTCCCTGCAGTCTGCGTGGACTTTGGGTCGGATCATTCTGCAATATTCAGCGACAGCGGCCTACTGGGTCTATCCATTGAGCGTGCAGGGCGATGAAGATCACAAGCTCCCTCTTCTGAGAACCATAAACCATGCGGAAGATAGCTGCATCCGGAATCACTATATGCAACCACCGAGTCCAGCCACCAAGTCGTACGTGTCTGTATATGTCTATCTGTGTATATTTGTATGTATGTCTATCCACTGGAGTGCGATGATGAAAACAGTGTCTGATTTGGCTTGAACCAACTAGCCGTGAAGAGTCGAATATATCACTATCACCCATAAAATGAGCTCTCCACCTCATTTGTATATGTGTACACCTTGTATCGAGAGGAGTGATGACCACATACTTTGGTCCGTGTTCATGATCTGCCTCATGGCAATGAAATTGCTCAAAGTTCTGACCTCTCCTACCAGTCTGCATATCTGTATATTCTTTGTATACTTGTATTTGCTTCTTCATACTCCACGCCGGCAATGTTCTGCAGCCTACTGGGTCGACGGGGACGGTGTGCGCGGCAATCCTTCTAGCTTGCGCTGAAAAGTTCGAGCTGGATGGTGTCGCTGCGTGCGCAAGATCTGTCACTGCCTGGTGGGTGAGCATTTGTAATTGGATCCGGTACTTTTTCACAGAAGCAAGAGTAACAGCGAGCTTACTACGGATTCCGCTGCTGTGTGCGTCTCGGGCGTCTGCGTTGACTGCTGGAGCTGCCTTCGGGTGGTAACGGTGGAAGGCAATGGTGTTTCGTGGCGCCTCGTGCGGCGAAGTCAACATAGCTGCTTATATCTCTTAACGAGTTGTATACTTGTATGTTGGGAGGCCTCTGCAATGGTTGTTGATGATTAAAATCTTCATGCACCACTCTGAAAGGAATGGCGGCGAGCTTGCTCAAAGTCTACTTTGTGTCGATAAACCGAACACCTAGAACCAAGCTGAGACAACCACTTGTGTGTATATGGGTATTGCCTGATTGTTTGTCGCCGAGGAGGATACCTACTTATCATTACCACCTAAACTAACCCTTTTGGTCTTCGGACAAACGTGTGGACTTCCTACACCTGTGTTTCTGAGGCGACACTTCATATCATTATTCATGTTGTATATCTGTATGCTTGGTGCGATGGAGAAAGAGTGACGATAAACTTGTTTTAGGATTCCCCTTCATGAAAGCCGCCTACATCGGCATATATGATGAGCATCCATCTACCGACTTTCTCCTGCACTTCACTCACTGTGTGGGTCCTTCGACCGGGATGGCGATGATTAAAATATCCAACACAGACCTGTTCTGAAACAACGTGTGGATACGATTAACATGCATCACCATATGAGCCATCCCAACTTAAACAACAACTTCACCTTGCATATTGCTCTTCTATCTTGTTGAGGCAATGATTATAATATTCTCAGACCTGTTCTGAAGCTACGTGTGGAAACATAACAACATGCATCACCATATGAGCCTTCAACTATTTTCTTAAACCATATCAGCGTAGTTTACATTCCGTAAACTCTTCAATCTACTGTTCTCATTGATTCTTCATTTCATACATTTTCTCTTCTCGCCAAAAACGTCTTCTTTAATCTTACGTCGTGTTGCCCTTGACTGCCGCCGCTGCCAGCGTCTCGAGGATGATTGTCTTCGCGCGTTGGTAGTCCAGTGGGTCCAGCGAGTACAGGTCTTCACGGGCTCGGTCTCCGCAACGGCCAAACTCTTCGAAGTCGCTTGACCGCAGGATCTGCTCCGCCACCGTGCGCTGCAACTGCTGCATCTGAGCCGGAGCCAACTTCTCTTGGGCGAGGGCCAGCAGCTCGAAGGCTTGGCCCGCAAACCGCAAAGACTCGAGGCGAAGCGTCTCAACGGGCCAGCCATCGCGACCTGGAAGCACGAAGTACATGTCGCCGACCTTCCACATCGGAGCGCGCCATCGAAGATCGTCCCAGGGTCTGGACGGCCAGAGGCAGTAGTTCCACCGCAGGAATCCGTCAAGCTCGAAGAAGAAGGTGAGGTATCCGACGAGCTCGCCTTCCACGAGTGGCGACGACACGAATTGGTTGGGGAATGCTGGCCCACAGCAAACGTACCAGCAGACATGGCCTCCGCGAGCACGAGCATCGTTGGCCAGACGTCGCGTTACCTCGAGGTCGGCACACGCCAGCGGCAGCAGCGGCACGTAGTCAGCCACTTGAGGCGGCGCGTAAGCAGGAGAGAAAAACTCCGAGTGGTTCACTGCCAGCTTGATGCGGAAATTCGGCGCGAGACGCTGCATGAAGCGCAGCTGCTCGTGGAAAACCGCTACATCGCGCGGCTCATCCGCGCATATCCGCACTCGATCAGCGATCTCCAACGCAACGCAATGCGCGTAAAACTGCTCGATGAAGGACTCAACTTCGGAAACTCGTCTCAAATAGCGCACGCGTTGGGTTGTGCGATCCTGGCACCGGATCCGCCAGCCATCGATCACAAAGGCAGGAGCCTGCGAATTAGCTGTGGGAGGCGAGGGTGGAGGGGATGACGAAGCGTTTGGTTGGTCTTGGCTAAGAAGGCCCAGACCGTTGCTGGTGCCACCTCCATTTGCCGACGAGGATCCAGCAGTTGGAGACGCCAGTCCAGAACCCGACGAAGAAGTTCGGCGGCGCACCTCTGTCGGTGGTGCCGGATCCGGAGCTGACGCAGTCGGAGGAGGGCGAAGATGGTGCGCAGTAAGCTCAGCAGGAGCGTTAAAGCCTGCAACGGGGTCGCGCCAGATCGACAGAAGCCCGAACACTTCAATTTCGTGATCCAGATGATGACTACCGGCCAACTCCAGCAGCCGATCAAAGTGTGTAAAGTCGATCGTCAGCGGAACTCCATGGGCCGAATCCTCGTACACTTCTAAGATAGCGTGTTCAAACAGCGCTGAGGGGTTGTGCTCCTCCATGTAGCACTGCTGGCCCGCCCAGGGCATCTCCGTAGCCACCACCGACAGACATTTCTGCCCCATTTCCGACAACGGCGCCATATACCGATCAATAAGTTCAAAATGGCGATTGCTCCACAATGCGACGCGATGAGCTCGCGCTACCGCAGTCCAATGCTGCCACAGATCCAGCCGAAAGTGCCAGTTGCTGGGTGCAGGAAGGCGCACATCCACCACACGCACCGCACAACTACTCGACCACGTAAGCTGTTCATCCCGGAAACCTGCCTCTTGAGTAAACACACGCAGCGGCAGTTCATACACGCCCGGCTCCAGATTCTCTCCAACACGAACCCGCAGATAAACACCATGTTCCCTCGCCGCCTTGGCGCTCACGCCCGTACGCTCCAGCGTCTCCATGACCAAGTCCGAGTTCTCGTCTTCCACGCAGCCGACCACGAAAGATTCCACCTTCAACATGTGCGGGGGCACAAACCTCGTGTCCACCGCGACGCGAGCCCTTGGGCCGTGCCCCAACGGCAGCATCCAATTGCTCGTGTCCGTAGTAAGTAGGAAAGGCACATTGGACTTCAACCTCAACTGCACTCCGGTCACCTCGTTCCTGGCGGCAGTCAGCCTCACGCCCTCGGGCAGCTCTACGTGAGCCGTGGACGAGGCCCAAGCCACGCGGCGGTTGCCCATGTTCATGGTCCCATTGCCCGTCTGCTCTCCACCTTGAGATCCTGCTTCTGCGCTGGCCTGCGCCGCCTGGTTCCTCTCCGTGTCCTCATCGAACGGCTCGTCGTCCTCCATGTCGGCGCTGGGGTCCGCACTCCTCATGGTCTTGGACATGGCGGGGGCGAGCTGCGTCAGCAGCCACATGTTGTGGGTGGACGCTTGTTGTCCACTTAGCGAAGCGTCCACCACGTCAAACGAGAAGCTCGTCGCGCGCGGAGGGACGCTGACATTGTTGCTACTGGCACTGGCGTCAATTTGGTAGGGCAATTGCCTTGCAAAGTCGTCGAAGGAGCTCGTGCGCGCGCCCTCTCGCTCCTGCTCCAGCTGCTGCTGCTGGCGCATCTCGAGCCCCGCGGCGTCGTCCATCTCGAGGCTCGAGGACGAGGACATGGACTCGTCGTTCGACATGGACGCGTCGTCGTCCTCTTCTCCTCCTCCTCCTCCGCCCTCATGCGCGCCCGCGAAGCTGCCGCTGCTGGCCGAGCGGATGCGCTCGTCGATGCCGCTGCCCTGCCGCGTGAAGCCGCGCCCGCTCTGCTGCTGCGCGCGCGGCGACGCGTCCCCCGCCGTGTTGGCGCCTGCCTCCATCCCAGGATCGCGGAATGAAGATGTGCGGTACACCACTACAATTATCACTAATAAGAATATAATAATCAACAGCAAAAACTGTTTACCTCTACCTAAAAGCCCTTAGAATACGATATATGACTCTCTTAGTCGTGCATTATGCTAGGAGAGGGTATTGTGGAAAAGGAGACCAATGGTGCTGTTCGTGCTCTACGTCAAGGCGGACCTGGAGAACGTGGAGACGCTGGAGGCGCCCCCGCTGCACCGCTGGTGCCTGGACGTCAAGGAGCCGCGCGGCGACGAGAAGCGTGAGGCCGTGTTCGTGTCGGACGAGGAGGCGGTGGACGTGGCCGGCGGCCGGGGCGAGGTGCACTTCACGCTCAAGTGGCCGGGCGCCAACAAGCCGTCGCAGCTCACGGTGGTGCGCGACATCAAGAAGCTCACGCGCGCGGTGTCGGCCGCGGACTCGGGCGAGTTCGTGCCCTTTGTGGGCTTCGAGTGCCGCGGGATTGAGCCCTATGCGTGGCACCCGGAGAGCGGCTACAAGGTGGTCTCTGCTGGCGGCCAGGCGACGTTCGAGGACGTGGACTTGAGCGACGACTGGGCCGACTACGACGAGGAGGGCGAGCAGTCTGTGGGCGTGTACGGAGTCGAGTACAAGTTCGAGGTGCACAAGTAGAGAGAAGAGTGGAGGGAAAAGGGAGAGAGAGAGGACGAGACTTCATCAAATGAAAAAAACTGGTTTTACGGAGTTAATGGTCGTCTTAGGGGGCGAGGTGGAGCGAGTCTTGAGAGCCGAGGCGGACGAGCTCTTCCTTCTCGTCGAGGTCTTTCTGGATTTCCTGCGCGATGTCGTTGAGCAGCGTGTCGAAGTCCCAGGGCTCGTCTTCTTCGTAAACCTGCGAAGACGGAGTGTTAGAGCGTGTGGTGGAGAGGTTGACAAAGGTTTTGAAGGGAGCGTACTGCTCGTTCGGGGCACAGGGCGCTCGTTAGGAGATGCAGATCGACGCCGTGGGTCTGTAGCAGACCAAGGTGTCGATCATGAGGAGAATGAGGAGGTTGAGTGAAGCACGGTGAATGTATTTACCTGTGCGCTTGGGAGAGCGAACTTGATGTCTTTGTCCAGCTGCTTGAGACTTTGCACCGCACGCGTCGTGTTGCGAGGAGCCTCAGCGACTGCGAAGAGAAGTAAGGTGTTGGTGATAAAATCACGAAAATGTGGATACTGACGTTGCAGAACTACTGACCCATAGTGGTGATGTCTGGCTCGCGTTCTTCTTCTTCGAGGTCTGGGATCTCCATGATATCTAGCACCATCAGTGGACGAGCGAAAACGTTAGCGAAAGGAAGGCAGCATTCAATGGCTGAGTAGATTGAGTTACCGGTGGTCTCATCGTCCTCTTCGAAGTATCGGTTCTTTTGGTTGCGTCGGTCTCCACCTGAAGACCCCGTAGCTTCGGAGCCCTTGCGACGTCGACCCACGCGCTTCGACTCGCTCGTTAACGCTCCAGTGGCCGCAGGGGTGGCATCGGGGTCGGGGTTCCCCCCCTCCTTCTCGTCACTGGCAAGAGTCGTCTCGTTGCCCCAGCCGATACTTGCGCGCATCGGCGGCTTCTTGGCGTCGTCTGGCAGCACAGTCTCGTCCTCATCTACGTCAAAGGCTGCTCGGCCGCGCTTTGCATCGCCGTTGGCATCTCCATCCTTGCTCTCTTTTGCCTCGGAGGGCATGGTAGCAATGGTCTTGCTTTGCGACGTTTCGAGAAGATCTATCAATGAAGCGCCGCTAAGTTGACCTTCAACCGAATTGTCAAACTCTGCTGATAGAACCGTTCGTGACCTCAGAGCAAATGGATAGAGCAAAAGCAGTGACTGTGGCGCCTGGCAGATCCTGAAATTTGGCCTTGAAACAGTTTGCCGAGAGCAAAAAGACTTGAAAGGGTGGACGGTAAAAAGCCCAGCAAGATTCAATGATTTATCAATTGTCCAAACATTTTTCCCCCCCTAGCTCAACAACTGACATGCCCGTGGTCGATTTCTTCTGAGCGTCGAAGACAACTCCAGTATTATTGAATCAGTAGTCCGTCGTCTATGTAGAAATCATCAAGTCAAGCCCAGCGAGAACTAGTACCGTAGCCCCGAGACCAAGCGAAACCAGGAGGAACTCCTGGGCCTTACGCGATTTGGAGGGGTTCTTGGCCATTTGCTTGGCTGCAGCTTGCGTGATCTTGGCAGCCTGAGCCTCGGTAATTCTGATCTTGGACGTTTGCTTCGCCGTCGTGAACGCTTCCTTCCACTTGGGGCTATTGACATCCAGCTTCTTGAAGCTAGCGCCAGCCTCGACAGCGTTGGCGAGCTTCTTCCAATCTTTCGCGACGGTAGTGGCAGCGGCAGTGGTCTTAGCTTCAATATTGTTGAAACTCTTCACGGCCATGAGCGCCTTTTGCTGTTTGGAGGCGGCGTTAGCGGCGGCAACAACGGCGGTGGAAACCTTCTCACTAGCACCCAACCCGGCAGCCTTTATGCCCGCGTTAATCTCTTTCATAATCTTGATGTCATTAAGCGATCTCTCTTCGCTCTCAGCGGTCAAATCGTCCGTTGGGGTTCCCTTCAAGTGGCGAGCGGCGTTGTCTTTTTCGGCGCTCACCAGAGTGTTGCAGCTCACAGCAAACGTGGCCACGAAGAACACGAGGAAGACGCCCAGACGCATTAAGACAGACGATGACTGAATGCGTGGCGTAAGAGCCTGTTCGCTACGTAGCTGGAGATGGAGACGAAAACCAAAAGTGTGACCGGATTGGTCAAAAGTAGGTAGCACACAACAAGACAACTAGAGATGGCACTGTGAATTCGTCTCCGGCTCTTTGAGGTGGAGAGGGGCGGACCTACCTAGAGATTTACAGGGCCAGGCACAACATGGGAGACGAAGATGCAATTGTCCTCGCTGCGTGCTCCGCCGTGGCACAGGCTGTGGCTTTGTATGCAGACAGTTGCGAACCAGGACCTCCTGCTGGCAAGAAGAACCGTTTTACCGTCACCACTCTGCGCTTCGAGTCGATGCTTCAATCATCAGCCTATTCAAGCTGGTTCGAGACCAATCTCGAAATCCACCTTCTTCCGTATAGCTAGCTTTCTACAAGAGCATACGTCTTGGGCGAAATGTGGTGTGGTTAACGCCGTTTTTGATGTCATCGGAGGCTGGAGATGACGCCATCAGCAGGAAGCTTATTGTCAATAATTGGGCCAATTTAATATTGTACGGGACACTGTAGCCTAATAATAAAAATTAATATTGAAAAAACTGATTATTTATTGTATTGCACTATTTTTTTTCGACCTCTGCCACGAAGCACACCTGCTTTTTCGCATCTAGAAATGGCCTCGCGAATGTCCTCAAAACCTTTTCGTCGCACTGTGCGTCGCGTTCTCCGTTACCTGCAATAAGCAAAACCGCCCCACCCGAGATTCGATACTGGACGCCTCTGTCTTGCTGACAAACTCCCACTTGGCAGCCGCATCGATTATATCTCCTCCACGCTCGACGCGGGTACCCAATAGTCCATCTCGTCGGGGTTTACAGCCCACCTCGACATCGCCTCAACGTGATCCTCCGTTGTATCATATTCGCGTACGAACTGAAGCGGTATACTCGACCGCCCCAACGTAATCGTGCCTGTATCATCATGCGTGACACGCTCTTCACCCGCCAACTCACTCCCAGCCACGGCGTCGTATCTCCAATACGATATACAAAGCGACACTTGCCGGAATATGTACCACGCGTGGTCGTCCTGGGCCCCACCGGACGCAACTTCGCGGCCGGTATGTCTGGCGGTATCGCGTACATCTTCGACGCTGACAGCAGCTTCCAGAAGAAGTGCAACATGGGCATGGTGGGCGTGGCCCCGCTGACCGAGACGGCGTCGGCTGCCGAGATCCAGGAGGTCAAGGCACTGATCACCAAGCACCTCGAGCGCACGCAGTCGCCCAAGGCGCAGAAGCTGCTGGGCAACTGGGACGCTTCGGTGACCAAGTTCATGCGCGTCATGCCGTACGACTACGAGCGGGTGCTGCTCGAGCGCGCGACTGTCGTGAAGGAGACCAAGAAGTCGGCTTCCGCCTCCGCCTAAACTACAACGATCACTTAAGATATGTACAAAGGGAAGATAGTAAAGAGCATGAAATGTATAACCAAGGTAATCGCAGAACGGCTATGAGGTTACAAGCTGTATAATAACTTACAACACTGCTCATGAAGTTCATGAGCAGTGTTACCCTTCATGATGAAGGGCATATTATAGGCTATAATTTTGTGACGGGGTCACACAGCACAATGCACAGAGGAAGTGCGTGTGGATATTACTATCCAGGTGAACAGCAGTTCACCAGTTCCCGGCCTCAAAGGGAACGGTTTGCTGCAAAGGAGTAGGTTATAAGACTGACTGTATTTTGGTAGAGGTTAACTTGGTCGTAATACAAACTACAAGTTAACTATACAAAAGCCCACACAAACTCAAATGGTTGGCTTGCGGAGCTACCGGTACCATGTACCATGTACTCGGGAGAGTGACACCCGTCACTCTTCATGTAATGGGTACACTTGATTGTACCCCGTTACAAATTTATTAATATAGCAGCAGTAGCAATTTGGCATAACATAATCCATGAATTACCATACAGCTATTTAATGTCGGCATTGTGTGTTCTGTTCAAAATTTCCGCCAAGCCAAATCTCCGGCCAATCTCCGTGGTTGGTTATAGGCACCCGTTTAAGTACGAATTGGTCTTGACATGGACCATATGGGTTGGGCCCAGCCTGCAAATACGGCTCCACTGGCAGTTCATATCTCCATTTCCACAGGATAGCAATGGTCGCCAACAAGCAACTCGCCGCCTTCTTCTAAACCTCGCGTGGCCAAGGCCTCTTCAGCTGCAACTTATGTAACAGTGATACGTCTTCGTTAGAAGACAACTCATCCGACTTCGGCGAAGGTCCCAATCTCTACACAGTAGACGCGATCTACGCGAAAAAAAACTAATCCAGCAGGCGTCGCTTATTATTTTGTTGACTGGGTGGGCTATGCGGAGCTAACATGGCAGCCCGCAGTTGACCTGCCTCAAGACCTCATCAGTGAATTTGAACGTGCTGAGCTTGGTGTAAGCTGGCCGGTCGATTACCGAGCGGTGATTCCAATTGGGGTTCCTACCGGCACCAGTGGCAGGGGTAGACTTGCTAGGCGCACCATATAAATTGCAATATAAATTGCGGGAATTTTTATTATTGTTTGCTAAGAAATCGCAGGTTTTCTTAGTGCTTCGTGTCAGGTGCAATCCAATATGATACTGTATTGGCGGACCTCTGCTTCGTGGTGCTTCTGTGTGGTAATGGCCTTGGCAAGCAGGGAAGAAAGGCCTGCAGGATGGAGGGTCTACAATTGAATCGGGAGCTGATCCAGATGAATGATAGCAAGGATGACATCCCTCTCTACGTCGCAACGTTTACAGAGCTTGAAAATTAGCTTTCCCTGAAGTCTCGCAGCAACTTGTGGTAGATCACCACAACATCAGTAAGCGTGTCGGCAGGTAAGCAACACAGAAACTGACGGTCTGAAGCAGGAGATGCAGCTGCTTACGGATCTACAGGCGCAGCTCCGCAAGGCCCAGCAGGCTGTCGGAACGGCGTCGGGGGACGAACTGCCCAGAAGTGCTTTAGTTGCAAGGCAAATTTTGCGTGAATATCAGCGCTACCCGCTAAAGTGATAGTGCCTACGTTTTGCCTACTCCATCTTCCACACTGCAGCAACTCATAAGCTTAGCTTGAGGAACCCTTCTATAATGTCGTTTTCTTCCGCCCACTAGCTCAACAAAAGGACAAATTTCATTTAGCGTGTAACCAGGAGAATTTGAAGCTGAAATCGGCACCTACACGATTGTCAATACGACAGACAGTATGTCAGTATTTCGACAAAATTTCGGCACAAACATCGCTATACCGTACTTACCGAGGTGTGCCAGTGAAATCTGCGTGATGTAGATCAGTAGGTTGATCAACATGGATTGAACCATTCCCGTATGCGTCTCCAGCACGAAACCAAGTTGACGCCATGGTGAAATGTCCAGGGTGCGTCTCAATACGATCGCTGAGATAATCAACGAGCCAAATTCCAGCGAGCTGTAAGCCAGCACATTCAGAGCGGACGACAAGAGCTGCCCAATAGTAAGCTCAGTCATCGATGCGTAGAAGGCACGGTTGGGCATGTAGAAGAGAACACTGCGATATGCGACTGCAAATGCACATTCAGAGCTTGTGTGAGTGAGCTGGCTACGATCGGATACTACACATTCGTTGCTTACCGTAGACGACGGGAAGAACCACCTCAACATACTCCACCAGGATAACGTACTCCGTAATGAAGAGTACTTGAGTACTCTTTTTGATGAACAAGGCTCGTTCGTCTTTCGAGAAAATTGAGCTGATCACAGCGTTGTCCGCTTCAGCGGGAGCACTTCGCGCTGCAAGGGTATGAAGCTGCGGGACAACGTCATCCAAGGTCTCCATTGGGATAATTCTCCGAGTATCAAAAAGTCGATTGGTCTCCGGACTGTTTGCCATAGTTCCTGTTATCGACGTAGGAGCATTCCGAGCATTCGTCGCACACGAGTCGTTAAAGTTTGCAATCGTTCTGGTTGAAGCCTCTCGGAATATACTTGTACCACAGAAGCTTCGGTGTCTTGTATCATTCAAGCTGCTGTCTACTGCCAGAATCCTCATGGCCACTTGCAGAAAGTTTTCCTTGGCAAGTGGGTGATCTTGTGGGATTTTAGCCATGAGCACCTTCACTTCCTTTAAAACCGCCAAGATATCGTGCATTGAAAACCAGAAGTGCACTACGTCGACGACCATGATGGTGACAGTCAACGTCCACGACGAAGCGCTCTGAAGAGTGTTCGATATGTAAAGTGCGTTGAAAACTTCCACGACAAAAATGACGGACTGGGGCTTCAAATCGTCGTAATCGACAAGAGTTCGACTGACCCAATTCTTGGCGATGAGCTTGATGATTGGCAACACGAGCACGAATAGCACTTGGTTCACGCCAGTTAGCGAGACAAAACCGTAGGTGTAGACCGGATAGATGAACGTCAGCGCCACCTGACAGTTCACCACTGCGATCTGCTGGTTCATCTCGGCCAGCAAAGCTGGATCTGCTCGTACCCGATGCCCAAAAATCCAGACAAAGCATATTGTCATGACTGGTATGTTTTCCGCGAGAAGATGCGGAAGAGAAGCTTTCAGGAATGGTGCTACTGGCAACTTGCGACCACACGCCTCCGGTTCAGTCAAGAAGTTTCAAACGACCAAGTCAAAGTAGGTAGTTAGGAGACCAGACCATTCGTAGCGGGCATTCGCTATTTTGCGCTCTACCCGACAAGCTCTAAAGACTTCTAAGTTTGCCCCTCTTCCCTGTCCGATGGCACCTTCGGCGACCCTTCAGGCTGTCAAGTACGTGCTGTTGCTCCCGGAACTTCTGGAGGAAGCTCGCGATGAGCCGCTGTACGCGAAGGTCACTCGGCGAATGCGGTCCGGCGTATCCCTGTGCGGCATAGGAAGCGAGCGCGAGCGCAAGTGGAAAATCGCAGCAGAGCAGGCCATAGCTTGGGCGGTATCGGAGGAAGAAGTGGAGTCGAACTCCTCCCCGCTTATCCGCGCGCCAGTGGTGGTAACCAACGACAGCTACTTCATTCATGGACAAGTAGCGGAGTATTACGGCGACGAAGTTCTGGTCAACACAGCAGAGGGAGCCCATCGGGTAGCCCGGTCAAGCGTCGTCAGGACAACACCGATCGCTGCCGTTCTTCTCCGCCAATTGTCGTTTGCGGCAGATTGGAGCCTGCCAGAAATATTCGACCTCCATCAGAAGATTTTAGACCGTGTCCTGGGCGCAAACGGCGCCACCACCACCAATGATGTCAAGCAAACAATGCATGAAATCGTTGACGACGGCATGGCCCCATCAGCAAGCGAGATCGTGAAGTGGATCAATCCGCAGTCCGGACAGGAAGTCGCTTTTCCCGTTCAACATCCCGTCGATTACGCTTTCTACAAGGATGGCGGGGTGGTGCCAATTCCCGCGACGGTGGGTTCATCGTTTTGCTCGCCGCCACCAACGGCTAATATTCACCAGGCGGCCACTACTACAAGAGCAGTTCGCAGGATCTCGTTCCTTACCCCCGGTAATGACTCGACACGTACGGCAGTAAGTGCAATGTTCGACACGCAGGATGACGACGACGATATTCTCGAAGAGGGCGAGACCAGCGTTCCGGCTGAAACACCAAGTCAGCCAATGCAGCAGCAGAACCGCTATGACGCACCGCCTCCGGCCAAACGCGCTCGTACGACACTGGGTGTCGCGCAACAACAACACAGTGGTGAAATTCTAGCAGCCCTCGCGGCCCAACCTCGCCTGCAACGCATTTTTGCGGAAACGTTTCTACCAGATTGCACGGAGACAACAAGTGCATCCACTCAGCCACTCCAGGCCACCCCAACTGCTCCCCCAAGTGCATTTCGTATGGGTGCAGTCCAACAAGGCGCAGCGCAGAATTTGAACGGCCGTAATTCAAGTCTTCCTGCCGGCTCGCAAATCCAAGTTCACGAAGCGATTGCAGCACCCCGGCATCAAGGTACGGCATTAGAGGAATACGTGGATGGAATGATTTCTTCGATGTCTTGCTTGTTTAAACCCTTGCCCGGGGTGTCCACGCGAGTTCAAGATATCCAGTTTGGAAACGAGGTCTCTCGATCATGCACTTTCAGCCTCTCGCATTTGACGACAAGGTGACATGGTACAACAACGGAGGGTCCAACTTCCAGAACTTGGGGTCGTCGACGGCAATATCCAAAGCCCCTCAACCTACGGACGTCCATGAAGTGGTGGCTGCTTGCCAAACACTAGAGCTCTTCGCCAGCGAATATTTTTCGGCCGACCTGAAATCTTCCATCACGGCGCTAGTCGCACTAGTTACGGGGCTCGCTCGTTCTCATGTGTGGGAGGTCGACGATCTACCATTGCTCGTCTATTGGATCAATATCACGCTAGAAGAGTATCGCACTCAAGTCAGCCACGCAACACTGGTACCTGGTGAGTTCCAGAAAAAGTTTTCGCTGGAGAACAGCAGCCTGCAGCACATCCTGCAAACTGTGTCTTCTCGACAGCTTCAGCGTCTCCGCAACGAAATTACGCAAGCTGGTCGAGCCCCAAAGCGCACGGCAGAGCAGTTACACAGTTACACAGCGACACAAGTACGAAGTCGGCTGCGCCGATGACGAAAGACCTAGAGAAGCTGATTCCACTGCAAGACGGGACGCAGCTATGTCTTCGGTACTTATCAGTAAAAGGTTGTCGCTCCATACCTACTGCCCCATGTTTCACAGGGCGAGCTCACTTCGATCCGGAATCGCTTCACCCGCGACTGAAAGCTCTCATTAAAAAGCGCTTTGGTGGGCTCAAAACCTAGTACGCGTCCCTCTGAAGGGGCCCAGACGATCTTCGGGCAAGCTCGTCGGGATGCCAACGGCGACAAACCGTGCCCGCGCCAACGCGAAGTCCCGGTACACAGCTCTCATCGGACTTCATCAAACAAACATCCAAGAGCCAGCCACTGGACGAGATATCGCAACTCCAGGTAATCGCACTGGTCCCTCCGCCCATAAAGGCGGCAGGTCATCACAAGAGCCAGCTACTATCCGAACCTTCAAGATCGGATCGCCGTCAGCTGGTCCCTCCATCGGTCAGCACCATGGCAGGTCAAGCAACTACGTCGCGTTCTACAACGCACTACAACGCTACCGAAGCGTGCCAGTTCAAGCTCTCGAAATTCAGCGAAAAATTTATTCAACAGTGCGTCGAGTCTAAACTTCTTCGCGAGGAAGTCGTGATAAGCACGAATTTACACCGTATTGGATTTCGTCGAGATCGTACAACTGGTGGCTTGGATATTTCGGCGCAAAACACACTGTCGGATATTGTTCGAGCACAACGGCTCGACGTAGCTGCAGCTGCGCGCCTTGTGCGTGGCCAATCGCTTTTGGATCCTCGTCCAAACAAGGCCATGATTCCACGCGCGGTCGCGTCGTTACTAGCTGGCTACGAGCACCGGGACGTGGTGATAGCGATCATGGAGCGCGGCATCGAGCCGAAGTGGCTGCGGGCTCCGCCACCCTCTCGAGCTGTTAAAAACCACAAGTCTTGCCAGAAGTATCTCCCAGCGGTCATCCACAGCGTCCGAGACGGTCAAAACAACGGACGCTACATGATTGTCGACAACGATATACTAGAGCAGTGGTCCGACGTGGTATGCAGTCCGCTAGGGGCAGTTGAGAAGAAAGACACTGATCCGGCCATCGAAGTGTGACTCATACACGATCTTAGCTTTCCCGATCTCGTGTCGACAAATGCCAGCTTTGACAAGTCGTCTGCTCCTGAAATTCGGTATCACTACATCATTGCGATCGCAGATCGAATCGAAGATCAGGTCGCACGATATCCTCACTGTGTGATTCGAATTTTGAAAGGCGATGTGAAAGGGGCTCATGGTTGCATCGCAGCATGTTCATTGGATGGCAGCCCTGATCCCTGTAGCAAACGAAGTACTGATTGACTTATCAGCACCGTTCGGTTGGTCCGGCTCGCCTCCCTTTTACGGTGCCTTTGGGCGTGCAATTACGTGGCTCGTTCAGCAGAACTCACCGAGCACGGTGTCACCCAGCGAAGACAACGAACCGTTTTGGGGTTTTGAGTGGGTGATCACCTCGTCGAGGTTGACGTGTCAGACCGACTGCAATTAGCAGAAGCCACGCGATGCTGGCCATCCTGGGCCCTCGTGCAATCAACGAAGAAAACTTCTCACATTGGGAAACCCGGCTCAATGCACTTGGTCTTACGTGGGATACCGTCAACCGCACTGTTTCGATACCTGGCACCAAGATTAAGAAAGCTCTCGAACGCGTACGCACAGTGAAGCAATCAAAAACTGTGACAAAGTCCGACATGATGAAACTTCTTGGGAGCTTAAGGCACATATGCAGCTGTCTTCGCACGACCCGGCCGTTCTACCAGCGCCTGCAGTCCGCGTGCAATCGAGCCCCCCGCCACGGCGTGTACAAACTCGCAGCAGGTGCAAAAGCAGACCTCGTGTGGTTCGATCACATATTGGCGGTCGGTCATCTACAAGAGTTGCCGCTGTCAATTTTTAGCACCCGCGATCCAAAAGCGCACGTGCACCTTTACATGGATGCATCCAACGTGGGTCTCGTAATTCTAAACCCATCGGTCAACGAATTCATCCAGATCCCTTACGACTCCGAGGAGTTAGAGTGGATCCACAGTGAGCCGAAGTGTGGCATAGTGCCCCGGGCTTCCGGGGACCGACCGACCCCCGGATGTGCAATTCCCCGGAAGGTGTACCCATCCGGGTGGTACCGGGTGTACCCCACACAGGAGAGCACCGGGAAGCCAGCGCAGGACGAGCGACGACATCAGACGAGCCGACCCCGGCGTGTCCGGACCAGCCCATAGTGAACTCAAGTGATTAGCAGACACCCGTAGGAAACCCATAGTTAAGCACTTCACCGGGGCCATTGGCCTTGGGGAAGTGCGCAATTCAGTCTAACTTTTTCCCCAAAGAGCTGAAGTCGCTTTCGCTTCAGGAACGCCAAGGTACGAAGGTCGCGGTCACTGGGACCCGCGCTCGTAGGCTATCCCCGGGTAAATCGATAACATCTTTGCCAGGGTTTCCCCCAGGAAGCCCCAGGCATTTCATATTTGTCCCCCCCGGAGTGCGGTCTAGCCGGCACGGGTAAAGGCATTCCATATTCTCAGGGTCTCGCCCGTGGGGTCTCGCCCCGAAAAGTATTGCGGCCGTCGCCGAGGGAGTCTTGCTCCGGAAGACCTGATTGCATATTTTAGTTGCGTATCCATCCCGCCCCGGGAACCAGGTAGCGTCCCCGGGCGATTGATTGTATTGCTACCACCCCAGCGAACTGATAAGGTCGGGACTCCCAGGAGATCCTCAGTGGTTGACCATCCCTCTGATCCAAACAACCGATTCGAAGGGGGTACACAAGGTGAGGTGACTGACCAAGTCCCAGGGCCCCTTGCTTTCCCATAGCGAGTAAAGGTCCCGGGAACTCACGGCCCCGGATAAATCCCTCGTCCGGGCGGGCCGCCTATCTACTAGGAGATTCGCTCTATCTGGTTCCCTAGATTCTCTGTCAAGGAACGCAACCCGGGAACTGGCGGAGTGTCGAGGGCGAAAGTTCAAGGCGCTACATCACAACTGGTGCGCGTGCCCGGATCAGGGTGCTGCTTAACCACTTATCACATCTCTCACTATGTCTACAGAACCTACATATACGCTATCGCCCCGGGGAATCCGGGGCACCGCCTCTCGCGGCAGTGCGAGAGGCCGAGCTGGACGCGGAGGACGCCCGCGCCTTGAAGCTCCAGAATCGCGCCGCTTGGCTCTTCCTGCCCCGACCGAAGAACCTCCAGCCCCGTCGAGCTTGACGATGCATCCAAGCTCCGGAAGTGCTGTCGACGCCGGATTGCGGATGGACGACGACCGAGCCGCGCTGAATGCCGCGGGACGAAGCGCGCTGGCGATTTCCGGCCCACGGACTGCGGCCCCGCCTGCTCCCTCCGGGGATGCGGACACAAGACCGGTGGGGACGCCCACCACCCCGGCGGCGGGGCAACTCACTGCCTTTGCGGCGGAGCCATCCGCCGCCTTGTCTGCTTCCTCCGGGAATGCAGACACCAACCCGGTGAGGACACTCACCACCCACGCTAGCGCGCAAGCGCCGGCAAGCCCAGCTGCCGCACCCGATGCACGAGCGCTGGTGCCTTGGGAACACCCTGGAGATCAAGCCTCGGGGACAACACAGCAGACGTATGAGCTTCACCCCGGAGTCGCGGCGGCCTTGGACGCTGCACGCGGACCTCCGCATGATGGAGCCCTCGTGGCGCAGACTCAGCTCTCCCGACTACAGCAAAGCGAGTACGCCGAAGCCCAAGTCGCGCGATGGAGGTACCGAGGCGCTGGAGCGATGTCACCTCCGGACCTGTACTACCCGGAGCGACGTCACTGGCCGATGCGGAACTGGCTGATGGAAGCAAAGGAGACAATCCGGTACCTCCGCGAAGTCAACGTGTCTGGGGACCCCGAGCGACCTTGGGTTGCGAGCTTCCGGGTCGAATGCCTCTGTCTGCCCGTCGTCTCCGACAACCAAGCGCGGCTGATCGACTTCAACGTCCTCTGGCTCGAAGATGGCTCCCGGGACTACGTCTCGGTGATCACCATGTTGCAGGCCATGCTCTCCGACGCCGGGTTCGCCTTCGTGAATTTGGTGCCCTCATGGGGACAGACGCTGCATCTGGAGTTCTTCAGGCCTCGGGACACGAGGTTCATCTCGGACGCACTGTTTCTCCGATGGCTTCTGGTGAGCGAGCAAGATGCCTGGGACCAGATCGCCCGGGGGCGCAAGTTCAGTGTCGGACGGGAAGACGTTCCGTTCCAAGCCCTGGACCCCGAAGTTGCAACCGCATTTCCGGTCGAAGATGATGGCGACGCGCTGATGCTGACGTCCGAAGAGCAAGAGCTGCTGGGGATGGCTGTTGTGACCAGGCTTCGCTTGGCTCAGATCCGCCCTCGGGAGTGGTCCGATACAGACAGCAGCCGTCCCGAGCCCAAGCACCGGCGTGGCAGTGCGGACGCCCTGATGTCGATCCCGTCGTGGCCTGGTTCCGACGAGGGCGCTCGAGTTTGGGGAGGTCCTCTACCTGAGGTGGTCGGCTCCTCGAGCGTGGCGTCTGGAGATGCTCCCATGCTGACTCCCGACGAGAACATGTCGTCCGCGGGCGGTGGCTGCCAGGACTCCCCGGGCTTCGGCCCCGCAGGGGCCACAGCCAATGTTTTCGTGGCAACGGCGGGCACTGGTGGTGAAGCTGCGCCGACGATGGAGCAGCCTACGGTGTACGTCCCGGTCGCCGCATACCCTCCGGACTTCGCGCAAGCGCCGTCGCCAGGGGCTAACGCCCCGCTGCCCGCTAAGCTTCACGATCACGAGCTGGACGAGGAGCTGAAGGCAGAGGACCATGGAGCGGCAGCACATCCGATGGCACGACAAGTCGACGTGACCGACGAGGAGACGATGGCTCATCACGCCCTGCGCGAAGCGCAACGTCAAATCGTCGAGCTTCAAGCAGCCATGGCAGCTCGAGATGAGTAGGAGCGTGCTCGGCTCCGAAGCCTCGAGGAAGTGATGAAGACCCGGATCCCGGAGCGTGACATGAACCGTTCCGAGCGCAAGCAGCAGAAGTCGACGCAGCGCAAGCACGCGATTGAGGAATCCAGGCGTAAGGCTGCTGCCGACACTGAGGTTGCCACTCTTCAGATGCGACTCCACCAGCTCAAGGAACAGCAGGCCCGGGAACGGGACGACCTCCAGCACCAGTTCGAGAAGGCAGTTGCGCAGGAGCGCGCGGCAGCTTTCGAGGAGGCGCAAGCCATATCCAGGGATGCCGAGCGCATGCGCGACGAAGCAATCGCTGGAGCTGAGGCTGCTGCGGACCGTGTCAAGCAAGAAGAGGAGCGCGCTCAGAAGGAACGTCATCATCGTGTCCAAGAGGAACAAGCCCGGAGAGCGCTGGATCAGGAGCGCTTTGACGCACAGCAAGCAGAGATCCGGATACATCGGGAGCAGATCGCGGCAACCAATCGTCCACGAGGGCGCAGCCCATCCCCTGAATCCAGTGGATCGAGGTCTCGTCGCCAAAAGCGTAGCCGCAACCGGAGCAATCAAACAGCGGTCGGTGCGGCAGAGAGCGGTCCCCGGCGTGGAGCCGGTCCGGTCTCCGGAAGATCGGGCGGGATGGGACCTCCAGTCCCTTCGGCCTTTCCCTCGCGACAAGGCGACCCAGTTGGCACATCTGGAAATCCCACTGCTGCACCACGAATCGAAAGGACGGCATCGCAAACATCGACCTCCGAGGTCGGGGCGAGACCACCGACGACCGGTGCAAGCGAAACTCAACCTACAGTCGGTAGACCTGCGTTCAGCTTCGGGCCGTCCAGCTCGTACGCCCAGGGAACTTCAGCTTTCGGATCGTATCCAGCCCCAGGATACCAAGCGCCGACAGGGGCGAGTGGACCTGCTGTCGTCTCTTCGGCCGCCCCACCCTGGCAACGTGCATCGGTGGCGCCGCCCGGGGTCGGCCAGTACCCGTGGTCATCAAGCAACCAAGCCTCACTCCCAGCGGCCACTAACCACGGTGACACCACTACGTGGAACAGCAGTTTCGCGAGCATCGACGCGCAGCCAACATCCCAAGGTGAGACGTTCTCGTGGGGCCCTGGGGGTCCGGCCACCAGTGGTTTCAGTGGAGCGTTCCCGGGACCAAACCAAGTTCCGGGGTACGGCATGATGAGCTTCAGGTCCTTCATCGCCTACGACGCAGTCGATCCCTTCGATCCCTCGCTCCCGCTGGACAAAGGTCGTCTGTGGTGGGACAAGTTCCAGTACACCGCTCTTATGGGGGGATGGCGCGAACAGGAGCGCTGCACTCGACTTTACAGCCGATTAAGCCACAACGAAGGAACCAAGGCCTGGGTCCAGCAGCTCCCAGCAACGATTCGACACAGTTGGACCGCGCTCTCGGACAAGTTCGCCAAAGAATTTTGCCGATCCACAGAGTCTCCAGTCGAACGGTACCTGCGACTGAAGCAAGACTCCCGCGAGACTCCGAGAACCTTTTTGTGGAGGCTGAACGCAGCCGCTGTCAAAGCTAACGTGGACTACCAGTCTCCTTCGGGATGTCGGCGTCACTTGAATCAGTTCCTGAAGAATTTACGGGACCGTGAACTCCAGGTAAGCCTCCAGGGGCGTTTGTACTCGACGGTCGACGAGTTGGAGGAGACTCTGCGTCAAGTGGAAGAGATGGAGCGTGGACTGTGCCGCCGACCCGCGAATGATGCCATAAGCCGCCAGCGGTCAGCTCCGGGGCGGCCGCCCGCGGGACTTCCGGGGCCAAAGCTCCTGCTGCATACCTGTCAGTTGCGCCCCAGACCGATGACACGGCTCCGACCCGGCCGCTCCAGTGGGATGACGACGTCGACAGCGACTACGGCTATCAGTACGATGACGAGGATGACGATGACGAGGTGCACTCGCTGAAACAAGAACACGTCTACCGGGCGGAAGGCCCTCGGGGAACCAATCCTCGGGACGACCGTCCCCGGGACCGTTCCCGGGGCCCTGACCCTAGGTCCCGAGGTACTTCGGGAGCGTCGTCGCTCCAGTCGCCATGCGCCGAATTTGGACGTCCGGGACATGTCCGCGACGACTGTTGGAGGCTGATGAAGTGTGATCGATGCGGAGGGAAGCACCCGACCAACCTATGCCGCCGCGGTAAGTGAGAGGCGTGTGGTCAACTGCACCCTGCGGGCCAGTGTGAGGTTCTAGCGACCATCAAGCGCTTGGCCCAAAGGGGGAAGTTGCAGGGTGTGCCCGATGACGTGCTGCAGAGCCTACGCCAGGACGTTGCACCGCCGTTAAACGACTAGGCTCGCTGGGTAGGGACCCAGTACGCGACGAGCCTAAGTCCCGTACAAGCTACTGCGCTTATGCGTATCTTGGCCATAACGATCCACAATGTATGTCCATTTCATCTACATCACCTCCCAAGACCGCCTCCGTCTATACGAGTCATGTGGCCCCAGAAGAAGATGAACTTTCGTACGAACTTCAGCCGGGACAACGGCGCGGATGGTGGGAGGAAAATTCCTGGGACGACAGCACCAGCTCTGTGGCGCTGGTCCGGCGATCCATCTTCCACTACCGTACCTTGCTCATGCTCGACTCCGGAGCATCCACCAGTATTCTCAGCCTAGATCTTGCGCGTAGATTGAAGCTGAAGGTGGAGCCCCGGGGTGAGTTATGGCTCAACGGTATCGATGGAGTCAAGACCAAGGTATCCAACAAGTGTCGTGTGAAGGTGACCCTGGGTCACCGCGTCGTGTACACTCTCGACATATGGGTTGGCAATATCGACCAAGGGATCGACTGTCTCCTTGGGATGAACTTCATGGTGGCTGCAGGTGTTCGGCTGTGCGCCAACAAAGGAGAGGTCCTCCTCCCAGATGAAGAGCGTGTACTTCTCCTCGGCGGTCCACACCATGAACGTATGGGAACTGCCATCAGTGTGGCTTCCCACGAGGGTATGTGGTTAGCCCCCGGTGAGAGACGCTATCTGCCTATCTCCCTGGAGAACCATGATCCCGGGGAACTGGATGTGTGGGCAAGCCGCGGAGACCACTGGGTGGCGCTGATCATCTTCAGTACTCGCCAAATCCCTGTGGCTGTCCGCGTCGTGAACATCTCCAGAAAGCTGATCAACATCCTGCCTCACACGCGAGTAGCGACCTTGACGGAGATTGGTCGATTGCCCCTCGGGACGAAGTTCGTTCGCCCGGGGTCGTTGCAGTACGAGGAACGGGAATTCTTGGTTTACGATAACACTCGGTCCCGGGCTGCGGAGCGTCGCCTAGCACGTGAGGTTCAGGAACACGAACGCAATGCCCCACCTGCAGTCGAGCGCCGCTCGTATCCAACTCCCAAGGCCATTCTGAAGCGCCCGAAGAAGGAAGAGGCCAAGTCAGAAGCGGTGGTGACGGCGGCGTCCAGGGCCCCCTCCGTATCCGTGGCCGTACCTGAGTCCCCCGGCGAGGAGGAACTCCCAGGCCCTGGTGCGTCGACTGCTTCTCAAGCTCTACCGAGGGCTCCATCTGGAGACGCTCCTGCCGGCAACTGTGATATCGCTGATGACTGCGAGCTCCCAGAAGAGTCAGGGGGGGGGGCGTCGACACCCAAGGTAGCTGCGGAACAAGAGTTGTCCCGGGTCTTCCCGGACACGGCCCCGGTTCCCCAGTTCTCTATGTTGGATCGGGCCTTCGTCATGCTCGTGACGGCTGGGGAACAAGTGGACGCAGACCCCGCTGTCTATTACTACCAAGGGCAGGACTTCGTCCTCTTGGACATGCTCAAGAATCAGCTGGCCTACCTTCCAGACCTGAGTGACCTGCGGCCCGAAGCCAAAGTCGACGATGCCGTTGTCGGGGACCCCGGGGTGACCAGCCCCGAGGAGGAACGACACCTCCGTGGGCTCCTGCAGCGCCACAAGGTGATTTTCCTAGGGGAAGGGAATGCACTCCCGCCTCCGGCCCGGGGGGTCGTTTGTGATCTCGACGTCGGCGACGCCAAGCCAATCGCTCAGCGGGCTCGTCGCATCCCCGGGTAGCTTCTGCCGAAAGTCTACGAACTGCTCAAGCGGCTCCTGGAAACGGGTCTGATTGAGACCTCGCACTCTGAGTGGGCCTCTCCGATCGTCATCGTGATGAAGAAGATTGACACGGACATTCGCCTGTGCATCGATTACCGAGCTGTGAATCAGCTCGTCAAGCTGATGAACTACCCACTACCTCTGATTGACGAGCTGATGAGCAACTTTGCGGCGACGATGTGGTTCATGACTCTGGATAGGGCTAGCGGGTTCTGGGCTGTCCCCATGACGGCTGGGCCAAAACTGATCTCCGCCTTCGTGTGTCCCTTGGGTCACTTCCAGTGGCGACGTATGCCCTTCAGTCTGAAGAACGCACCGCTCATCTATCAGCAGCTCCTGGACAATTGCCTCTGGGGTTTTGTTCGCCTTTCTCCCGAAGAAGAGCGCCAAGTCGACCCTGAAGTTTTGGAGTTTTTTTGGTATTACGCTCGACGACCAAGCTGTGGGAACGGAGGAGCCCGAGCAAGCCCAGGTGTCCCAGGGTACGAAGCCCCGGGGGGCGGTAGTCTCCCGGACCAGTACGGATACGGTTTTTCACCAGAACCGCATTGCCCCGGAGCAAATGAGACCCGTCCTGTTCCGGAGTTCTTACATCGATGACATTATCTACGGAGCTCCGTCCTGGGACGACCTGTGCAAAACCCTGGACGCTTTGTTGTACCTGTTGCGTTACTGGAACATTTCGGTAAGCATCCCGAAGAGCGAGTTCGGTGTGAAGAAGTGCAAGTACCTGGGGCATGACATCAGCTCCGATGGCATCCGAACGTCGCCCAAGCTGGCTCAAAAGGTCCTAGACCTGCCGTTCCCGGGGACCCTCAAGGGGGTTCAATCCTTCCTGGGGAGCCTCAACTACTACAGCAAGTTCATCGAGGATCTGCCGGTGATTGCAGCCGTGTTGTACGAATTGTCTGACGAGCAGCTCCGCGCAGGGCGGGATCTAGAGAAGGCAAATCACGCGTTCAAGTTGCTGAAGGAGCGCCTGGTATCTACGCCACTGTTGCAACATCCGGACCCGGAGAGGCAGTACGTGATCATCCTGCATGCGAGCAAGTGGGCGGTCAGTGCGGTCCTGGGGCAAGACTATGATGGAGTGATCCGACCTGTGCGTTTTGTGGGGCGAGTCCTCCAGGATGCGGAACTGAGGTACCACCCTGCGGAAAAGGAGGTCCTTGCCCTGCTCCGGGTACTGAACACCTGCCACACGATGGTCACTGGGTGCAAGGTGAAGACCATTCGAGTGTACACCCGGTACTCTGTCCTGGGGTGGCTCTTCAAGTCGAAGACGGTGGATGGTCGGTGCCTGAAGTGGGTAGTCAACCTCTCGCCCTGGGACCTGGACATTCGCCGCGTGGAGACGGACGAAGACGGACTTGCTGCAATCCTTGGTGCGGGCATCACCCCCAGGGAACAGCTAGACGATATCGCTGAAGAACTTACCCCTTCCAAGGGCGCCCGGATTAAGACACCGCCGGTCAGCCTCGAGATGCTGTCAAGTGACCACGTAGGTTTCTTCTTGAGTTTTGATGGAGCCGCCAAGCGAGATGGGTCTGGGGGCGCAGCATGCATCCTCTGGGAATTACCGGTTTGGGAAGTCGTAGCAGCCGAGGGTCACCTTCTGGAGAAGGCCACGGTAAATGAAGCCGAGTACGCTGGGATGATCCGAGGAATGCTGCTTGCGAAGTCCCGAGGCGTCCAGAAACTGGTGGTTGTGAGGGACTCCCGGCTGGCTATTCAGCAGCTCCAGGGAGCCATCGGATGCACTCAACCGCATCTACAAAAGCTGCTTCAAGAGGCAAAAGAGCTCCGAGAACAGTTCAAGTCCCTGCGTCTGGTTCACGTGAAACGCGACTTCAACGCAGCCGCAGATTACATCTCCAAGCATGTCCTCCACGACCAGGCCTCGGTTGAAGTGACAGACCCCGGAGAGCTGAAACTGCTCCAAGGTCTGAACAGGATACACGAGAAGCTGATGAAGGAGCCCAAACCTCAGGAGAAGGCGCTGGTAGATGCAGTCTTTGTGGCCACGGCACGAGGCGCTGGAATATCCGACTCCGGGGATTCTGGACAGAGTGTGTATGTTACGACCAGATCAGGGGCGCGTCAAGATCATCAGCCTGGGCAACCCCAGGAACCGGACGAGGACATTCTGGAATCGGAAGGTGAAGAAGAGACCGCGGTCGAAGTCCGAGGGCGCCGAACGTACCCGGTAGAAGTAGACCCCGGAGAGGCAAGAAGGGAGCGTTGGAGACGAATATGTGCACACCAGGCCGCGGACCCGGACTTGGCCCCGCTGAAGAGCTTTCTCAGAGGCGAGACAGAGAAATTGTCCCTGAAGCAGACGGCTCATCTCGCCAAGATCGCGGACCAGTTCGTGCTGGACAGCCAGGACACCTTGTTCTACGTGAGCAGGAATACCCCAGAGCGACCCCGGAACGAAGCGGACCGACTAAGACTTGTGGCTCCCCGGGACCTCCAAGAGGACATCCTGCATCATTGTCACTCAGACATCCAGGGAGGCCATCAAGGGATCATCCGGACCTATGAACGCCTGCGACGAGAGTTTTACTGGATCGGAATGTTTAAGGCAACGGAGAGGTTCATCAAGGAGTGCGTCGACTGTGTGACGGCGAAGGGTCTGCCCCGGAACCCGGGGCCGTCCCCGGGGAACATACTCGCTACACGGCCGTTCCAAGTCGTGTCCATTGACTTCGTGATCCCGCTGCCCAAAACAGCCCGGGGACATGAAGCTCTGCTCCTGTTCCAGTGCGCTTTCTCGGAATTCATCATGTGCAAGGCCATGAAAGATACCTCGGCCCAGGTTGTGGCTGAAGCTTACGAGGAGCAGGTGTTTCGTCGTTTCGGCGCAAGCGAGATGATCCGTCACGACTAGGACCCTCGGTTCATGGCTCGCGTGTTCAAGCACTTCCGGGAAACGCTGGGAAGTCGGCAACGTGCGACCCTAGCGTATCGACCCCAGGCCAACGGTCAACAAGAGCGATCTGTGCAAACAGTGATCAGGAGTGTCCGGGCCTATGTGCAGACGGTCGACCAGAGTGACTGGGATGAACTCGCCGAGAAGCTCATGTGGGCCCTGAATACCTCGTACGACTTCACCAGGCTAGATACGCCATTCTACCTCGTCCACGGGTGGGACGCCCAAGGGACCGTCCCAGCAATGATGGGCGACGTCCCCAGGGACCTTCAACTCCGGGACGCTTATGAGTGGCGCCTGAAAGTCCAACGTCAAGTCGAGTACGCCAGAGCATGGGCCTGGGACCTCCAGGCGAAGGCCAAGGCCAAGCGAGCCCGGGAACACAATCGCCGATGGAAGCAGCTCTCGGACCGTCTGAAGGAAGGTTTTGAAGTAGGCGACTCCGTGTGGCTCTACCTAGCCCGGGTCCGCCCAGGGTTGACCAAGAAGCTGACCCACCTGTGGCATGGCCCCTTTAGGATTCTGGAGAAGAGCGACGACTTCCGGTACAGGCTCGAAGTCGAAGGCACGGACTATAAGTTCTACCCCTGGGTGCACGTCAGCAGGTTGATGCCCCGGGCCCTCTTCCCGGAGAGGCCCTCCGATACCCTGGATATCCCTGAAGACGACGACTTTGACGCTGCTCTGCTCCGCGAAGACAGCTGGGAGCCCGACGAAGCCGCCGGTGAATACGAAGTGGAAGCCATCTTGGACGTACGCTGGGTTACCCGAACTCGTACCAGCAGACGGATCAAGGAATACAATATTAAGTGGAAGGGCTACGATGTCCCGGAGTGGATACCCCAGGGGCGCCTGAACTGTGGACGGCTGCTGTACGAGTTTGACCAAGGAAAGCGCGCTCGTGTCCGTTTCCAGGCAATGCAGTCCGGAGACGAGCTCCCGGATGGAGAAGTCCGGTAGAGCCCCGGGGCGTGGACCCCGAGTCGAGCGCGAGTTCCTCGGGTGCGTCCCCCGGAAGCTTCGGGGTCATTGGCTGAGATTACTCGCTAGTGTGCCCAGGAAGCTTGCATGTTATATTTTTCGATTTGAACCCAAGACTCCCGGGCAGAAATGTCCGGTAGAGCAACCCCAGGAGCGGAGCCAAGTTCGACTAAGGTGCGACCCCCTGGGATGCCCGGGGACCCAGCTGAGATCACTCGCTGAGGAGACCCCGGAAGTACATGTATACGAAAAGGAAATTGAACAAGGCCGAAGAAGAAGATCAAGATTACCGAAGATAAATGGCGTCGCTGAGGAACTACTTCCCTACGTGGAACATCACGGGACAGGAGGCATGGCAGGAGGCACCGGTATCACGCGAGACGCACGGTCGTCAGCGTTATCAACCCTGGCACTCCACACCTCTGCGTCAACACTCTCCGCAATCCGGGCGCTTGAATCAGGGACGGACCAGTAGGCGCGAGCCGGCTCACGCGAATCCAGGAGCTCGAGCTGTTCCGCGAGCGGGCAGTCAGCGGACTTGTCCATCCAAAATCCAGGTACAGATCAAGTGTAGACGACGCCAGAGCCCGGGCTCCTGCTCGAAGAGCACACGCTCGACCTCGGGGAGTTTCTCCATTTGCGCACGAAGGGCCTTCCAGGCCCCGTCCCACGCACGTTGTCGGCGACGGGGATCCGCGTACAACTGCGACACGGTAGGATCGCTGCGATCGATCTCCACCCAGTGCGTCCGCTCCCAGAACGCTCGACGCTGTGCGACGTACTCAATGACAAGGCTTCGAAGTCCCGGGCTCATCGCCGAATACTGCTTGAAGAACCAGAAGACTGTGATTCGACGCTGGAACATGATGTCACAAGGCAGCAAGGGCTGCATGCTCGTCACTGTCAATAGGCCGATGTAGTCACCGGTGAGAAGTCGCTTCTGGACTAGGTGAAGGCTTCCTCGGAGGCACTGGTAATCCGGGAACCCCAGCGACTGTAGCCCGCCGTGGCGAACTTTCGTCCGCGTCACGTGCACGCCATACACGATCCAAGACGGTGCTCCTGGTTCCGGCAGTTCGACATCACGGGAGCCTAGAGCCTGTTCTCGAGCCCGAACCAGTTGCCCCTCTTGGTTTCCTTGTGCGGGACGAGTTTCACGTCGATGTGCGCCTCGGACGGATGGTATGTTGATACACACGATGCTCCGGGAAAACGTACTGATCGAGGTGCTGCGTCGACTGCTCGGCCTCGGGATCCTGGACGACGTGTGGTGGACCCGTCATGTCCCTGAAAAATACTTTGAGGCCGCAGTGGTCCTGGCTAACCCGTCTCGTTGGGAGGTCGATGCGAGTCGCCCCTGGCCGGCGATACCCACGGAGCGCTTGGACTCGCCGACGCCTTCCAATTCAGAGTCGGACGCCTCAGTCACTGATGAAAGACGACATGGTGGGGCCTCACGATCACGGAAGAGAGTTCTGGGTTCGTCCGGCCCCGGGACTGGTGGTCAGGATATGGTTCCAGCAACTCCAGCGTCCAAACGGGGGCGCTCGACTCCCCGAACGATGTTCTGGGACTGTTGGAGGTCCCTCCGCTCAGGGACCATGCGCATGAACTCCAGCAGATCGAGACGAACATCTTCGAGGGCACACCCGGAAGGGAGCAGGCACTGGATTTCGGAGACAGGTCGAGGAGGGTCGGCATCCGAGTCGATGGCGCGGTAACGAGCACTTCGTCGATTGGTTTCAGGGGCGTACCCAACTGGTCTGACCTGGCGAGACCCATCGCTCGACATCCGGGTCCCCGAGGAGTCGAGACCCACGTCGGTGTCCAAGTCCGAGTCATCAGCGATCTCAACAACCTCTATGTCCCTGGAAGCGGCTCCCGAGATCCCGGCACGTTGGGGCAGAAGACGTACCGTGCTGTCTACGCTCCCGGACTTCATAGCAATACCTCGACGAAATGCCCCCCCGTGACTCCCGACCGAACCTCGCGACTGACGACGGCTTTGAGGCCCTGGTACCAGTGCCGTGGTAGCCGAGGAAGAGGCAGCCGAATGATCCCGTGCCCCAGAGGCGCTGGACCCATCGGCCCCAGAACCCCGGATGGAGACCAGAATCCCGGGCACGTCACGGCCCTGTCGATCCTCAGTAACGTCGTCCCTGGATGGTCCTTGGTCCCGAGGCAAGCGGCCCAGGGCTGGACGTGGCAGTTCGTCACCAGGTGCGGGCCGGTCCTGCGCGAGACCACGATCAAGAACTGAAGGAGTCGAGGGAGTCGAGGGCTCCGGGAACGGCGCCCCTGAACCGCCACCATCCAGTCGAGTAGCCGACACGAAGAGCTGGCACGGCACCGGCTGCCCTCGCTCAAAGGCCCCGACGACATCGCGAAAAGCTTCCCAGTCACCGACTAATCCCCAGGGTCCTTGACCCCGGAGGTAGTGCATGAATGACATCGCGTCCAACAAGGTGCGTCGGCCCCGGAACTCGCGGTTCTCTGCTTCGAGTCGAGTGTTCTCGCGTCGGAGCCGCGCGATGTCCTGCTCGAGTTGCCCCTGCTCAGCGGCAAGGACGGCCAGATCTCGACGCGCTTTGGATCTGTCCACCTCAGCCAAGACCAACTGCTCCTGGGCTCGCCGCAGATCGTCATGTTCAGCTTGCAACATGAGTCTGGTTCTTTCGACGAGTGCGTTATATTCGCCTCGCAGATCGCCCCTGAGTTCGGCGACTCTCGTACGCCACTCAGCGCCCTCCTTCCGCCGGTTTTCCTGGGAACGACGTAGTGCCAGATTCAGGTTCCGGCAAGTCAAGCAATCTTCCGAGACGTCGGCGTCTTGATGACGGCAAACTTCTGTCAGCTCTTCGACTCGACGCAGCGCGAATTGTAGGGACCGAAGAGTGTTAAGCACTCTGAAGCCGAAGTGATCAGGGCCGAACAAGTCGATGAGCGGTCCGGCTTGGATCTCAGCCGCTCGCCCTCGGGAACCAGGAGCCATGGTGTCAGAGGCCTCGATCAACCTGCTGGGTACCAGGATGTTGCCGGCTGTCTCGTCGCCAGCAGGAAGCAGCTCCGCTAGCGTCTGGAGTTCATGTGCCGTGAACCCTGGCACCCGTACGACCAAGTGAGCGATACCCTCGATGTCCCGGATCAGCCCAGCGCCCGAACGACCGGCCACCAGGTCCCGGACATCGACAGCAGTGAGTGGCACGTACGCGATGGGAGGCGTCGACGGAGGCTCTCCCACGCTGACACCCAAGCGAGCATGCGCCACCTCTCCGGTGGGGAGTGTCCTATGTGAAAAGGCCCGGTGGATTTCGCCACCGAACCCATGTCCAGCTGACCCGTTTCAATCCAGGACGCTGACCCGTATCAATCAAGCAGACTTCAAGTGCGTCATGGCCGCGATGGATCTGGACCACCAACTGTCGGACACGAGCCGTGCGACGAAGGAAGCTGAGCCCGAGGTCTGGGCGGAGCTCCGCTCAGACTCTGGGCTTGAGCGAAGATTGTCTGAGATCCGAGATGTCCGGTGTTGGGAATCCCAAGTCTGAGCTGAGTCCAGGAAGCTGGGAGAAGCTACGTGGAATCTGAGCTGAGCCTCGAGTGCGATGACCGGAGTCCCCGCTCAAGTCGAGGAACTGAGCGGAACCTGGTGGAGCGTGGGTTCGACCTCCCCGGTGGTTATGGAGCCGTTGCCCAAGGTGTCGAGCTGAGTCGAGGAGCAGGCGTCCGAGCGAGGTCGTGCCGAGCCCGAGCCCGGTTTCTACTGTGATCATGGAACCTTCACGAAAGTTGACAAGCTGGGCGAGGATCGAAGGTCTGAGCGGAGTGACGTGGAGTCCGAGGCCGGCTTCGAATGCGATGTTTGAAGTCTTTGCTCAAGTCGAGAAGTTGAGCGGAGTGGCATGGGCCTGAGCGGAGTTGTCGGAGTCCTGTTGAAGTGCCGAGTGAAGAGTCGCTGGACTTAAGTCCAGGCAGTGGTACTGACGGCGAAGTTGGTGGCACCGGCGAGTACACTCATCCGGTGAATCAGCCATGAGCCAGCCTACATTGGGTGCGACCGCCCAAGATTGCGGACACTTCAAGCGGATCTCAACGGCCTCCAGCGGCTTCAAGACGACGCCCGCCGACGTGGAGCCGCCGCATTGGCCAAAACCAAGGATGTCGGGCGGATCTTCGAGGGAGCCCGGTAAGCATACAGCCGACGCTCTTCGCGCAGCCAGTCAGTGTGTACCCAGGGGGATATCGCGCCCCCACTTAGTGAGTCCTAGTTTGTGCATGTGTAAACATTTAAACAGAGGTCGTTTTGCCCCGGAGGACGCAAATGGTGGAGGTCTTTGGCCTGAAGGTGTCTTGGCGATCATCCACACAAATTCAAGTTAACATATCAACGTTGTCAGAGTGCTTCGGTGCGACGGCAGTACGGTTATTTCATATTACTGTTACATCTTAGGGTGTATTTCATATTTTCGGGTGGAAGGTGATCCATTCTGAGGTTTAGACAGGGTAGTTGTATTGTGTACTTGGGGACATTGGCGTGCCCCGGTGCATTGTGTGATTATTAGTATCGGTTCATTGTGGACCTGGTGCGCGGGTAGTCCCAGGGTGTGCGTGAGTGCCTTGGATTCGGACTAGGCTCAAACCGAGTCACTAACTCCAGACCGGGTCGTTGCTTGACTCGAAGAGAAGAAAGGAGAAGCTGGTGCGAGCCTCGCCCAGGCTCAGAGAAATAAAGGCGAACTCGGCCCAGACCCAGGCCGACCGGGAAAGAAGGGGTGTTGTGGTTCTGAGCCGGAACCAAAGAGAGGAAGTGGAGGCTATATTGTGTGTGGTGTTGTGTTCATTAAGGAAAACCCGGGGCATTTCGGGCTGTGGACACGTGCGGACCATGACTCGCCAAGTGGGGAGTGAGTCTCGTCTGGGAACACCTCCGGAGACCTTCAACATCGACAGCAGCTGGTGTGACCGACGCGAGTCTGGGCCCACAGCGTAGCCGTGATCAAAAGAACCGCCAAGGGGATCGCAGAGTGAGGAACACACGCCTCGCCCGACCCGAGTCGGAGCTGAGCCAAGCGTTCAAGCGGCTAAGCCTAGCGAAGTGGAGTGGGAGTGTTCGCTCAGTGGAAGGAGCTGAGCGGGACTATTGCAGCGCTAAGCAGGGCTGAGCCAAGTGGTGCAAGGGCTGAGCGAAGACCAAGGTCGAGCGGTCTAGCAACCTGAGCAAAGAGCACGGGCGCTTCGTCACACGTGGTGCGCGTGCCCGGATCAGGGATACGACTTTGGACAGACAAGCTACAGTCATGTCGACTGCTGCTGATTCGAAGAAACCAAGACTGGAGGTGAGAAGAGCGAGTCTTCGGTTCTGCGAAGTTTGAGAGTGGCTGGATTGCCAGCCGAGGTGGTGCCGACGGAGTCTGGGGCGCCCAGGGCGAGAGGATTGACTAAGGGAGCCCGGACACCCAGTGCTGAGGGAGAAGCTGCGTCGTCAGGCGAGGCTGCGCCAAGCGCTGAGCCGGAGGTGCCACCAACGACGGAAACTGCTGTACCGCCACCAAGTTCGCCCGAGAGGAAGAAGTCTGAGGGTGAGCAAGGTGGCGGAGCGGGTGCTCAGCCGAGCGCTCGTGTTGGTGAAAGTCCAAGCCTGAGAGAGCCTGCTGTGAGCCGAGCGTTGACGACGCGCAGGACTTCTGAGGCCATGACTGCAACTTCTCAGTTGCAAGGTGCTAACCCGGAGCCAACTGCTGCGGATCTCCGCAGTGGACAAGCCGAGAGTGGTGCCCTGAGCCTGCTGGGAAGCCGAGAGATGCAGCTACAAGCTCAAGGTGCTGCTGGGACTGGGACGGGCCCGGTCCAGTTCAGCTTTACTTCGGGAGCTGGATACTTTGGAGCGTCAAGTGGAGGCGGAGCCTGGTCAAGTTCGCTTTGGCCGGACCAACGCCCCTACCAGAGGCTGAGAGGAGTCCCCGAAGGAGTCGAGGCTGACAGCCGAACCTTGGCCCAGCTGTCTGAGCTGTTGGAAGTCGAGATGCTCGCGTACGGCCGAACCCAGTTCGAGATGTGGATGTCTGTGCCCGCTGGAGTCGTGCACCCGGTGGATGTGACCTATTCGCCATGCCATGGAGGCTATGATCTCTGCGGTTTCATCCGAGCGGCTGGAGCTACGGCCAGACCCTTGATGTCCGTGACTCGGTCGCCCGCTGCGAGATGGCTGAACGTGTTCCATGCTGAACGTCGAAGGATCCCTGTCGTCTCCGACCTGAAAGCAGTGCGCGTGGCGCTGAGACTGATGCCGCCCGTTGCATGCGTCGCTCTGTTGCAGACGATGCTGCATGAAGCCGGCTATGAGTTTCTGAACCAAGTCCCAGTGTGGCACACGCTGTCTGAAGTTGCTGAAGTCCCAGATTCGCAGATCCGGTTTGAGATCGAGCGCATCGCCCGATTCCTCGGAGCTGAGCTCAGTGCTTGGAAGGCTGCGGTCGGGTCAATCCCATATTACGTGAGGCCGACCTCAGACCCTCAGCTGATGGCTGCTCAAGCTGTTGAGACTCAAGTCGGATTTCCCTTGGACAAGGATGGAGACGCGATCATGGATGAGGACACTCAGCTGTTTTTGGGCCCGAAGTCGTGATGCGCCTTCAGCTCACTGGTCTCAGACCTCGGAGTCCGACCTCAAGTGTCGAAGGCGAGCCGTCTCGAAAGCGTGCATTGCTGACGAGGTCTTCTGCTAGTGGCTCAATCCCGAGCTACTACGAGTCGGGCGAAGCTCCTGCTGAGACTGCGCTCGGATTCCGTAATGACCGAGTGCCCAGCATGGTTGGTGCAAGCTCTGGTTCCGACATGTCTTTGATGGTCACGGATGAAGGGGGAAACCTGTCTGGATTGAGTTCCTCTGGTTCCTCTCTGATGTCTATGACTGACTACATGGTTGGGACTGGGACGCACATGCCCATGTCGACGGCGACGTTGATGCGAGGCTCAGTTACGACGATGCCCCGCAGCTCATTCCCGGGAATGACGATCTCAGTCACGCCCCAGCTTACTCAGGCTGGTTCCGCACCGGCCAGAGCTGAGCAGAGGCCGTATCGACCTGAGCATCCAGCCCAGATACCGCTGCCGGGCAGTCCAGAGTCGAAGCGCCTGGCCCCGAAGCAAGCTGAGACCCGACAAGTGCAGTCCACGGGATTCCGGTTCACGCATCCATCCGTTATCGGCTCCTTTGGAACGACGACTTCGGATGACTTGCCCTCAGTCGAGCGAGACCACCGGCGAGCCCTCCAACAGAGTGAAGCTACCGCTTGGGCACGTCTTGATGCAGAGCAGAACCAACGCCGAGCTCTTGAAGCACGGTTGAGTACCGCTCTGGCCGACAACCAGCCGGAGCAAGCCCGACTGCAGGAGGAGTACCGGAAACTTCAGGCGACCAACGTTCGGATGTCCGACGCCCAACAGCAGGCCAAGACGGAACAGCAGAAGCAACTTGAAGCCTTGGAGAAGCTGGCCCAGCGCCGCGCCGCCGAAGGAGCTGAGAAGCGCAAGGCGGACGAGGTTCGAGCTCAGCAACTGCTTCAAGTCCAGAAGGCGCTCCAAGAGGCTGAGGTTAGGGATATGCAAGCTGAACAGCGGAAGGCGCAGAAAGAATGAGCTGCCGAGATCAAGACTAAGCACGAGCTGGAACTGCTGAGGCTGAGAGAGAAGCATGCGCAGGCAGAAGCAGAGCACCAGCGGGCCATGCAGGAGCAGGAGGAGAAGACTCGCCAGCTCCTTGCAGCCCATGAGCAGCCCAGTCTATATCCTGGCCCCGTCGCTTCGACTGCTGGACGTGTGCCATTGCCAGCGGACCCCCCGTTTCAGCACCTGTCGTGTCGGCTCGATTGCCGACCGATCCGGTCCTGGCGCAGTTAGCCCAGGTCACGAGCGTGATGCAGCAGCTGGTCCAAGCCAACCAAGTCAAGTCTGAGGTGACTGGTATGAGCCGCAGTGCTGGCAAGACCCAAGGTCCGGCCAAGCGTGCTGAGACCAAGTCTAAACGTCGCGCATCAAGCGCGACGTCTGGCACGAAGGGCAAGGCTCGGGCGACCAAGCCTGGCAGGCCCGGAGACTCGGACGGGGACGACTCTGGCTCGGACGACTCAAGCTCAAGTTATTCGTCGCAAGATGAGCTCGAAGGACAGTTTGGTACTGTGGCGCAGCCTAAGGGGACTGATACCAGTTCTGGAACCCGCGTGGTCGTCCAAGCGATGATTCCCCATGATGCTTTGGAGAAGTTCGACGAGAAGGGACCGCTGGAGGACCGAGTCAACTGGTGGGAGAGGTTCATGTACTACGCTACGATGGCTCCTTGGGACGAGAAGACCCGGGTGGTCCAGTTACGCATGAGACTCACCGGTTCCCTCAAGGATTGGTGCACTCAGCTTCGGGACGACGTTCGCTCAGACTGGAAGAAGTTGTCTCACGTCTTCAAGAAGGAATGGTGCCGTACGCTGAACTCCAAGGCTGAGCGGTACTACTCGATGGAGATGAAGGACTCCGATACACCTCGGATGTTCTTCTACCGTCTGAACCATACCGCCAAGAAGGCTGGGATCCCGTACCTGAGACCGACCGTCGATCGCGAGGCTCACATCCGACGTTTTATCAAGGCTTTGACTGACTCAAGGCTGAGGACTACTCTTCAGGGACAGCGTTTCGATACTTTGGATGAATTGGAGAAAACCCTGAAGAGGATCGAGGCTCTCCTCCAAGACGAGAGCTATGAGCAGAAGCGGCGCCCAGCGCAAGGGCTTCAGTTTGGACGTTTCAAACCTCCACAGTGTCAAGCTGAGGGACGTGCATTCAAGGCGGAAGGCGTGGAAGTTGACCCAAGTCTGGGACGACATGCACACTTCCAGGATGACTACGACCTGAAGTACGAGGCTGATTCTGAAGAAGATGTGGACCGCTCAGCTGAGCGAACCATGTCTCCGCCTGTCCCCGCGCCAGCTCCTGCTGCTGCAAGCTCAGCTCAGGCTGAGCCCAGTCGCTCTACCTCCCTGACCGATGAAGAAATTTTCCGAGTCGCTGAGAGATTGGCCTGGAAGCCGAACGCTCAGCGCTATGACCGTGGAGGAGAACAGCACCCAGAGCAGAAATGTGACGAATGTGGCAGTCGTAACCACCCGACGGACAAGTGCTGGAGCCGACTTATCTGTGGGCGATGCCACGATGAGGGTCACCCGACCCAATTCTGTAGGCGTCAGTCGTGTTCCAAGTGTGGCGAATACCATCGCCGGGGTTTGTGCGATATGTGGTCGGCACTCAAGGCGGTACGCGAGGCAATCCGCACCGGAGGCTCGGTCGAGGGCCTCGCTCCTGAGGTAATCCAAGCTCTGTTGGATAGCCCAGAACTCCGAGAGAAGTCGTTAAACCACTTGGCTCGCTGGTTGGGAGACCAGTGTGTGACGAGCCTAGATCCCAAGCGCTCTGTGCCTTTGCATATGTGGGCCCAGCCCTTTCATGTTGGCGCAGAGATAACCCCGAATGTACAATTTCTTATCATGAAGCTGGTGTTTACACTTTCGATACTGACCGCAACACGCTGGACCCGGAGGATGAAATGGTGAACCATCTTGAGTTCGATATGACTCCGGGCGAGATGTATGGTTGGTGGAGTGAACACACGCTGACTGGCGAGAAACGGAAGATGGCGATGGTGCACGGAGCAATCTTCCATCACCGAACGCAGATACTACTGGATACTGAAGCTACGACAAGCATTTTGGGCTTAGGTCTTGCACGCAGATTGAAGCGCAAGCTACGCCGTGGTTTCAGGCTCAGAGTAACTGGGATGGGAGATGCTCCGACCTACATTACCGCCCAAGCTAAGATCAAGCTGACGCTGGTAGTGCGTGTGGTGTACGTTATGGATGTCTGGGTCGGCAACATCGGCGAAGGAGTAGATTGTCTTCTCGGAATGGACTTTCTGGTGGCAGCTGGAGTACGGCTCTGTGCCCGTGAAGGCGTTGTGAGGCTGCCGGACGAAGAATCTCTGTTGTTGGTTGGAGGACCTGAGATCGACCATGTCGGACTGGAAGTCAGCGTCTGGTTGAACGAGACTGCCTACCTCTACCCTGGACAATCTGTGATAGTCCCGGTCAAGTATCACCAAGCGGACCCAGAGAAGGTGATTCCCTGGGCTGGGCGGGGTGATCAGTGGGTTCCACAGTTCATCTACGGACCTGGGCGGAAGCCGAAGGCGGTCAAGGTGGCCAACATCTCGGAACGAGAGGTCATGATCCGCCAGCATACTGTGGTTGCTTGCCTTGTGGAGAAGCGTTACCTGCCCAACGGGAAGCGGTTTGTGCGACCTTACTCGTGGAAGTACAGAGAGTCGGCCCAGCTCATCTACGAAGCTGAGCCCTCCCCAGACGTTCTGAGACGAGAGGAGGGAGCGGCTCGGCTAGCTGAGCTCAACGCTCCACCCGCGGTGGAGAGGACAGTCTACAAGCGACCTATGAAGCTGCTGCTGTTGAAGCAGTCTGATGACCCGAAGGAAGACCGAGCCAACATGAAGCAGCGAAGAGCTGAGGCGTACGCCGCCAATACTGTGTCGCCTGAGACTGCTCAAGTCAAGATGGCCCGGACACCTCAGGGACGTCCTGCCTCATGGAAGCCGCTGCCGCGATCGCCTCACCCGGATGACGTGCAGTCAGGGACGAACCAAGGAAACACATCGGAGGGAGCTGACACTCAGCCTGCGGCTGAGCCAAGTTCCTCGGAGTCAAACTCAGCCCAAACCTCTCCTGCTGGAGGTGGTGTGAATGCCCAAGAAGCTCGGAACGAGCTGGATCATGTGTTCAAGGCTGAGCCGACCGACTTCGCGCCTGATCCGATTGCTCGTCTTCAGGAAACGTATGCTCGTTGTCTCAGAGTTGAGATCAGTGAGGACGCTGACGAAGCTACGGTGTACTTCCATGAAGGCACAGAATTGCTGAATGACCTCCGGGACCAGTTTGCTGCTCTTCCGGAGTTGAAGGATCTCAGCCCAAACGCAGACCTCTCAACGGCTAACGTGGGAGAACCAGGCGTTACGACTCCAGAAATGGACGCTCAAGTGCGAACGATTTTGGAAAGACATCATGCCAGTTTTCTTGGGGACGGGAATGCAGTACCGGCCACTGCTCGTGGAGTTGTCTGTGACCTGGATGTTGGGGACGCGAAGCCCATCGCTCAGAGGTCTCGGCAGGTTCCGACGCACTTGCTCGACAAGGTGTTCGCTCTGATCAAGAAGCTGCTGGAGACTGGGCTCATCAAGTATTCGCACTCAGACTGGGCTTCGCCAATTGTGATTGTGATGAAGAAGAACGGTGCGGATATCAGGCTGTGCATCGACTATCGACTGGTCAACCAACTGATCAAGCTCTCACACTACCCTCTGTCCTTGATTGACGATCTGTTGATCGGGTTTGAGGAGGCGATGTGGTTCCTGAGCTTGTACATGACCAGCGGGTTCTGGGCAGTGCCGATGACTCTCCGGGCTAAGCTGATTTCAGCCTTCATCTGTCCTTTGGGACACTTCCAGTGGAAGCGCATGCCGTTTGGTCTCAAGAATGCCCCGCTGATGTACCAGCAGATGCTCGATAACTGCCTGTGGGGCTTCGTGCGACTTCCGCCCTGCGAGGAGGCCCGAGTTGGCCCGGACGTGCTGGAATTCCTAGACATCGAGGTGGACGACTCCGCTAAGGAGGAAGAAATCTCTCCTCTGTCTGAGGAGACTACCGTGTTTCGGCGAAACATTCCGGCCCCGCCTCAGCTGAGTCCTGTTCTGGGACGAAGCTCCTACATCGATGACATCGCGTATGGAGCAGAGACCTGGGACCAGATGTGCGAAGTCTTGGACCGGTTGCTTTATCGACTGAGGTACTGGGGGATTTCGGTGAGCTTGCCCAAGAGCGAGTTTGGCAAGAAGTCTATCTCCTACCTCTCGCACGAGATTGGAGCTGATGGAATCCGGGCCAAGCCGAAGATTGCCAAGGGAGTCAAGGACCTGCCATTTCCGTCGACGCTGAAAGGAGTGCAGTCATTCCTGGGAAGTCTCAACTACTACAACAAGTTTATTGAGGACCTCCCGGTTGTAGCGTCTGTGCTCTACGAGTTGACGGATGAGCAGATCCAAGCTGGACGCGATCTCGGCCGAGCTAAGGAGGCGTTTGAAATCCTGAAGTAAAAAATTGTCTCTACCCCGCTGCTCAGACACCCGAACAGGGAGAAGCCGTTCGTGATTATTCTGCACGCTAATCCCTGGGCAGTATGTGCGGTGCTAGGCCAAGAGTACGATGGAGTCATTTACCCGGTGCGAAACACTGGAAGGACACTGCATGATCAGGAGCTCAGATACCACCCGGCTGAGAAGGAGGTTGTAGCGTTGCTCCGGGTTCTCAGAGTCTTCTACTCGATGCTGAGTGGTTGCAAGCTGCTAAGGGTCTACACCCGGTTCTCGGTTCTGAAATGGTTGTTCAAGTCTCGGTCTCTAGAGGGACGCTGTGAGCAGTGGGCCGCACGTCTGTCACCCTGGCCTTTGGAGGTTCACAGAGTCGAGCGCGATGAAGATGGTTTGGCCGCGATCATGGGAGCTGGGATCACCCCCCCCCCCCCCCCCCCCCCCCCCGTGACCAGTTGGACAAGATCGCAGAGAACCTTATCCCAGACAAGGGACGAGTTGTCCGAGCCCCACCGATCAGCTTGGAGATGCTGGAGACGGACTACTAGGGATGGCTGCTCAGCTTTGATGGAGCTGCCAAACTGTCGGATCGCTCTGGTGCTTCTGGCTGCATTCTGTGGAAGCTCCCATCCTGGGACGTGGTCGAAGCTCGAGGATTCCACTTCGAAGGCATTACGGTGAACGAAGCCGAGTACCATGGACTGCTCGAGGGAGTTCGCATGGCGAAGGCTCGTGGCATCTCAGACCTTGTGGTGGTCGGTGACTCTCGGATTGTCATTCAGCAAGCTCAGGGCCTGATCCAGTGTCTGAGCCCAGGGCCGCAAGTGCTGCTGGCTGAGTTTGAAACGCTTCGCCCAGAGTTCCAACGATTGCGCTTGGTACATGTGAAGCGAGAATATAACGCAGCTGCGGACTACTTCACGTCGAAGACTCTGGTGACTGAAGGTCCTGTCGCCATTGAAGATCCGGTTGAACTGGTTCTGCTCAAACAACTGAATCGGATCCCGGAGAAGCTGATCAAGGTGAATGAGACTGAGCCTGCTGAGCCTGAGACGGAGCAACCTGACACTCAAGCTGATGTAGAAGTGGTGGCTGAGCCAACTCCACTGGAAGATGCTGCCAAGCCTCTGTTGCCCAGCGCTAAGATCTTCGTGGTGACTAGGAGCCAAGCTCGGGCCAGGGACGCTGAAACCACAGCAGCCAGGGACGAGTCCGACCAAAGTGTCGATCCTGACCAGAATGCTGAGCCCCCCGCTGACCAGGCTCCAGTGTACTCACCTGAAGCAGCAACTCCTGCTGCGTCAATCGCTGAACGATGGAGACGCATCCTAGTTCTGCAAGAGGCTGAGCCTTGGACGAAGAAGCTCAAGGATTATCTGAATGGAGACTTGGGGAACCTCTCCGCTACTGAAGCGGAAGATGTGGCCAAGGTGGTGGACCAGTTCACCCTTGATTCGAGAGGAGTCCTGTACTATCTGAGTCGAGCTACTCCGGGAAGGCCCAGGGACGCAGTTGGGAATCTGAGATTGGTTGTGACAACGGCGCTGAGGGATGACTTGCTTCAGCTCAGTCATGAGGAGTTCCAAGGTGGCCATCAAGGGATCACTAGGATCTTCGAGCGACTGTGCAAGGAGTACTACTGGCCGAGGATGTACGCCGACGTGGAACACTATGTGAAGGAATGTGTGGATTGTGTCACTGCCAAGGGAGCTCCGCCCAACCCTGGGCCATCGCCGGGAATCATTTTGGCGACTAAGCTCTTTGAGGTGGTCTCTATGGACTTCGTTACGCATCTACCCAAGTCTGACCGTGGAAATGTGTTCCTGCTCCTGTTCCAGTGTGCATTCTCAGGCTTCATCATGTGCAAGCCGATGAGTCTGACCACAGCTTAAGATGTCGCCGAGGCCTACATGGAGTGTGTGTTCCAGAGGTTTGGTGCGAGCTCTCTACTCCGCCATGACCGTGATCCACGTTTCATGAGCGAGGTGTTCGCCAGGTTCCGCGAGATGCTGGGAAGTCGGCAGCGCGCGACTCTGGCGTACAGACCTCAGGCAAATGGCCAGCAAGAGCGCTCAGTGCAAACAGTGGTCCGAGCTATCCGAGCGTACGTCGCTGAGCCAGATCAGAGCGACTGGGACGACCAGGTAGAGAAGTTGATGTGGGCTCTGAACACGTCCTTTGACGCCACCCGTCTCGACACGCCGTTCTACCTGGTCCACGGCTGGGACCCTCATAGCACTGTTTCGGCCATGCTGGGACCATCTCCGACGGGCTTGGATCAGAGGACTGCCTATGAGTGGCGTCGCAAGACTCAGCGCGAGTACGAGTACGCTCAGGCCTGGGCTAAGGACTTACAAGCTGAGGCCAAGGTCAAACGCTCAGCTGCTCAGACAAAAATCTGGGCTGAGCTGTCCGAGAGACTCAAGAAGGATTTCGACGTTGGTGATGCTGTGTGGCTATACCTAGCTCGAGTACAACCTGGGCTCACGAAGAAGTTCGCTCACCTCTGGCACGGTCCGTTCCGGATTCTGGAGACTTCAGATGACTTCCGATGCAAACTGAAGGGTTAAGCGGACCTGGACTTCACGAAGGGTCTGAGAGTACTTGGTCAAGTGGAACGGGTACCCTGACACTGAGTGGCTTCCCATGTCTCAGCTAAGTTGCGGAGCTTTGCTGTACGAGTTCAACAAGAGCGCCAAGGCGAAAGCACGGTTCCAAGCAATGCAAGCTGGGGATGAGCCTCCTGAGCCTGATGCTCAATAGAGGCGCCTCCGCTGTGAACCTGTGTATGTCGCTGTGATGTTCTATGTGTGAACACTTTGTATTATGTGAATTTACGACTACGCTAAGTGATGTGGAGAATGGCTTGGCGTTTCTCGTGGAGAACAGCGGGTGAGCGCGAAGTGCACGCGCGTCAAGAAGCTGAGATCAGTGAGGGTGAAATAGGCAAGAAGCGAAGTGAAAAACGAGTGGTGAATTAGGAATAATGATGAACGCTCGTTGCCTACGCTTCCTCAGTCTCCTCCTCTGGCGCAGCCTCCAGAGCACGAAGCACCTCAGCAAGCGTGTCGTGGTTGTACTCCGGCGCTGGGATAATGGGGTTCGCCTTTCGTTCGGCTCTGCTCTTGGGCTTGAGCTCAGGTGGGACGACCGCCTCGAACTGCTTGTCCGAGCGACGTGTAGCCCACTGCGTGCGGGCGGGCTCCTGGTCATCCAGGGTGAAGATCTCATCCGCCAGCGAAATCTTGAGATCCGGGTCTCGGAGAATCCAGTGGCACGGGTCCTTAGGCACAGCCCAGAGTCCGGGCTCGAACCAGATCCGATCCGAGTAACCCTTGACGCCCTTGAGCTGGTCTACCAAGTCCCTGCGACGAAGCTCGAACTCTTGGGCGCGGTCCTTGCGCTCTCGATAGACGGTGGCCAGCTCAGGCAGGCCCAGTTCCTTGGCGAGCTGAATGTAGTCGATCTTGGGCGGGAACGGGTACCAGTGGAGTCGCTCCCAGTACGCTCGACGCCAAGCGCTCATAAACCCAGCAATTACGACGACCGCTTCACACATCTCAGGAGTGAGTTCTGCATACGTGTGGTAGACGAGGACGTTAACTCAGGGGTCTGATCTGAGCAGCTCCAAATAAGCGCGTACTCGATGCGCTTGTGGAGTTGCTCGATCCCAGTCTTGGACGGCATGTAGGCCGGGAAACCAATCGTCTGGTGGTGCAGCTTCTGGACTCGGATGCCGTTGTGGAACCAGCTTCCTTTCTTGGGTGCTTCGATGACGCCGTTGTCGACACCTTCTTCAGGAGTCTTAGCTTCGTCTGGTTCGGGGTCACCTGAAGTCACAGAGGTTCCGGAAGCTGAGCGCTGGCGCTTGGTCCCTGAGCTACCCCCAGAAGATGTCGAACTCCGCTGCCGTTTCTTGTCTGCTGGAGAACTCTGAGACCTGGTGCTGATGGAGCTTAGAGCCTTGGGCTTCGACCCGTGATAACTCTGGTCGTTGTCGTCGTCATCTGTGTCCTCTGAGGAGAGCACAGACATGAACGAGGAGTCCGAGTCGTCGTCGTTTGCGCCCGGTTTAATGGGCAGAGCTCGCCAGGGTACTGGGATTCTTGTCAGGCCGGGAGTCTGGTTGCCGCCGCGTCGAAGTACTTGTCTGGGACGTACTGCATCCACGGAGTGCCGTCCAGAGCCTCCTAGTACATCACTGAAGTCAACATGTAGATCAGGTTCTTCCTGCCGAACTGGTCGTGGAGCATCTGGTCCTTCTGGACCTCATCCACTGCATCCCAGAACGCCACGCCAGCCAACATGAGCTCTTGGACGTCTGGGCGAGGGCCATCCCAGCTGAACTGGTTTGGCACAGCCGTCGCTGCGTCCAGATCCGAGCGGGCACTGGGAGACTCCTTCTTGGCGTTCTTGCGCTCAGGCTTGAACTTGGTCGGGCGGCGTGGCAGCGCAATTCGCTGTGTGAACGGCTTGATCATTGGTGCCTTCGCCTTCGGTGTGCTGGAGGCTGAGCGGGTCAAATCCACGGTTTCCGGCGCAGCTGCTGAGCTGGGCGCAGCGCTCGTCTGGATCTTCAGACCACCAACTTTCTTCGAACTGCTTGAAGCCAAGGCCTTGGCCAGTGGCAGCGACTTGAGCGCTTTGCGTCGGATTTTGCTGGACCCAGCGGAAGTTGATCTGCCCAAGCTGAGCATCGGTGGTGTACGCAGAGGGGTAGCCGACAGAGACGAGCTGGTCGGAGTCATGGTTGCTTGAGCAGACCCCGAAGGCGAAGAAGCTGGCACTGAAGCAGGGCTGGGCTGAGCAGCTAGGGTCGTGTACGGGTCGGAGTCCTCGAAGTCCAGATCGCGCGCAGAGACTTGAATCGTGGTGCGATAGCCGGTTGGGACGGGTTGCCCTGTCCGATACAGCTGCAGCAACTCGAGGAACCGTCGCCAGTTGCCTTTGAAGGCACTGCTGTTGACGAAGAAGTCACAAAAGGCGCCGGGATCAAACGCTCTGGAGTCCAAGACCTGGGCTTCGAGCTCAGCGATGCGCTTCTGAGCCACGGTGAGCTCAGACTCGAGCGAAGTGATCTTCAGTGCAGCCTCACCGACAGCATCGTCCGCGTCGAGCTTCTCTGTGGCAAATTGCGCGCCCAGCTTGTTCGCTCTCTCGAGGTTTTCTTTGAGCTTTTGGATCTCCGCAGCAGCCGTGGTGTGTGTGGCCTGACCGCTAGATGCTCCAGCAGCAGCCCTTTGAAGTGCTACGGCGTGATTGCTTTGAAGGTGCTGGAGCTCAGCTTGGTGAGCCTCGCTCTGACTTCTCAGGGCCTGAGCGAAGCTGCGGCTTCTCACGGTAAACCCAGCAGCTCCGGAAGCTGAAGTATTGCCCACGCTCTGCCCAAGGCCTTGACGGAAGCGCACCGTGTGCTGAAGGCAATGAACCGTCTGGAGCGACCTCGCAGCGAGTTGATCGACGCCGAAACACTGAGCGAGAGGAATCATCTCACGATCCAAGGCCGCCCGATGCGAGGATCAGTGATGTCTGGCGGAGGGACTGAGAGAGGCTGCAACAAACCTCCAGCGGCATCGTGGCCCATGAGCCGGCTCAAGCGGGCGAGCTCAGGGGCTGAAAATGAAGTCACGTTCACCAGACGGCTCAGACCATCCGGAGCGCATACCATGAGTGTGCCATCGCGAAGATCTTCGAGCGTGGCTGGTACGACGACTTGCCCTGGAGGCGTGAGCTGATACCATGGAGTAAGACATGGCTCATATGGCAGACGCTGGCTTGGCTCCGTCCGGTAACGTGACGCTTCGACAGCATGCAGCAGTCCAGCGATGGTGCTGGTCACTGGTGCGCTCTGTGCGGTGGCCGAAGCTGTTTGCAGCGCGCTGATCGCAGGCACCGAGGGCGTTGGGCGTAGCATGAGCACTGCGGCGTCGCCTGAGACCGCATGGGTCGCCGCTGGAGCCGCCAGACCCGTCGTGACGGCCGCCATAGTCGTCGACGTGCCGCTGGAGGTCTCCGAGAGAGCGCAGATGGCCGCAGGCGTCGAAACGCTGGCCGTCGTACTGCTGAGAGCCGACGTGGTGCTTGGAGGCGCCATGGATACTCCCGGCGAGGTTGCCGTTGCTGTTCCCGCCGAGATGGAAGTCGTGGGCACCGCGGGCGCGGTCTGCGCAACCACTAGCGGCGCCGACGACGTCGAGAGCGGTGCCTGCAATGGCTCGGATGCCGCGGGCTCGATGGAGACAGCCAACGGCGCGTTGGACGAGGCCTGGAGTGTTGCGGGAGCCGCGGGAGCGCCCTGCGACGCTGGATCTTGATTTACGCCGCCCGCGGGCGGCGCGTCGGACTGCTGCGAGTCGGCCATGCGTGGCACGAGGCAGCGGAAGTGGCGGATGCGGACGAGAACGCGCGGGTTGCCGTGGAGGCGCAACACTTGATGACGCTGCAGTTTCCACTGCGAAACCCTAGACTGGAATTTCGCAAATGGTTTGTGATTACACTCCACAAGTTCGGCAGGATCGGACGGTTGCGGGACGATGCGCTGGTCATCTGGGTTATGGGCACCGGGTCCAAGTCGAAAATGACCTCCGTGAACCCGGCACTCATAAGGGACGGTTGTGAAAAGGATCGGTGGATTTCGCCACCGAACCCATGTCCAGCTGACCCGTTTCAATCCAGGACGCTGACCCGTATCAATCAAGCAGACTTCAAGTGCGTCATGGCCGCGATGGATCTGGACCACCAACTGTCGGACACGAGCCGTGCGACGAAGGAAGCTGAGCCCGAGGTCTGGGCGGAGCTCCGCTCAGACTCTGGGCTTGAGCGAAGATTGTCTGAGATCCGAGATGTCCGGTGTTGGGAATCCCAAGTCTGAGCTGAGTCCAGGAAGCTGGGAGAAGCTACGTGGAATCTGAGCTGAGCCTCGAGTGCGATGACCGGAGTCCCCGCTCAAGTCGAGGAACTGAGCGGAACCTGGTGGAGCGTGGGTTCGACCTCCCCGGTGGTTATGGAGCCGTTGCCCAAGGTGTCGAGCTGAGTCGAGGAGCAGGCGTCCGAGCGAGGTCGTGCCGAGCCCGAGCCCGGTTTCTACTGTGATCATGGAACCTTCACGAAAGTTGACAAGCTGGGCGAGGATCGAAGGTCTGAGCGGAGTGACGTGGAGTCCGAGGCCGGCTTCGAATGCGATGTTTGAAGTCTTTGCTCAAGTCGAGAAGTTGAGCGGAGTGGCATGGGCCTGAGCGGAGTTGTCGGAGTCCTGTTGAAGTGCCGAGTGAAGAGTCGCTGGACTTAAGTCCAGGCAGTGGTACTGACGGCGAAGTTGGTGGCACCGGCGAGTACACTCATCCGGTGAATCAGCCATGAGCCAGCCTACATTGGGTGCGACCGCCCAAGATTGCGGACACTTCAAGCGGATCTCAACGGCCTCCAGCGGCTTCAAGACGACGCCCGCCGACGTGGAGCCGCCGCATTGGCCAAAACCAAGGATGTCGGGCGGATCTTCGAGGGAGCCCGGTAAGCATACAGCCGACGCTCTTCGCGCAGCCAGTCAGTGTGTACCCAGGGGGATATCGCGCCCCCACTTAGTGAGTCCTAGTTTGTGCATGTGTAAACATTTAAACAGAGGTCGTTTTGCCCCGGAGGACGCAAATGGTGGAGGTCTTTGGCCTGAAGGTGTCTTGGCGATCATCCACACAAATTCAAGTTAACATATCAACGTTGTCAGAGTGCTTCGGTGCGACGGCAGTACGGTTATTTCATATTACTGTTACATCTTAGGGTGTATTTCATATTTTCGGGTGGAAGGTGATCCATTCTGAGGTTTAGGCAGGGTAGTTGTATTGTGTACTTGGGGACATTGGCGTGCCCCGGTGCATTGTGTGATTATTAGTATCGGTTCATTGTGGACCTGGTGCGCGGGTAGTCCCAGGGTGTGTGTGAGTGCCTTGGATTCGGACTAGGCTCAAACCGAGTCACTAACTCCAGACCGGGTCGTTGCTTGACTCGAAGAGAAGAAAGGAGAAGCTGGTGCGAGCCTCGCCCAGGCTCAGAGAAATAAAGGCGAACTCGGCCCAGACCCAGGCCGACCGGGAAAGAAGGGGTGTTGTGGTTCTGAGCCGGAACCAAAGAGAGGAAGTGGAGGCTATATTGTGTGTGGTGTTGTGTTCATTAAGGAAAACCCGGGGCATTTCGGGCTGTGGACACGTACGGACCATGACTCGCCAAGTGGGGAGTGAGTCTCGTCTGGGAACACCTCCGGAGACCTTCAACATCGACAGCAGCTGGTGTGACCGACGCGAGTCTGGGCCCACAGCGTAGCCGTGATCAAAAGAACCGCCAAGGGGATCGCAGAGTGAGGAACACACGCCTCGCCCGACCCGAGTCGGAGCTGAGCCAAGCGTTCAAGCGGCTAAGCCTAGCGAAGTGGAGTGGGAGTGTTCGCTCAGTGGAAGGAGCTGAGCGGGACTATTGCAGCGCTAAGCAGGGCTGAGCCAAGTGGTGCAAGGGCTGAGCGAAGACCAAGGTCGAGCGGTCTAGCAACCTGAGCAAAGAGCACGGGCGCTTCGTCACACCTACGTGAAGGCGGAAGTCCCAGAAGCGTGCTGAGCGCCGACTTGTCCGCATCGCGCGGAGCGATGTGGATAGCTCCACCCACTGCAGACGAAGCGAGTCCCCGTGGCGGGGCCAGGAATGCCTGCCGAAGTTGCTGGTCGCTGGAGGGCAGTGCGGAGGAACCCGACCCCAACATGTGCGCTCGCGCAATCTCTCGACCGACGCTCTGGGCCACGGATGGAGAAATACCCGCGTGAAGGACAGGTGCCAATGGCCCCGGGCCCGAGGAGCCGTCCAGGGAGAGAGGGGCGGGTGGTCGCGATCGACGCCGAAGTGACGCTGACCAGGGCCCCGCTGGCTGACACCCTTTCACTGGAGCTTGGAGATGATGCTGGATCCGGAGAAGACCCGGGGACACTGGCCACCTGGCGTTCGGGACTCGGAGCAGGAGGCGGCGCGGTAGCCCGACGTGAAGCAAGACGCAACCCGCCACCAGACGATAGATCCCCCGAGACTACCGTCGAAGCGCCGTCGACACTAGGAGGTGCACGATGAATGGCCTGATCGCCCCTCGGTGAAGGGACAACGGTGCAAGCGGACCCCGGAGACAAGAGCGTCGACGAAGTCACAGGATCCCGGATCCCGGTCGGCGACGAAGGCGAAGCCCGTGATGCCGGCACTGGAGCAGCAGTGTCGCTCGAATGCGAAGCCCCCACGAGAGTGAGACTAGCGCTTGTCGTACTTGGATATACGGACGTGGACCGCTCGGCGCAGGACGGAAGCGACGGCCCCGGAGCCTCCTGGCTCGAAGCTGGCGGACCGTCATCCACAGGAGTCTTCGGATGCGGAGACGCCGCGCGAGCAGGTGCACTCGGATCCGGCGCCGGTGCTGGTGATATTGCATGAATGGTGTCGTTTGCCGGCGAGCTTGAGCGCGGTGTTTGCCTGCGTGACTGCTGTGGAGACTCGGTTCTGGAAGCCATGTCGGCCGCGAAGTGGATGTATCAACGGCACGCGGTGAATCTGGAAGTGGCCACCGGCGGGAGATACCGGCACGTGCAACAGATCCCGTGCTGCCCTCGCCTGGTCGTGAGTCGCCCACATGATTTCTACCCGGAGACGGTTCGAAGCATCTCAGCGCCAACGGACACAAATGGGGCGGTTGTGGCATAGTGGGCTCCCGTTTAGACCCGGTACACCTTCGGACTTTAACCCAGGAGACCACGGTTTGGTCCCAGCACTAAATTGCAAACCTACGGTACCGTTCCCGGAAACTGCACCCAACTGCCCCAGACCCGCGGGCCCGGGACCGAGTTCCCCTGGGGACCCGAGTATACTCAAGACCAAGACGACGTTCCCGAAAGCCGGAGCATGGCGACAGCACGACCCTGATAAAGTGAAACCGAGTATGTAGCAGATCCCGAGATACCCGTATGCTTAACCTACCGGCAACCGCTCTTATCCCGATTTTGCAGGGATAAGATTAATATAGACATTTGTATACTAGCAGGATAGGGTAAGCGAGGTCCCCAGCGGCTGCCCCGACTCTTCGAGTTCCACCGGCTGTCAATCTCATTGGTCAGAGTTATCCAATCAAAGCTTGGATACGGCTGTAATATTAAGCTCTGTCGAGATTTCGATCGAAAAAACCTTGGCGTAATTCGCAGGATAATGCGAACATTCGCTAAGTGAGTGAATTGTTCTGAGCTGAATATCGCGGTTGATGGACGTGCTCGGCAATCGCTGTGACACTATCCCAGGGCAAGCACGGCACGGCACATGAGGGACGCCTTCTACTACAACGACGAGACGTATGAGGCACAACCGAAAGCAGAACAACTCAATCTCGGTACGCTGCTCACTCTAGCCAGCCTGTTGCCCCATTGCTGACATGTTTCTCGACTGCAGGCGAGGCGAGCGCTGGCGGTACAAGCCATCCCCATTCCATCGGCAGTACACCCGCCTGACTTCCTCCTTCCTCTTCGGCATGCAGGGCTACGGCTACTCGCAGTACCAGGCGCACTCGCCGCACCACCAGTGCAGCGGCGAACTTCCCAAGCTCTATTACAAATCCCTGGGCCACGGCACCAATAGCGGCGGCTTCAATGGCCCGGCGTTCATGAACTCCAGCAGCACGTGAACCCGAACAGCATGCAGGCCCAGCACCAGGCCCGACGCCGCAGCAGGGGGACTTCGACTACGAACCCATCAGCACCCAGGCAAATACTACGTGCTGTCGCCCAAGGCCTATCGATACAACTGGGGCGGCTCTCAGAGCCGCTCTGTTGTGCTGTGGTCATATGTCAGCCCACACGGACAAACGTTCGCGTGAGGCGCCCTAAATGAAGGAGAAGAAGCGCGTGTTCAAGCTAAACGATGGCATCAACCATTACAAGACGCTGCAGGACGAGGCCGGACGATCAAGCGGTCCATCGTGTGATCTCAAATCAGAGTGCGGGCGTAGTCTAACAAATGTTATCATGCAACAGGTTTACTAGCCTAGATTGAGGTCTACCAACCATGTAGACGCATTTCTAGCCGCCCTTCCGCTCTACAAGATGTATGCGCAGTTTCAGGATGCCGATGACTCGCGTCACATCTACGCGTGGTTGCAAGCGTCCCTGAAAGCCTCGAAGGTATTTCACGCGTTCTGGGGTGCCAGGTGTACTCCCAACGCTAACGTGCCATCGACCTCTGTGTAGACAACGCTGGGACCCGCTGCGCCATGCGCCACCACTGCCTCCGAGGGACGGGGATGATCCGACGGATCCCGACACAGTCTCCAACCCACTGGACCAGACTCAGCGCCGTCAGCTCGAAGAGCGCACCGCACCAACGCGCTCGAACATACCGCAGGCGTTGCCTATCGTGAACCCCTCTCGGAGAGACTATGGCTTTAGAAGCAGCGAAGATCCATTGAAGGTCGCGAACGACTGGGCCAAAGGCCTGCTGGGTTCATACATCGTAGGGCCGAGAGCCTCGACAACGGCAGATGTAGACGAGCGCCTCGCGCTGCGCCAGCGCTATCTGACGCCGCAGCAGACCACTCCCTCGGAGTATTGCGCCCGACTGGATGGTCAACTGCACGCCTCAGATGCAGCGCATCCCGATGGTCCTCGTTCCCGGTGAGACCGAAGATGAAGATAATGGCCAGTTCCAGGCCTGGGTTGAGAATTCCCGTAAGTTGCCGTCAATTGATGCTCTTCGAGCAAGCTATAGAAAGCAAGATGTTCTTCTTGAACGGCGACTCCGCTTCATGTGGGCGAAGAAGAAGGCCCGCCAACAAAATCGCCATGGTCAAAGACCACGCGCCCAAGGCGCCAATCGTGTGGTTCGAGATACTCCGCGCCGTGCGTCTACGTCCACGCCTGCGGCGCCAGCTCACGCTTCGCACTCGAGCACTCGCTCGGATGTGTCATCGTCTCGTTCTAGCGCCGGAAAGCGCGAGGCGACCGACGAGTTGGCTTCGAGCTCGGTGAGCGTCTCGGGTGCTCCCGATCAAAAGCGTTAACGGCGTCCGGGCATTCTTGCCTCAGGGGAACCTCGTACTCCCACGACGGTGGCTCGCCCCGCCACTTCACCAGATATTGGGTATGACCCCGGTGACGACGTCGCTTCAGAAGCCGCTCCACATGGAAGTGAAGCTCTCCGTGCTTATCGAGCAGAGCAGGAGGTCGGCGAGCCGCCGCTAAACCCTGAGGCTGTGCGAGCGCAGTTGTCCGAGCTGGAATATCAAGCCGGGCGTGGGCGCGACCACCGCGACTGGGTCGGGAGGCAGTTTGCGCAGAACGACGACGCGCTCCGCGTTGTTGAGCGTCGGCTCCACGATCTTGAAGATCCACCGGATGACCGGATGGGTCGGTTGGAGCGCTTTGTTCAGGCGCTGCACGACCAAGTCCAGATCCTGCGCGGGCAGGTTGACGTGCTGGTGCAGTTGCAGCGGGGTGCTGCCCCTCCAACGGTGCCGGCGCCAGCGCCTCCGCGCTCACCTGGCTCGGGTCGCGGTAACGCTTGAGCAAGCCCACGTAAAACACTGGGTGTGTGCGCATCTTCTTGGGAAGGTTAAGCGTGTACGCAAGGCCCTTCTTGGCCACGACCTTAAACGGTCCGATGAAGCGAGGACGCAGCTTAGTCTTGAAGACCGCAGAAACTGCATGTGTAGGTAGGTTTTTCGCGTTTAATAACACCAGGTCTCCGACCTCAAAGTTTTCCATATTACCCCGGCCTCTAGCGTCAGCTTGTTCCTTTTGAACGTCTTGGCTATCAGCCATTGCGTCTCGCACATGCCTTAAGACATTCAGACGGATCGACAAGAAGTCGTCCAGTTCCTTACAAATATCACGAGAGCTGACATCAGCAAGCCTATCGGCTAACTCTCCCCTACCAAGCCCAGAGTCACTACGTGACGGCGTCAACGGGACGCGAGGGTGAGTAAGCCCGTTCACGTAGAACGGAGTGAAGCCTGTCGAGGCATGCACCGCATTGTTCAACGCGAACTCAACGAGAGGGGGCATCGCGCTCCAGCGCTTAGGCGTCTCCGCACAGACACTGCGAAGAACGTCTTCGACGACGCGGTTCGCGCGCTCAGTTTGACCATCGGTCTGGGGGTGATCCGCCGTGGACATATCCAAACGAGTGCCAAGCACCTGAAAGACGGACGTCCAGAACTTCCCCGTGAAACGAGGATCTCGATCCGAGACAATAGACTCAGGCAGCCCATGCTGCCGAAATACGCGGTCGATAAACAGCTCCGCTGTACCAGACCCGTCAATGGTGTCCGGCACTGCCGCCAGATGAACCATCTTACTGAGACGGTCAATAAAGACCACAACTCCCGTGTTGCCTGCCGAATCCTTCGGTAAGCCAAACACAAAGTCCAGGCTCATGGACTGCCAACACCGGGACGGGACAGGCAAACTTGCCAACGGCGCCGCCGAATGTGGGGAGGGTTTCACCCGTTGACACGACTCACAGGTACTCACGTACGTCTTAACCCACTTGTACAGCTTGGGCCACCAGTAGTGGCGGCTCACAGAGCTGTAGGTCTTTTCGCGACCAAGGTGGCCGCTCAAGGGAGAGTCATGAGCCTCATAGAGGATACGATACTTAAGGTCCTCGTCGTGAGGAACGACGACGCGGGGCGTGTCATCCGATCCAGTGCTGTAATACAGCAGATCCCCATCCAGGGAGTAGCGATGTAATCGCGCCCGCAACCGCGCAGACAACTTGAGATCCGAGTCTCGAAACTCCGCGCTCCCCAGCGTCCGTAGCAAAGCTACACAACTCTCATCACGTGCATACGCGACACGGATCATGTCAGTAATCGACGAAGTCACACTCGTGACGTGAGCGAGCTCGTAATCAGACCTGCGTGACAACGCGTCGGCCAGCGCATTCTGCCGACCGGGCTTATACGTCACCTCGAAGTTGTACTCCGCAAAGAACGAGAGCCAACGGGCCATCCTCTGCGAGAGGTGAGGCGACTGTGTCGCAGTGCGTAAGGACGCGTGGTCTGTGAAGATCACAAACGGCTTGGAACCGAGCAGATGGACCCTGAACTTGACGAGGGCATACTTCATCGCGAGTAGCTCCTTGTCATGGACAGGATAGTTCTTCTCAGCAGCCTTTAGCTGCCGAGACTCGAACGCAATGACCCGCTCACGCCCATCGGCGTCTGCTTGAAGCAGTGCACAGCCAATGGCAAAATCGGACGCGTCACACACGACGCTGAACGGCCGATCGGGGTCTGGCAGTGCCAGTATCGGTGCCTGAAGCAGGTTTTCCTTGACTGCTTCAAAAGCTCTTTGCTGCTCGGCATCCCAACACCATTCAGCATCCTTCTTGAGAAGGTTAGACAATGGCTGTGCCAACTCAGCATAATTCTCGCTATCTTGTGCAAATAGTTTGCCAGACCCAGCCACTTGCGCAGGTCTTTCGGGTTCGCAGGAACCGGCCAGTCCACAATGGCCTTGACCTTGGCAGGGTCCGCTCGGAGACCACGCTTCCCAATGAAGCATCCCAGACAGGGAATTTCTTCAGCACCGAAGATGCACTTGTCGGCATTGGCGTAGAGCTTGTTCGCTCGCATACACTCGAGCACGGCTCTCAAATGGTCGATGTGGTTCTCCATATCCGACTTCCCGTGCTCCGCATGACTGTGGACGAAGATGTCGTCAAAGTACGTCTGCGCATATGCGCGATGCGGCCGAAACAACTGCGTCACAAGACGATTAAACGTTGCCGGTGCGTTTGACAGCCCTTGGGGCATAACCACCACTCCCAGAGCATACCGCTCGGAGTACTCACCGCAGTGAGAGGGATATCACTCGCTCTCATGAGCAGCTGATAGTAGCCATCGACCAAGTCGAGAGCGCTGTACAACGTGCACCCAACCATGTTGTTCTGAAGAACATCCTTGCGAGGTATCGGCGTTTGTGCCGGGATAGTGGCCACGTTAAGCTTGTTGAAAGCATGCACAATGCGCCACTTGCCGTTCGGCTTCCTGACACAGATTGTCGGCGTCGAGTGCGGGGACTTGCTTTCGCGCACCAGTCCTGCCTCGTTCTTGGCACGAAAGAAGGCGTCAATGACGTCACACTGTTCCTTGGGAAGTGGCCACTGGCGTGTGACGCAATATTTGGTTCCCGGAACCAAGTCAATTTCATGACGAACGCCTTGATCAGGAGGTAGGCCCATAGGCGGGTCCTTCGAGACAACGTCTCCGAACTCCACTACCAACGGGTACAACGGATCTGACGGATCCTTCAAGATGGCTGAGCCACTACGTTTATTAAGCGCCTGCTTAGTGTCCTCCAGGACCACTTCGTCCAATAGTGACGACGAGTTTAACTCTTCTTTTGGTCGTATCATGACCACTTCGGCTAGATCGCCCGCCTTTAAGGCCTCGAGGAGAGCACTCACGGAGGGAAGAGCTTCAAGGCTGATGTCACCATTGACGTCTCCCGTCAGCCCATTCACAAGCGTGTATAGCTGCTCGCAGCACTCGCGTGGAGCTTCATCGCTCGACACGCTCGACGCCGCAGACGCTCTGCGTCTCTTCCTCCTCCTCCTCCGCGCCCGAGGCCGAGAGGATGAGGGGGACGTGGCGGCAGCGTCGTCACCACATCCAGGCGACAACGCGCCTCCGTCCATCGTGGACGCCAGCGAGGAATCGCCAAAACGGCAATCCTTGGTCATGAAGTACCAGGCGAGACACGCTCCGCCTTGTCCCCCGCAGGGCCATGCCCAACGGGCCGCGACAAACCGTCGCCGAGCGTCGAACGCCCCAAAGTCGATGGAGTACGTGCCATCCCACGCGCACGAGGGGAGCCGAGCTCCGAGTGCCGCGACATACCGTCGCCAGGCGTTAAACGCCCCTGAACCAGCGGAGTACGTGCCGCCCCACAAACGTCCGACGAGCGGTGCTCGGGACCGGCCGACGTATACGACGTCGCGCCCATTCCGGGAAGTGCTTCTCCAACAACGGCGTTGTCGACACGCCGATGTCCAGCACAGCGACCGACTCGGTCCAGTGCTCGCGCCAAAAGCGCTTCTGTGTCCTGGTAGAGGTGGGTTCATGACTCGCCAAAGCCCCACCAGGAGAGAAGTGCGTAGCACCTAATGTTTTCGACCTCCAGTCGATCCAAGGCTCATGGCGTTCCAGCCACGCCATGCCAAGGATGAGGTCATACCTTGAATCCAGGTCCAAGACCAAACAGCGTTCCGTGCTGTCAAAGTCAAGGAACTTGACGCCCAAGTCCATGGGGACCTTGGGCACCGTGACACGAGTGCCCGTCGCCAAACGGACAGTGACTATGTCACGAGAATGCGCGCGAAGCGCCACAGTATATAACTCGCTGCCCTCCATGGAGGAACGCCTGGCGTAATTGCCAGACGCCCCCGAATCAATCAAGATCGTCCACGGCTTCTCGAAGCCCTTCACAGTCGCAATGACGACCAGCAAGCCCGGCTTGCATTTACGTTCCGTGTTTGAGAGTACGGCTCTCTTCGGGACTAGACTCCGTTGTCCTCCCCCTCCCTGAGGCACTACAGAACCTAGTTCTTCCCCAGTAGGCCGCCCCGCGCCTACTGGGAGTCGCTGTTTCCCCGCGACGAACCAGCCTTGTGGCTCAAAGCGGGGCCGCTCCAACGAGCAGATTGCTGTTTGCGCAGCGGGCAACCCGGCCGCAAGTGCTCGGTGCTGCCGCAGGTGTAGCAACGGCGGATATCGCGGCGCTGCTCAGCAGCCCGAAGCTCGGCTTCGTCACTTTCAGCGTAGCTGAGGTCCATAGGTTCAGGACCGTTCGACGTACTCGCCTGTGGCGCGCTCCAGCCGACGCGAGCGGACTTGAAATTGTGCTCGGCGTTCAACGCCACGGCCACAGCTTCCTCGAACGAGGTAGGACGACTGCGGAACACTTCCGTGCGAGCCACTCCGGTCCTGAGACCATCCATAAACACCGTGACGGTGACAGACTCAGGCAGCGGTTCAGCGAACATGCCGGCGATGAGCGTGCGTAGCTCCTGGACGTAGTCCACCAAGTCCTTTTTCCCCTGACGGCAAGCCAGGAACTTGGACCGCACGCGGTATGCGTGGTTCGGCGGCGAGAACACTCGTGAGAGCTGTTGCTTCAGCTCATCCCATGTCGGGAAGGCTTGGTCTACCGACGACCCGCTGGTAAGCGCCCACTCACGAGCTCTTCCGCTGAGCTTAGAGATGGCAAGCGCGACGCGCTGGTGCTCCGATTGAAGCAGGGCAGAGCCCATGGCCATTTCGATCTCGCGGATCCAGAGCAGGAGATTCTCCCCCTCCAGACCCTCGAACGACTTGACACTCAGCATGAGTGGCTTGGGTCGAGTCGATCCGGCTTGCGACACGGCCGACGCCGCTGCAGGCGCCGTCGCGCTCATCCGCTGCTGGATGTGCTCCAACAGAGCATTCTCGTAGCTTGAGAACGCCTCGAGACGCGCGTTGATCGCGTCCGGGCCTTGCGAGGCAAGGAGCGCCACGCCCTCCGGGCCCAACAGAGACATAAGTTTTTTAAGCGCCTCCTGCTGGCCGGGGGCCAAATTCGCGAACGCAGCTTGCTCCATCCTCACAGAGGTACAGTCTAACAGACTCAGGTGAGGGATTGACTACGAGTGCTACCAAGTGCAGCGGGGCTGCCGTAGCTCCTTGCGTAGAGGAAGACTTTACGACTCAAAGAGTCCAACAGGGTCCTATCCGAGGACCCACGAAAACAAGTCAGAGACTTCTTGCAAAAGGCAAACTGTATTCATTCTCTTATCTGCGGCTCCGCCGCCTACGGTGCAAATACCTGCACTTACTATCGACATAACTAACTCTAGTTCATTCTCAATGACTGGCCAGTGGCCCAGGGAGTAACCCTTGGTGTATCGCACACCAAAAGGGTAACCACAAGGGTAACCTCCGTGTAACCCCGTTACAGAAGAAGCCGTTGCTCCATTCTCCGACCGTGATGCCGTTGTGGTCGACACCTTCGCCGAGTTCGAGCTTGTTCGGGTACACGAACTGGGTTGTTGGTTTGGCTGGTTGTTGGTAAGTCCTGGCACTTGCTTGGACTGGCGACAGTAAATTGGTTTGTGTGGAGAGAGGGAGGGAGGCCTTCGTTTCGAGGTGATGTCGATTCTTCGCGGTGGAGGGGGCTGCAACTAAGTGTCGTCTTCGAACAAAGAGCCATTCAGGAAGAGGACAACCATGAACTGAGAGTGTTCATTGAAGAATCATCCGCCTGTATCATCGAGAAATCTCGAAAGCTTATCTACCAGCTCTCGGCTGGAAAAGGCTCGAACGTGGATGTATGTTGTACATCTGTACACTCTTCCTTTAGAACTCCGCATATGCCTCCGACTCAAATGTAGAAGTGTGGAATCGAACTGGAAAGCGTCGAGTGAGTGACCACTCCCTTGTCATTATTAACTGGAAGCCTGTTCAACTGTTAGGGCTGGATGTTTCTACTGGTGTACGTAGCATTCAAAAGTGGAGCGAGGCCCGAGAGAGTAGGTCCCGGGCTCGTAGGACCCCACGCTGAGCGATGGCACAGGGTCCACACACAAACGCGAGCAGGACGTCCTCTGCATTGTTGCCAGGGATGGAAAAGAGCTCGCTAATGTTGACTCGAAGGATGACGATCCCGATAGGGATGGCCAACCACAGCACCGACACCAAACCGGACGCGACGCTGATGTAGATGAGGAACGGGTACTCCACCGAGACTGAGAGATGACCCAAGAGATAGAGACCGGCGTACATGCCGATGACCAGCGAGTATGGAGCGAGTCCGAGGCGTTTGCTGATCTGCACCATCGACACCACGGGGCACAGGATCGCCATGAAACCTATAGGAACCACAACGGAGTAACCAAAGACTCTGAAAATCTGCTACGACCTGGACGTAGATGTTCGCACCGTTGGGGACGCAGTCGTCGAAGCAGTCGAAGCATTCGGTCTTCCAGGCGCCAAGCACGATGCCGTTGTAGTCGGTGCAGCGTCCACGCTTCAAGCAACGTCGGAGATGATTCGAATGTGGTCTTGCTCGATGGAGCAGTAAGGTTACCGTCGAAGCGACAGGTTTGGCTTCACATGCTGACTCTACAGTAGACACCTTCCATCGTAAATGCCTCGGTATGATACAATGGAATCTGAAGAAGTCTCGAACGTTTTCTATTCTGCCACGCGCACGACACAACCTTATCGTCGCCCAAGTAAACGTACAAGCTCTCTCAAATACATCATAACTCGCTCTCTCTCTCCTGTGACCATACACTGGGTTTATCCGAAGGTGTATCCTGGCAGTGTGGACCGTGGCAAGATGGCAAACGTGTTGATCTCGAAGGACTCGGCGTGTGCAGCCATCTGCGCGACGGAGCAGCAGCAGCAGAAGACCGAGGCGAACACGTCTTCCGTCAACGACCCCGGGATCGAGAAGAGGTAGCGCATGCGGAAGCGGATGCGGATCGTGAAGAGCGTCACCAGCACGCCCATGATCACGGCGAGCGTGCTCACCACGTCGAACTTGGTGATGGCCGCGCCGATGACGAGCGCGTCCACCGACACGTACGAGAAGAGCACCGTGAAGAAGTTGGCGATGCCCAGCCGCGCGCACACCTGCGCCATGGAGACGCCCGGACAGAAGAACGACGTGATGGCTGGCACACACAAAGGAGACACTGTTAGTTAAGCCCACGTCTTGGATTAAAGCAGGGCGAACTCACTCACCATTGGGGACGCACATCATGTAGCAGCTACTGAAGAGTCCCATCTTCCACTTGCCCACGACGAGGCCGTTGTGGTCGACGCCTTCGATGGCGGGCGTCGGCGCCATGGGCACGCTCGCGTCATCGGCCTTGCTGCTGGGCATTGAGCTCGTCGTTCAGGTCGCCTACCAAGCTCGCGTACTTTAACCGAATGTGCGGCCCTGCACCGCGACGGCGGCACCGCTGTATCCTGGACTGCGACTCTTCATGCGGATCCGCGCCCGGTCAAGCACAGCGAGCGACGCTTCCAAGGCGGCGGCCAAGTGCGGCGCTTCCTCGGCGCTAGGAGATCGGTTGCAGAGCGCAAGCAAGCATGGACGAGGAAGAGTGGTGAAAGTCAATGGAGGTGCTTGCTGCTGTTGCTTTCGAGGGTGGGGTAGCACTTCCTCCTTGCTCGAGAACCTTCAAAACGGACGAGCTGGAGACTGGTTGCGCGCGGACATCGGAGACCTGAACACGACGACGGCAGCCTCGGCCACGCGTGTTTGAACTCGGTGGCGAGCTCGCCTGGTTTCTTGCTGCTGCAACTTGAACAAGCGGGTCGTTCACTGGTCGTCAATCCGCGTCGATCGGCAAAAAGATAGACGGAGCGCTGCGAGTGAACTGCAACCAGGTCAAGTTCAAGGCGGTAAACCGTAGACAAGGCGAAGGCGCGGCCGTGACTGTCACAGGCGGCGAATCTCGCCTTGAAGCTGCGCCCTCACACACGTCGCTGCACTTGCTCGCTCCAGTTGCCTGCCCAATGGCCGACTGCCAAGCGCGAAATATTAGGCCAGCAATGCTTCCCGGCGAGCCGCAGGGCCAGCACGTCAGCTCAGCTGGACGACCGACAGACGAAGGGCAACTACAAGCGCTTGAAGCTGCACAACGCGGCAAATCCCCACCGCCCGTCGCATGTGGATCTTGAGCGCTTGAAGCTCAAGCTGCCTCTGGTTTAACGCTTCTACAACATCTGCAAGCCCGGCCGGGGGACCCGCGCGGCTAATCCCTCCTGCGCTCGTTGAGCTGCTGTCTGCTGTATAACAATAAGGGCTGTCCTGGAGCTTGTCCGCTTGAACCTCTGCACGCCAGCCTGCCAGACCGGAGCTCCAGCGCCGCAGCCACCTCCGCCAACATCAACCTCCTCTTGCAGTTTGGTGCAATTCGCTGCTCTCATCCTGGCGCAAGCTGCTGCTGCAATCAAGTTGCCCTCGGGTTGCAGTTGCAGGCAGGAACGCCGCGCCGCTCACTCGCTGCTGTTGCTCTGGCATACCATCTGCAGCAGGTCAAGCCACGTGAGTGTGCGCCAAATGCACCGGAATGGCCCCCAATGCAAGTCGCCGCTGGCCGACCAGAGTCCCCATTGGCATGGCAACGATCCCACCCGGCCTGAAGTGAGATGGCTACACTGTTAATGCATACCGCGCCAGTGTACAGTACATCTCCATTTCACGGTCTCCGTCAAGGGAGACCCGTGAAATGAGCGGCCTCGCAGAACCCCACGATGAGCAAAGTGAGCTGCTCGCGCCTTTGAGGGGCGTTTGTCCAATCGCAACTAACCTTTGAGCAGGGGGAGAGGGCTCTGGAGCCAAAGCCTGTCCACCCGCTCGAGCTGTGCATCAAGTGCTCTTGCTTGATGCAGTTCTGGGGACCATTCCTGGCCGTGCTGGGTGCCGTGTGGACATCCCGCGCCGCGAGCAACATGAACTCGGCGCTTTACATGGCCCGAGCATACTGAGCCCAAGTCATTTGACCCATACGTTGGCCCGTTTTGCGCAAGCACGAGGATGGGCTGTGAGAAATCAACCGACGTGCAAGGCCAACACCGGCAGGGCCTCCGTCCAGCCAGCGCATGCGAGCCACCACAGCACCCAACAGCGTCTTACTCGACACCTTCCGTTGCCACGAGCACGCGCTCATGGCTACCTATATTAACACTATTGGGGGGGGGGCCGAAACGATGGCTTCCGCCTCTGTTTGAACATGCTTGGTGTGATGAACACCAAAGAGTCGTGGACGGCGCAAAGAAGAGGCAAGATCGCCACTCGCTGATTGGCCAGGTCCCTTCACTATGGCCTTTTTCTCGCCCGCTCACTTCAGCATCTTCTGGTGGTCTCCGCCATACAAAAACGCATACAACCGCCGAGCGCTGCTTCGGCTCAAAAAGCCGACGGCCTCCGACGTTGCCCATTCCGCAATCTGCGCCGCGCCCCGCACTCCCCCGGCCCGCAGTCAGACACTGACAGAAGACAGACACAGAGAGAGACCCGGCCCATGTTCCGCCTCCACCGCCGCGCCGCCGCCTCGCTCTCGTCCGCCTCCTCCAGCCGCCTGACGGCGCTCGCGCCGCGTCGCCCTCATGCGCGCGGCTTCCGCACGATCCCGGGCGAGGGCGCCGACAAGCGCGCGCTCTTCCAGCAGAAGGGGCTGTACCGCCAGCTCGAGGAGAAGGACAGCTGCGGCGTCGGCATGATCGCCAGCCTCAAGAAGAAGCCCTCGCGCTCCACCGTCGTGCAGGCCAACGAGATGCTCGTGCGTATGTCCCACCGCGGCGGCTGCGGCTGCGACCCCGCGTCCGGCGACGGCGCCGGCATGCTCGTGGCGCTGCCCCACGAGTTCATCGCGCGCGTGGCCCGCGACGGCGAGTTCGGCGCCGCCGCCAAGCTGCTCAGGCTCGAGAAGGAGAAGTACGCCGTGGGCAACGTCTTCTTCAACAAGAGCGCGCCCAACGACATCCCGCGCACCAAGAAGACCTTCGACGACATGGCCGAGGCCATGGGCCTCAAGGTCGTGGGCTGGAGAGCCATGCCCACCACGTCCAACACACTGGGAGCCACGTCGCTGGCCTCGGAGCCCCACGTCGAGCAGGTCATGGTGCTCAACGAGAACCCCAACCTGTCCGGAGACGACTTCGAGAAGGAGCTCCTGCGCCTGCGCAACGTCGTCACGTCCGTGAACGAGAAGAAGTTCTCGGACTTCTACGTCAACTCGCTGAGCAACCGCACCATCACGTACAAGGGCCAGCTCACGCCCGAGCAGCTCTTCGAGTACTACGACGACCTGTCCGCCAAGGACTTCACGTCGTACGTGGCGCTCGTGCACTCGCGCTTCTCCACTAACACATTTCCGTCCTGGGACCGCGCGCAGCCCAACCGCATCATGTGCCACAACGGCGAGATCAACACGCTGCGCGGCAACAAGAACTGGATGTACGCGCGCGGCGGCACCCTGCACAGCTCGTACTTCGGCAACCGCACGTCGGACCTGCTGCCCGTGTGCTCGGACTCCAAGTCGGACTCCGGCAACTTCGACGCCGTGCTTGAGATCCTGACCAAGGCCAGCTCCTGCAACCGCTCGCTTCCCGAGGGTATGATGATGATGATCCCCGAGGCCTGGCAAAACGACCCGCTCATCGCCCCGCACAAGAAGGACATGTACAAGTACCAGTCGCTGCTCATGGAGCCGTGGGATGGTCCGGCCATGATGGCGTTCACGGACGGAAAGTACATCGGCGCCACGCTGGACCGCAACGGCCTGCGTCCGAGCCGCTACTACGTCACCAAGGACGACCACGTCCTGCTTTCGAGTGAGATTGGTGTGCTGGAGCACCTGCCCGAGAAGGACATCAAGTACAAGCGCCGTCTGGAGCCCGGCAAGATGTTCCTGGTGGACTTCGAGCGTGGCATGATCGTGTCGGACGATGAGGTCAAGAAGTCCGTGAGTGAGAGCCGTCCTTTCAAGAAGTGGCTGGACGAGAACCTGGTGTCGCTGTCGGAGCTGACTGCCACGAAGAAGGAGGCCCCTGTTCAGCAGCGCCGCCACCACAACTACGCGGAGCTCAACCGCCGCCTTAACATGTTTGGTTTCACTACCGAGACGATGGACTTGCTCATGATGCCGATGGGTATCACCGGCAAGGAGCCTCTTGGTAGCATGGGTAATGACGCGCCGCTGGCTGTGCTGTCGGAGCAGCCCAAGCTGCCCTTCGAGTACTTCAAGCAGCTCTTCGCGCAGGTGACGAACCCGCCGATTGACCCCATCCGTGAGGAGCTGGTTATGAGTTTGATGTGCCCTGTGGGCCCGGCTGCGAATGTGCTGGATGCGTCTGCGGAGCACGCCAAGCGTTTGATGGTGGAGCACCCGGTCATGTCGAACTCGGAGATGGAGGCCCTGAAGAGCACCAACAACGCCGACTGGACCCCGAAGGTTCTGGATGCGACGTTCGCTGCTGGAAGTGGTGGTCGTGGTCTCGTTGAGGCGCTTTACCGTCTGTGCGAGCAGGCCACGGATGCGCTTGTGAACGAGAAGGCCCCCATTATCGTACTCTCGGACAAGCTTGCGGGCGTGAACCGTTACCCGGTGCCGTCGCTGCTTGCCGTCGGCGCTGTCCACCAGCACCTTCTCCGAACGCAGCAGCGTACGAGTGTTGCGCTGTTCGCGGAGTGTGGTGACGCCAAGGAGGTGCACGACTTCTGCACCCTGCTCGGTTTCGGCGCTGATGCCGTCAACCCCCACATGGCGGAGATGGCGCTGAGCAAGATGAACGACGAAGGTCTCCTGTACGCGCACTCCAAGACGGAGATGTCGAACTCCGAGGTGTTCGACAAGTACCGCGCTGCTGTGGGCAAGGGTATCCTCAAGGTCATGTCGAAGATGGGTATCTCGACGCTTCAGTCGTACAAGGGTGCGCAGGTGTTCGAGGCTGTTGGTCTGGGTGACGACATTATCAGCATGTGCTTCGAGGGCACGAACTCGCGTATCCAGGGTACGGACTTCGAGGCCCTGTACACCGATATCTCGCGCTTCCACGAGGCCGGTTACCCGCTGCACTCGGACATGCTTCCTCTGATCCGCAACCCGGGCAGCTACCACTTCCGTAACGACTCGGAGGTGCACTACAACTCGCCCAAGAACATTGTCGCCCTGCAGCGTGCCGCCCGTGAGAACTCGCGTGAGGCTTACGCGCAGTACGTGGAGGAGACGAACGAGCTGTGCAAGCGCGTGAACCTCCGTGGTCTTCTGGACTTCAAGTTTGTGGATGAGGACAAGATGCCGAAGCTTGAGGAGATGGAGAGCGTCGCTGATATCGTGAAGCGCTTCAACACGGGTGCTATGAGTCTGGGCAGTATCTCGCAGGAGACCCACGAGGCTCTCGCTATTGCGATGAACACGATTGGCGGACGCAGCAACACTGGTGAAGGTGGCGAGGACGTAAAGCGTTTCACGACGCCTGGCGGCCCGCCCAACCTTCGTCGCTCGGCTATCAAGCAGGTTGCTTCGGGCCGTTTCGGTGTGACGATGAACTACCTGACGAACGCCGACCAGCTTCAGATCAAGATGGCCCAGGGAGCGAAGCCCGGTGAGGGTGGTGAGCTGCCCGGCCACAAGGTCAGCGACTACATTGGCTCGATGCGTCACACGACGCCTGGCGTTGGTTTGATCTCTCCGCCGCCTCACCACGACATTTACTCGATTGAGGATCTTGCTCAGCTGATTCACGATCTCAAGCACTCGAACCCTTCGGCGGAGGTCTCGGTGAAGCTGGTGTCTGAGGTTGGTGTGGGCGTTGTGGCTGCCGGTGTGGCCAAGGCCAAGTCGGACCACATTACCGTGTCGGGCCACGACGGTGGCACCGGTGCTTCTTCGTGGACGGGTGTGAAGAACGGCGGTCTTCCGTGGGAGCTGGGGCTTGCTGAGACGCAGCAGACGCTTGTGCTGAACGACCTGCGCTCGCGCGTGAAGCTGCAGACAGACGGACAGCTCAAGACTGGCCGCGACGTCATGGTTGCTGCTCTGCTTGGTGCTGAGGAGTTCGGCTTCGCGACGGGCCCGCTGATCGCTCTTGGCTGCATCATGATGCGCAAGTGCCACCTGAACACGTGCCCCGTTGGCGTTGCCACGCAGGACCCTGAGCTGCGCAAGAAGTTCCAGGGCCAGCCTGAGCACGTGGTGAACTTCATGTTCATGCTGGCTGAGGAGGTGCAGGACTACATGCGTCGCCTGGGTTTCCGCAAGCTGGACGACTTGATTGGCCGTGCCGACCTGCTCAAGGTGAACCAGGACGCGCTGCACTACAAGAGCCGCAAGCTGGACCTGTCCCCGCTCCTGATCAACGCCAGCACGCTGAACGAGGGCGCTGGTGTGAAAAAGGAGATGGAGCAGGAGCACGAGGTTGAGAAGTGCATCGACATGCGTCTGATCGCCAAGGCGAAGGATGCGCTCGAGAGCAAGACCCCGGTGGTGATCGATGACGTTGCAACCAACCTGGACCGTACGCTCGGCGCCACGCTGTCGCACGAGATCTGCAAGCGCTACGGCGAGCAGGGTCTCCCCGACGGCACGGTCCACCTGAAGCTCAAGGGCCACGGCGGCCAGAGTCTGGCCTTCGGTCTGGCCAAGGGTGTTCGTCTCGACCTGGAGGGCGACTCGAACGACTACGTGGGCAAGGCTCTGTCTGGCGGTGAGGTGGCGGTGTACCCGAGCCCGGACTTCTCGGAGCGCGCTAACCCGGAGAACGTGATTGTCGGCAACGCTGTGCTGTACGGCGCCACGAGCGGTGAGGCGTACTTCTCGGGCAAGGCTGGCGAGCGCTTCTGCGTGCGTAACTCTGGTGTGAAGACCGTGGTGGAGGGCGTGGGTGACCACGGTTGCGAGTACATGACGGGCGGCCGCGTGGTCGTCCTGGGCCCCACCGGACGCAACTTCGCGGCCGGTATGTCTGGCGGTATCGCGTACATCTTCGACGAGGACAGCAGCTTCCAGAAGAAGTGCAACATGGGCATGGTGGGCGTGGCCCCGCTGACTGAGACGGCGTCGGCTGCCGAGATCCAGGAGGTCAAGGCGCTGATCACCAAGCACCTCGAGCGCACGCAGTCGCCCAAGGCGCTGAAGCTGCTGGACAACTGGGACGCTTTGGTGACCAAGTTCATGCGCGTCATGCCGTACGACTACGAGCGGGTGCTGCTCGAGCGCGCGGCTGTCGTGAAGGAGACCAAGAAGTCGGCTTCCGCCTCCGCCTAAACCACAAGGATCAGTTAAGATATGTACGAAGGGAAGATAGTAAAGAGCATGAAATGTATAACCAAGGTAATCGCAGAACGGCTATGAGATTACAAAGTGCTCAAGAACCTCGCTGTCCATGCAGGTAGGCTCACGGCGGTGTGAACGCTTGCCGGTGGAGATTGTACCGCACCAAGCCTTATCTCTATACTACTGTACAACTGTACTGCGTAGCACGCACGTTCATTGGCATGTGAGATGGTTTTTCCTTGGGCGCAGGCTAGAAGTTCATTTTTGGTTCCGTAAGTATGTATATTTAGGACTGCGCCTTGCTCAGTGTCGACCATTCTTTCTTTTGAATTTACAGCACAACGAAATGACGAAGTGGCTCCGGAGGTCCGGCCAACACTCTGGTCAGCATGGATATCACTTCAAGTGGAGTCCGAAGGACATTATTCCGTCGAGCGATTCAAACGGCTTGATGGATATGCGAACACTGTGAGCTCTAAACGGATTCTATTGATTTGCCTTTTGACACCGTTGCCATGCTTGGTGATAAGCTTGCTGAAAGAACTTCCCCCCTTGGAGCCCCCAGAAGCTGGAGTGAAGAAAAACTGGGTCTTCTTCATCCGAGCTACAGTGGTGGCTAGTCTCATCAATGCAACACTTCTCGTTCAGATAGGCCAAGGCGCCCCACGGGTCAAGCTCAGCCGCATGCAAGTGACCTTTATATCGTTTCTGGCGGCGGCAGAGTCCCTCGCCTTCATTTATGCCGTTTGCTCAGCCACTGTGTTTCCGCTTCCGTTTGGCGTACTTTGCGTCGCCCCACCTGACCTTTTGGTCATGACAGTTTGCTTCATCTCCAGCTTTGCTGGCCCAGATCAACCAGCAAATAGCAGTGATGAACTGCCAGATCGCGCTGACGGTCATCCACCCGGTCTACATTTATGGGTTCGTCTCACTTACTGGCGTGAGCCAAGTGCTATTCCTACTCGTGCTGCCAATTATCAAGCTCATTGACAAGAGCGGGGTCAATCGTGCCCTTGCAGATTACTACGACTTGAAGCCCCAGTCGGTCATTTTTACCGTGGAAGTTTTCAACGCGCTTTACGTATCGAGCGCTCTTCAGAGCGCTTCATCGTGGGCGTTGACAGTTACGATCATGGTAATCGATATCGTGCGCTTCTTGTTCTCAATGCGCGATATTTTGGCGGTCCGAAAGGAAGTGAAGGTGCTCATGGCTAAAATTCCACAAGATCACCCGCTTGCCAAACAGAATTTTCTACAAGTGGCGATGAGGATTCAAGACAGCTTGGATGATACAAGACAACAAAGTTTTTGTGGTACAAGCATATTCAGAGAGGCTTCGACCAAAATGCTTGTAAATTTTAACGACTCAAGTGGGACGAATGCTCGAAATGGTTCTACGCCGGTACAACCGGAGACCATCAATCGACTTTTTGAGACTCGGAAAATTATCCCAATGGAGACCCTGGATGACGTTGTCCCGCAGCTTCAGACTCTCGCAGCGAGAAGTGGACCTTCTGAAGCGGATAATGCAGTTATCAGCTCGATTTTCTCGAAAGACGAACGAGCCTTGTTCATCAAAAAGAGTACTCAAGTACTCTTCATTACGGAGTACGTTATCCTGGTGGAGTATGTTGAGGTGGTCCTTCCCGTCATCTACGGTAAGCAACGAATGTAGTATCCGATCGTAGCCAGCTCACTCACACAAACTCTAACTGTGCATTTGCAGTCGCTTATCGCAGTGTTCTCTTCTACATGCCCAACCGTGCCTTCCACGCATCGATGACTGAGCTTACTATTGGGCAGCTGCTGTCGTCCGCTCTGAATGTGCTGGCCTACTGCTCACTGGAATTTTGTTCACTGATTACCTCGGCGATCGTATTGAGACGCACTCTGGGCATTTCACCGTGGCGACAACTTGGTTTTGAACTTGAGACGCATACGGGAATGATTCAGTCCATGCTGATCGAAATTCTGATCTACACTCAAATTTCGCTGGCACACCTCGGTAAGTTCAGCGATGTTTCTCCAGCAAATACCCCAAAACTAACATAAAGTACCCCTGTAAATGCTGATTTCAGCTTCAAATTTTCCTAATTGAATGTAAACTGAGAACTCCACTTCTATAACGATCGCGCGTAAGCTGCCTGTACTCGAAAACGTGTATATTTGATTTCTTCGTCGCGTTTCCGGATCTCTATCAAAAATCGCGAGTTAGGTGCAATGCAGACTACGAGCTGCTGTAGGACATCTCACTGGCGTACTCTGCGCTGCCCGTTGAGCTGGATTGGATGCTGGCGTAGTCGATGGCGCTCTTCTGTGACAACATCTTGGCACGGGCGCAGTCTCGCGCGCTCATGCTCGTGACCGAGCTGATGCATGCTGTACAGAACGTCACCTTCCGCTTGGACAACATCAGGTCCGAGTCCACGAAACTCAACTTGCGAGTCACCTTGCATGCATAGCACACGTGACTGAAGCACATCTTGCACGAGCTGTTGCTCTTGGCCAAGTCTCCGAGTCGCCTAGTGGTAATTGGTGACGAGCAAGTCACGCAAACCTTCTTCTTGTTGGGGGCTCCTCGCTGCTTGGACTCGGTGTACGCCTTGTCCAGCATGAACGAGAGCTTGCGCATCTGGCCACAGTACGAGTACTTGACACTGGACAAGAAGGCGGAAGCCATGCCAGGCACCACCAGCATCCGGATCATGTCTCCACACGGATCAAAGATCCCCGTTGCGTACATTTCCATCGCGTTGGCTCCTGCCTGGCGCCAAAACGCGATGATCGAGACGTTGCCACGAATCCGGTTGGGAAGGTCGTGGGTCTGAGGAAAGCTGACCGAGTGGAGGAGGTGATACCCGAGTCGATCGCCCTTCTGCGAGGTGACGAAGCCTGTGCCCTCGAGGTAGACGTAGTCTCGATTCTTGACGAGGTTCATGGACGCGAACGGAATGTCGAGCTCCATCCACTTAACGATCAGGGACTGGAACGGGTCCTCGAGTGTCGGTTTGACGATGGAGCTCAGCCAGCACTAACGTCATCGACGTATGAAGCCTTGATCCGCATCCTCTCCAAGTCTTCGCTCATGACTCCGTGCACGAGGTCGTCTACTTTGCCCTCCAGCGTTCCAACACACAAAATCATGGGGAGGCCGAGCCAGTGAGGCCGCTACTTCCTGCTGAATGCGCTGTGTCTCGACGTTCCGCGAACACTTTGAGCTGTTCGCGCTCCTTGATGCTCTTCCAGCGGTTCGGATCGACCTTGCCCTTGTCCGACGAGACGAACTTGTTGTACTTGTCGAGGTTGGACATGATGAGGTTGTTGGCGAGGTCTTGAAGCTGACGCTGGTCGTGCGGCGTGACATGAAGCTCCGGGAACGGATTCACGATAAAGCGGCCTTTGCCCATGGTGAGCGACTACGAAGGAACCTGGTGAAGTGGTGGCGAGAGCGCAAAAACCAAAGTGACTTGTAAATCTGAGACGCTCTACCGTTCCAAGAGAAGAGGGGGCACAGGAATTCTAGTCGCAAGGCAGAGGCGATAAGACGCGTGAGCTGCATAAGGACATCAGATGGATGTCTCCAGCGCTGATACCAAATGGTTTATACAAGTGATGAACACCCTGAAGTGGCCACTTTTGCATGACCCCAGAAGGGTGGAGCATCACAGTTGCGCGTGCAAAATGCTGTCGGACACCTGACTCATTGCCAGCATGAGGAGCTTACCAATCCAGTTCGCTAAACTAAACTTTACTATTTTGGTTTTGCCTGCAACTTGACTGCCATACCGTCCAGAAATGGCCCGGGCATATACGCTGCTAGATAAGAACGTTGTAAGCAGTTGTAATTCTAGCGGCGTGCGCTCGATGATCTCATCGATTTAATCGACGGCGTCTACTGTAGCTGGTTCTTGATCGACGATCCACGGGCTCAACTCTAGCGCCCTACGGCTGGAAGCTGCTCTCCGCTTGGAAGCGCCTGCAAGTCAGCTACTACGGCGGGAGATACTCGATCCACCGCGTACTAGCGTTGGAAACCTACACCAAGAGCACGTCGCTGCGGCACGTTCTCCTCGTCTGCTTAACCACTCCAGTGCCTATGGTCACCCTCGTACTTGCCCAGGAGCTAGTATCATTGCAAGACCCGAAGGAGAGGTGGAGCTCTAACTACGGGTTCTGGGTGCGGACATCGATACTGGTATTCGTTGGGATTCCTACGCTCACAGTTCAAGCCACGTACTTTATCGATGGAGTGAAGATCCCCACTCTTCGTCTGGTTCTGTTGTCGCTCGTCGCTTCGGTTGGAGTTATCACTGGATCGATGGCGATTTGTTCCCACCTCGTCTTTCCAGTGTCATTCTTCCTGTTGGCAATGTTCCCGGTACTCACCGTGGTGTTGGTTGTCTCGTTCCGAGTTATCATCGGCACCCGAATAATTCACGAGATCTTGGCCCATCGAGGTCAGTTGACCAGGTATCTCCACTTTGTCAACGCCAAGTGTCTGCTGATCTTCGTGTATCCAGCGTATGAGGCGTTATTTCGTGCTGCTCACGGGACTCAGTACCAGGTTCCGGTTATTCTGCTTCTACCAGTGATGAAGATCGCTCTGAAGAATATCATGTGCCGATGTACCGCACATATGGAAGACATGACGCCTGAAGCGGTGATATTCACGGTGGACTTGTTCAATTCGACTTACATGGCCACGTGCATGCAGAGTGCCTCTTCTCTAATGACCGTCACCGTGATCACTATCGTTGATCTATCGTTAACGATAACAATGCTGTACGGACTGAATCATCGAACCGCTAAAACACTGGCGAGATTTCAACTTTCTGCTGGAAATTATCAGAATTTGCTGAGCGACCTTTGTGTACTCTGTCGAACCCCACAAAGATTTGAAAAACAGAATCGAGACGGTATTCACGTGTACTCTCATCTTCGCTACAAACTATCCGCAGCGGATGAAAAGTTAATGCTCGTGCTGGACGATGTACCAAAAGGAAAGATCTCCGAGATTGCGTCTTCAAGATCGCCAAGCGTGGGGGATATCGTACCGCGTGAGAGTTTCTTGAATCTGTCCAGACTCCAGACCTCCTTCTCTCTAAGTCGGAATGGTGCAGTTCACCCTTTAGTTCCTGAGGTTACCAGTCCGAAGCCTGCAGCATGGGAGGAATCCGTTCGACCCACAGAGCGAAGCTCAACCCCAGTTTCCAGTTCTCACGACTTGCTGCTACTTCAGCATTCACTGGAGACGCTCTTCACGATCGAGTGTCTGGTAGTTGCCTCGTATCTGGAGGCCGTCATCCCCTTGCTCTACGCCAGCTACATCCTGGTCGTCGTGCACCTTCCAAGTGCTCGCTACCACACAGAGATGGTCGGTATAACCCTCGACAACGCGGCGCAACGGTCCTTCCCGTCTACCTGTTCGCATTTCTACAAGTCGTGACCATCGTGCTGCTGTTGATGGTGGTCAAGCGCAACTGCGGAGTGAAGGCTCTGCATCAATTGGCATTCGTGCTGGAGACCCAGATGTCAGCCATCCAGGGCAAATTGATGTTCTGGATGCTCATCACGCTGTGCTCCCGCCTCGTGCATTTCGGTACGTCCCTCCAACTTGATTAAGCAACCATTGCCTTGCTAGTCCTCTGACCGTTGTTTGCTACTGTACCAGGCGTCGACTTCACGTTCCAATTCGCATTTTGAATCCACTTCAACATGACCCCCTAATTCAAGCCCGCTTGAAGCTGGCCGCCCTCTATTAAAGCAGTCCACCCCATACAAACGCCAAGTCAAACTTCAGGGAGATCTTTTTCCTCACATCCCGAGAAGCTCCGATAAGGAATCAGGTCCAAGAGTCAAAGAGGAAGATGAAGGTGCTGAGCTCGCTGTTCCTGGCCGCCGTGGCGCTCGCCCCGTGCCACGCGCTGACCAGCGACCCGCCCGCGTCCGTGAGCGCCTCGGAGCGGCAGACGTGGGAGGCCTTCGTGGACTACGCGCTGGACTACGAGAAGAGCTACCGGTCCGACGCCAACGACCAGGCGCTCGTGCAGCACAGGTTCCGCGCCTTCGCCACCAACCTGCAGCGCATCGAGGCGCACAACGCCGCGTTCGAGCGCGGCGAGTTCAGCTTCACGCTGGGGCTCAACGACCTCGCGGACCTCTCGGACGCCGAGTACAAGCAGCTGCTGAGCTACCGCGCGCGCGACTCGAAGGGCGCCTCCGAGACGTTCTCCGTGAGCCCCGAGGACGTCAAGGACCTGCCCGACAGCTGGGACTGGCGCCAGCACGGCGCCGTCACGCCCGTGAAGAACCAGGGCCAGTGCGGCTCGTGCTGGGCCTTCTCGGCCGTGGCCGCCATGGAGAGCGCGTACCAGCTGAGCACCGGCAAGCTCGAGTCTTTCTCGGAGCAGGAGCTCGTGGACTGCACGCTTGGAGGCGTGGACGACTGCAGCCACGGCGGAGAGATGAGCGAGGGCTACGAGGAGATCATCAAGCACCACGGCGGCAAGATCGACCGCGAGGAGGACTACGAGTACACGGCCGAGTCCAGGGGCGTGTGCAACGCCAAGGACGACAAGGCCATCGGCCACTTCACGGCGTACGCCAACGTGACGTCCGGGGACGAGGCGGCGCTGCAGGCCGCCATCACCACCAAGGGCGTGCAGGCCGTGGCCATCGACGCCAGCAGCTTCACCTTCCAGTTGTACCGCCACGGCGTGTACAGCTGGCCGCTGTGCGGCAACGCGCCCGACGCGCTGGACCACGGCGTGGCGGCGGCCGGCTACGGCGTCTACAAGAAGAAGGACTTCTGGCTCGTCAAGAACTCGTGGGGCGACTCGTGGGGCATGAAGGGCTACATCATGATGAGCCGCAACAAGGACAACCAGTGCGGCATCGCCACGGACGCGTCATACCCGATTATGACCAAGGAGGACGTCGCGATGGAGCCCCGCCCCGTCGTCGTGGAGGAGACCACCGAGGTGGCCAGCATCATGTAAGAGACCCGCGACAAGTGGATCTTGTTGCCAGGCCGCTGCTTGTAAGGGTCGAAGGCCAACCGACGGCCAGACGCTGTTATGAATGCACGCAATGTATCGCCATGCTGCTGTTGGCTGTTATTGCTGAGCTTGTTCCTGAGGCAGCTCGTGAGCAGGTTGCTGGGGGATCTTTGTGTGGTGGCCACCGATTCCAGCGCGACTCGCTATAGCGACCGCGTGCAGATCGTTCGTGCGTTCCTTTGCGCGGGCGTTGATGGCCTTCACTTGATGTTGCTCAGCTCCGCTCCAAGTGCGTGGCGAGCCGCCAGTGGTGGTTGCTGCTGTACCGGTGCACAGCCAGCTGGCATTTTTAACACACGTCGCATGACGGGAAATCGGACATAACCGGATTCAACACCTAGACCTGCATTCTGGAAGGGCATAATCGACCCAAAAGATTGCGAGCGTGTACCCAGCAGGCCCAAATTGCGACCGTCTCATGTGGTTCATCGCAAATTGCCGCTGGGCCCCCAAGACACATTTTAGGCTGGAGCTGCGATGCTGAGGTCAGCCCGAATACATGTAGATACAAGAGGCAGCGGTTATTGCTCCTGAAGCTGTAACAGTTCAGTATATTTACGGCACTTAGCTTTTCTCCATGACGCTCCGTCGTTATAGTGAGAAGATAAGACTTCGACCTTGTCGGAAATCCCACGCCTGAAACAAACCAAACCAACCAAAGTGCGAACTTAAGGTTCGAATGAAAACTACGCGACCTTTGAACCATATTTCCGTCGGTTATTAGTTTATTACTGGGATGGTGCAATTCCGAACCAACTGCCGTGGTTTTGGGCGGATTGGTTTGGAGTTACGCCGTGGCCGCTCGAACTTGGGACTTTCTGGTTGGTCAAAACAGACGAACTATCTTTCGCAAAAAGCCGCATGCCTCACAAGGCCTGAGTGAACCTGTGGATGAGTCGCGCCCGACAGGCCGACATGGCTGGTGTCGGGCAATAACATCGGCGTTGGGTCGTACATACTAACGTTGTTGCACTTGAGGGAATACACAATTCGTTTTTCTTTGCCTCTTTCTCGTATTCCACTCGCTTGCGCAGACACGCCCCTGCCTAATCGGCGATTAGGCAGGTAGGTATTTGCGGCGAATGCACGGAGCGCGCGCCAGGATGCCACCCACCCTCGTGTAAACAGTAAGGCAAATCGCACTAAACGTCTTAGTCGTTGTATTGAAAAGCACGACCTGCACTACCAAGCAGCCCCGAATGCGATAATTCATTATTTTTGATCTGAGTATTCGGACTACTCTAAAGGTACTCCCAGCCATACACTACCTTGCATTGTGTGCACTTTAATACTTTAATACTGTGGATCATACATCCGCTTAAACCGCGAACACCCAAAGAATGAGGACGTGGCCCCAACAGATTAGTTGCGTGACTTAACGCGTTACTCGGTTTGGCTTAAGCTTTGTGTACTCCAGCCAGCAGATTGTAGGCTCAGCAGCCTCAACGAAAAGTTTCAGTTGTCGGTAGCTCGGCGAAGTGCATATCGCCATTCAAGCTCTACGCGCCAGCTTCAGCAAGTGAATTGCGGCACACGCGATACTCATGGGTGTGGTCCCGCAAGGGCACGTCCTCGTCACGGCAATTAGCACTATTATAGTACCAACACCAATATGTAGCAGCACTTCTAGTTGTAGATATTTCCAGCCAAGTCGAAGGCGACCTAGTTGACAATGCTCTGCGACATCGCAAACTTTCTGTTTTTGGCCGCACGCGAGTAGTCAGCAAGCGCTTGATTTAGACCAATCCGATGCTAGAGGTTTGTTGTGGTTTGGTTTGCTTTCGGTCGGTTCGAAGCACTTCAAACCAAACCGTGAAACCGTAACGAACCTGGTTTGCTGGTAATTTTGGTTTGGTTTGAACTTTGAACCTGGAGGTTGGTTTGGTTTGTTTCAGGCGTGGGAAATCCCCACGCAGAAACGAGGGAAGGGGAGTGCGATGACTCCTTCGGCCGTAAATTGATTTCGTATTATGACGCGTGAAGCAAAGTCGGTTTAGCAAAACATACTTGAGCATGCGATTTCTTACTGCAGAAGTCGAAAGACCATGAGTACTGGGCCAGGGCAAAATAAATATCTCTGCCACGGCCATGTTAAACAACCACCAGAAAGGCAGCCGATGCACGCTGTGAAAGATCGACAAACAGCAAAGCGCAGTGCTGCTTGAAAATGGGCGCTGCTCCCCCATTTAGATCCCATTTAAATGGGTATGCGGCCCGGCCGTGGAAACCGCGCGCCCAATAGCGGCCATACAAAAGGCAACATTGATTCTGAACGCAGCGCAATGACGGCCTTCAAGCGTCCGATCGCGCTTTGCCTCGCCAATCTGCAAGTTGGCAGCAGCGAAGCGGCGACCGGGTGCCCAGGGGCGTGTAATAGTGCTGTGGGCCTTAGCGCTGCATCTTACTGTAGCGCTGCAGCAGCGGCAGGAAGCCCCAGCACCAGGAGAATGGCCAAGGGCAGGAGGAAAAGATCGCGGCCGCCACAGGATAGCGGGCAGCTGCCCCAACTTCAACTGGGGCCGGCTGACGACGTCACGGGATGACGTCGGCCCTCTCCGTCGCCCAACCAGAATGACGCACCGTGTCTTTCTCCCAAGCAGCATGTGACGCGCTAAGGCTCGTTCGGCCCCCTCATTGGCCAAAAGCCTTCTGTAAAATCGTCCATTGGCCATCAGTGCGTGCGGGGCAGAGGCGGGGCGACGTCATGTCTCGGCTCGTACTTAGCGGGGAACCCTCACTTTTCGAGTGTCCATTGCTTGCAGGCGCAACGAGTGGACATGTTTTCCCTCGAATGCCCAGCAGCCCAGCCACAGGACCGTTTCCCTCCACTATAAAGCATTCCCGTGTTGGTTGGTGCCTGCCCACTTCGCGTTTTGCCAGCGGTTACCAACGTGCGTGCACCAAGCTCCAAGCAGCAGCATCGAACAGAGCCATGGAGAGTCTCCGCCCCGCCAGCAACAGCAACAGCAACAGCGCCCAGCTGCAGATCAGCTCCTTCGTGTCGCTCGACGCCGACGACGAGATGGCGCAGCTCATCCTCGAGGTATGCAATTACTTCAAATGGAGACAGTTGCAGCTCCTACTGTATCAGTCGCTAACGGAACCTTTTTGCCTATTGCAGGAGCTCTCGTACATGCGCCGCTCGTTCACGGGCGTGGCGGCCGAGATCGCCAGCTCGCCGTCCAGCGCGTCCACGGGCCTCAACGCCATCTCGGAGGACGAGGAGGAGGAGGAGGACTAGACTTCTGTCGGCCAGTCAGATCTCAATGCAATCAATAGAGAACCAACCACACGCGGAGAGGGACGGACGGGTGCATCACGCGGCCGGAACTCGCGCAGACCCCACTGCGGGCGCCGAGACCCGCGCGGCAGTGCGGTATTCGAGTAGAAAGAAGAGAGGAGAGGGGGATAGCAAATTGCAACGCGTTATTTATTGGATCAATGCAATGTCTTGCTCTATTTGTGGTGGGTCCTAGTGGCCGTGTCTTTCTGGTGGTGGTTCTCGCTGCAACGTGCGTCTACAGTAGATAGAGAGTTCTGGTGGTGGCGCGGTGGATCCACTGGGCAAAACGAGAGGACGGGAGGCGAGATGACGTGGATCCCCCTGCTCTTATGACACATAGTACTAGTAGGTTGAAGCGGCTTGCCGTGGGGCTGCCATTGCAAGCACATGGGCCAAGAGCCTCCACATGGCGCTCGTCCAGCTGAGCCGCATCTTGGCGAGCGGTGGAGATCTTCCGTGACGAAAACCCTCGACCTCGGGCTAATCTCATTGCGATCGTCCAGGACGAGCGACTGTTGAATTGGCGTCGGCATCCGGCACTCGCTCTTGAGGCCCCAACGGCTAGGCGAACGTCCAAGTGCAAGCCCATTGCCTGGCAACAAGCTGCAGTATTCTCCGCACACGCTCCTGGTGTGCAACTACGTATAACATGCTTGTGTATTGGTACAGTACTGCAGTGTCTATTTTTCTGAGGATACCTGGAGGTGGGATCCGCGCCTGTCAAGCCAATTTTACTACAGTCAAGGCACTGCCACTGTGAGGACGAGCCCGACGATTACAGTCATCCTTGGTACTCGCCGCTGGATAGTGCTGCTGCCCCGTGTAGGCATCGCAGAGCCAAGTGACAAGCAGCAACTCGTGGATTCCCCCGTCTATCTGATTCAGTCTCAGTTCCAGTCTCAATTCAACCGCCATGTTCGAGCTCTCAACGTCCAAGGACGAGTTCGTCTCCGCGTACACCAACAAGCTCGAGGTCGGCACCGCCGAGGACTTCGACCGCAATGGGCTGCGCCTCGGCCGCTGGGCCGCGGGCTCTTCGGCTGCTTGAGCGGCTGCGTCCCCAACGGTCTCACCTAAGGATTCTACCGTTGATACACTACTCTCCCCCCCTCTCATTCTTGGATGTATGCTGCAGGCTTCATGGCCTTTGTGTGCCCCGGCGTCTCCGTGGCTCAGACCACCGCTCAGCTGGGGCTCGTGCGCTTCAAACTGGTGCTGCAAGTCTACGTGGCGCTATGTCTGCTGCTGCTGTTGACGGTCGCAGTGGACAGCGCAGTGCTCAACTTGCTCTGCGTGGTGGCGGCTGTCGCTGCAGCGTCTGCAGTCGCCCGACTGAGGATGAAGATGCGCGTGCTGTTCGACATCCCGGGGAACGCTGTGCTGGATGTGGCCACCACATTCGTGTGCACTCCCTGTGCGGTCGCGCAGATGGCCAGTCACGCACAGGCCTACCAGCCAGGAACGTGCTCGTTCCGCGCGCGATCGACGCTGGAGGGATACGTGCGGCAGTGAAGTGAGGTCTGAAGCTCGACTGTATGGATACTTTTTTCTTTTGTTGTACCGCGCGGTGTGTGGGCTCGCAGAACTTCGGTTTGGGGTAGAAGCCGCTATCAGAATCTGAATATACGTACAAGAATTGGGATTTACCAAGCTGGCGTTTGTTCATGATAGCAAGCTGCATGCATTTTCTTAGATCCCGTTTCGCGCTTAAGTGACAGTTGAGTTTGGTCCGCGTTCATGGTAGGGCAAAGCTATGCTTGGGTATCGAACGTCTGAGCATGCGTTGAGACCACTGGCGCCCTTCTGCCTTTCTTACAACGATTTCAGCTTCCGCACTCGTCTGCTTCGAATACTAGAGTACTTCGTATCAAAGTAGTAGAAGATATACAAGTACGCGTTGGTAGGGGACGTCATACAGACTGTGGCTCTTGCTTGACCTACGCCGCGTTTTGGGTCAACTAAAAGCCTTAATTCCAAGCTGTTAGTAGCAGTTTTTGTAGGTTGTATCGTGTTGTAGAAAAATGTTGTGCTCGGACGCCAATGTATGCCGGCTAAAACATTTCGTGTATATATTGTCGATTGAGGAAGAATCCTAATAAAGTTGTCCAGATAAATTCGAGTGAAGGCGTATGCCTGTGCCGTCTCCGCTATAGCTTGATACATCGGTAGGCGCAGCTCTTTTGAAGTAGTTACGGAGGTCCTCGATTACTTTACTCGATGAAGCGACTGCAGATTGCCGTTTGTGTTGTTCCTCCTCAGCAGCTCGTCTCTTTTCCTTTTCATGAATCGCAAGAGACCTCCACAAAGAGTGTGTCCACCTCGCGTCGAGTCGACATCGTCATGCGAGTAAATCGCATCTGGAGCTCGTGCAGCTTGTCCGACAAGTCTTCAACTTCGCGCTGCAAATTCTGTTTCTCGAGCTTTACTCGCTTGCGATACAAGCCGCAGCGCACGGCGTCGTCTGACTTAGACCCCGTCTTCTGCTTCTTCAGGCAGCATACCGCAACGTCGTGTTCCTCTTTGACCGAATTATATGGTGGCTGGAATGGATCTGTAACAGGCCTATTATCTCGCCCGGCTGTTGAGCGTGTCGTATAGCTTGCCGCGCCCCGAGTCCTTCGTACGAGCCACTACGTTCAACCCTGTTGGCCGACGGTAGCACCAACTACCGCGCCCGATCTTCCGCCTCAGTGCGTCGGATCGAATTTATTACCAACAATAGAGTAGATAGAGCCTAACTAAATAGCACTCCTCTAAACTACCAACACGACTTCAACCAGGTTGACCTCAGTGCCAACACCAATCTCCGTCCGTCACAAAGTTCACGTCACTTCGTCAGCCTCAGTGCCAACTCCGTCACGCTTCCGTCAAAGCCTCACTCGTCAGGAGAGCTGTCGCCCTCAGTTCGCCCACACACGTGTCCAAAGACCCGCTGTGCACACTCGTCACGTTCCGCTTGCCCTTGCCTCCGCTTGAGCCCGCAGATTTCGTAATGCAACCACTCGTGCTTGCGATGGAGCGGTCCAATTCTGTAATGAGCAGCTCCGCTGCGCTGCTTCGCCGCCCACAACACAACCTCAATGTCGAGTCGACACAGATCCTCGACCTACATGTTCGTGCCGGCCTCCTCGTGCCACTCTTCGTCCGCTCAGCCACTCTCAGGCCGTCCTCACTCATCGTCGCGGTCTCTGAGACCTCCTCGGTGCCGCCTCTCTCCCTTGGCAGATGAAAAGAGTTCGTGAAGTCGTTAATAACCGCGGAATTGAAGTATTCGAGGCTTGTCATCTTGAACAAGTGAAAGTGAAAGTGAGGGCGAGGAGTGACGGATACAATGCAGGAGCTTACCTCATCCCTGCCGGTTTGCGGTGCCAGATTCGGATGCGTAAGCACCACCATTGGGCTGTGCAGAATTACATACTGTAGATTACTTCGAGTGGCCCAGAAGCTACGACAAAAGGTTTCCAGGAGAAAACCTCATATCTAAAACAACCAACCGCAATTATAAACCAAAGAGAAAACCTTAATCGTGAACAACGTTTTCGTAGAAATGAACTGACAACCTTATCGAGCAAACGAAGGGATAGGTGCCATCTGGCAAACCTATGTAGGTCCAGAGAAACGGTGGAAGTAATGCTTTTCACAGCTGCTTATATTCACCGTGTTACCATAACTCGGAAAGGCGGCCGAGATACAACTCGGCCAGGCCTTCGTAGCTCGAAGCCTGATCATGCAGACAAGTCGCTGGTATTGCGCGACCTGCCAAGGATCCCTACTGCTGTAGAAGTGGTCTGAGGACGCTGCTTTTAGCGTTGGGACCCCGTACTACGTAGTATAAATAGTTGGCACTACACTGTTGCTTGGCGAGACCATCACAGCATAGCTGTATAGCGTCAATATAGCGAAGACTGTGGTATGAGGGCTCATGCTGCGTTCTGGGCCTTCGTAAGGGCAAAAGGGACCACGTTGGGTGAGAGGACAATAGCTGAGAATGCGGCGAATGACCCCCAGAAAGCGTCAGATTGGCTTAAAGAGAGAGCAGGTCGGTACCACCGCAGCTAATGGGATGCCTTCTTACCAGAAGACAGGAGCGCGTACTTCGAAGCCCACGAAGACCACACATTTCCTCTGGCTGAAGCCCCCAAAGGAATCTACGACGAGCGCAAGGATCGAGTCCCTACATTTGTCCCAGTGACGTCGCCTCGGTTGGTACACTGCTCACCAACAGACCACACCGACATCGACGTGGCGGATGGAACTCTGCTGGGCAGAATTGGTCGGTACAAGGAAGCGAGTACGAACTACGTTGCTACTATTCGTACGGGTGAGCTACTGCGCCTCTCACAAGCATGCAGGTCGTCGGACGAAGCCAAGCAAGCGTTAAGATCGGTCTCAACGATACTGAGCTGCCTAATAAGCGACGTAGGTTGGCAGGTGCCAGGGGACAGCCGAAGCTCTGTTGTTGGTGCAATTCGAGAGGCGGCTACAGCTATCGAAGCCGCAACAACTGTTACCTTGTTGTCATCGGAGGATGAAGTGTCCGACATGGTGGCCAAGTGGCGCGACGACGAGTCAAGAGCTCGGCGCAAACTGCACGAGGTGATTGCAGCAGGTCGCGAAGACAAAACCTTCTCTGACATCTACTTGACGCGGGACCAACATCCAGATAAAATGCAAACGTTTTCCGCGTTAGGGTGGCTCGACGTGGAGGACGTCCTCTCGTATGTATCTGCAAACACGCTGCGTGATGGTAGCGAGGAAGCCGAAGCTGGCGATAGCTCTATCCGCCCGGCCAGATCCAAACGAAAAGGCAAAGCCAAACGCCGTCGAGCCCGGAGTAACTCTAGCAGTTAGTTATTCTTTAATAAAAATAGGCACCCCATTCGATCGCGCACATAACAGACAAAGCCCTTGGCGTGCTAACCTCAAGACGATGGCGCTCGAAAGGATGGCCAAGACGCTTCATCACCCGTGCTGCTCATTAGTGCACGCAGGTTCGATGTCACTGGCACCGACTCGCTAGAGCAAGAGAAGCATTTCCCTTTTCTGCCGGCTGACACGTGGAGGGACTAGGCAACCTTGCTCTCCTTCACCCCTTCAGTTCACCACTCAGGCGCTTATGTTCACCCCCTAGCACTGCATTTCTATTCTCAGGATGTTTGTTCACTGACAAGACTGTTAGTTCTGTTCTAAGGAGTTTTAGTTCAGATCGAAGGCTCTCTCGTGAGGGCCCGGTTGTGCTTCGGGTGCAGCTCGCTCACCGCGCGGATGCTCTTGTGCTGGATCGTCTCAATGCATGCTTTACGGAATGCCTAAATAGGCATGCTTTAGCATCTTCACACCTGACGTCGCAAAGCTGCACTACTAGAGTGTAAAATGCAAAATCCGTCCCGTCAAAGAAAAAAAAGCACCGTCCCATATTGTCCATCGTCCTGTCACATCAAAGACATTTTGTCCAGATAAAGAGACTTTTAATTGCTGTTCTCTGGATTTTATCCAGAGTTGTTAGGGCGATACGACTGCAGGTGCAAATCATTATAAAAATGCATGCTCCGCTATCGGTTATAAACGAACGGATCATTAACGTATCGGAACGTACCCGCTAACTCTTAATAAACGCTCGGATAATATATTATCCAGCGGCGTGTTGCTTGAGTCTTTTAGGATCGACATTCGCGTGACACGATCGATCGGATGTCGCTCGACCATGACTCCAAACATAACTACAGTTGTGTTTGCAGTACATGTATGCTCAACGATGTTACATCGGTGTCGCCACGTTCAAGTCATGGAACGACACCCACGAACACCCACGACTTCAATTTAAAGTCGTGGGTGTCGTTGAAGTCTTCAAACGATGCTGGTCTCGTTTCAACCATTCTGCACGTGCATACGTACCGTTACCGCCGCATTCAAGCCTTGACGTTGGCTGCATATTATTGCAAGATAGCTAAGGCATAGCGAGTGACCAGTACATGCTCGCGTAAGGGCTTGAGATAGTTGGCAGTGCATGCTTTCATGGTTTCGGAATTTGGTAGCAAGCCCGAATAAAGACAAAAGCACCAACTGCTGAAATTTAAGAATACTTCGCTCTAACCAAAGAACCTCGGGTAGACCTGCTAGGCGCATTTAAGATAAATTAACTTAGAATCAAACCTAGAATCAAAACTACATGATAAAATCCAGAGCTTCTCCGCGCTTTAGCACGGCTTAGTCTGTACTGGAGGTGCTACGTCTGTACACCGACTCGGGTGCTACGTTTGTTCACCCACATGATTGCAGCGTTTGCTCACTATGCGAAGTGCGGCGTCTGTCCACGCATGCCTTACACATGCCGCATCACCCCACGTTTTGGAATGACTGAAAGAACTGCCGTGAAATATCGGTGAAGCCACGTCTACAATATAAGTCCAGTGATACTTACGCTACGCGGCGTAGTGCACCTGAATGCAGGGGAGATATCGGTGGAGCCAAAGCTACAATATAACACCAGTGATACTTCCGCTGCCCTGCGTAAGTGCACATGCAAATCCTAGGTTATTAGATCAACTCAATTATCACAACATAAATATGCCGTGTAGAGTAAATACCACGGAACTTGAACAAACAATAAAGCTACTTTCGCTCATTGGCGTAACTACGCTTCTACAAATAGCACTGGAACTTGCACGCAATGATCACTACGTGAATATGCCGTGCAGAGTAAATACCGAGGAACTGCACGGCATGAAGCTATATTCGCTCTTTGGCGTAACTACGCTTCTACAAATAGTACTGAGACTTCGGCATCTTATAAACTTGTATGATAGCGTGCCCACACCATTCGATAAGACCGCCATTTCCGAGCCAAGGGTTGACTTGTAGAAGCTCGGCATACTATCATGCGTGTCCACCAAGCTGTGTGGGTTTTTGCAGAGAGGTTCGGCAACGATTACGCGCGGGCTTATGCATCGAGACGATAAGAATGCCAACACGTGCGAGCTTTGAGGCACATCAGATAGGGCTAGGAACGTTTCCTCATCCCCTCAGTTCAATGTTAATAGCATGGTTTCATTTTTTAGGGCATCGTGTTAGGACTAATCACTTTGGATCAAGTTTGCAGCTGGTAGTTTAGAAGTTAGTATTCTTGGTTTAGACTGGGGCCCAGCATACAGCTTGTTGGTTCATAATATACGCACACAGAAAATACTCTCTCCACATGTTCCGTGTGTAACAGCGCACAAACGAGGATGAAGCACAGCAACCAGCGCAATTCTGCTGGTCTGCCGACCGTTGTGTGCTGATCTGGGCGGTTGATTGATGCTATTATTGTCCCGGCCAGAATTGAAGGGCCCGGAAATTGTAACACCTCCATATGTTTAGCAATTCCGAGGGATCGCCTGCTCCGTTTGAAACAAGTGGGGGCTCAAAATACTCACATAAAGCAAAGGGAGCGGAAGCATGTAGACGCCGCCTCCGCCGCTGGAAGCCCCATCAAAGAGGACGATTGAGCGGCATGTTTTGAGCCTCGGTGAGAAGCACATGATCGTGTCCTACAAGGAAACCTAGTCCTGTCGAAGTCATATGTTTTCTGAAGATCAGAATGCTATTTCTCGTAACCCTATCGTGACCTAGCCCACTTGAGCTCATGCTTCTTGGCCGATTCAAACCTTCATGCTTGAGCGCCTGTAACGAAAAACCGGCTGCGAATTGGACCGTTTTGACCACATTTTTGGAATCTAATGCGTGTGATTCACTCTATATCTAACTATCGCATATGGAAAGTCGTAGACATCATATTCAAATCGAGGCTTCAAATCGGGCCCTTCAATTCTGGCCGGGACAATAATACTTGGTCAACTTACAGAAGACGAAAGATGGAAGCTGACCTACCGTGGGTCTCTCTGAGTATTCTTTCTCGATGTCAACATACATCAAAACGACACCCTACCACGGCACAATTGCACACACGCCAAGATATACACACAGACGACAGGATCTGTACAGGCATGGTCATACTCGTCTACAGAGGCAACTTGCCGCATCCTAGTGGTTTTCGGCACTGTCGTCTGGGACTCCCGAGCTTGGCTTCTGCGAGTCGCAGGGCAACAAGTGGACGTCCTCGGGCGCAGTGTCGGAAGCCAAAAAAGGTGTACAGGTCTGGCGAGCGTTTTTGCCGTCCTGCTGCGGACAAGTTGTTGTACTCTCGTGCCAGCAAAAAAGACCGACCGAAGAATTTCACCGAGAACGTAGTATTGAGACTACAGAGCGCGGATGGACAAACAAGCAAGGAGGTTAACTCGCACGATGGATACGCTGGATCTGCTGCTGTATCGGTCTCAGTCGTCGCCGCTAAAGGTCGAAATGACGACTCAAGTAGTACGCAAGTCGAGAACCATGATGATACTGCTGACGAGGGATTAGAGTACGCAATTGTGGATCGCATGCCAGTTGGGCTTGCGTATTGGTACAGGGTCCAGTGGCGAGATGATCCCGATGGATACCGGTGGGCCGACTCATGACTGCCCAGGAAGCGTTTGCTGGAGGGCGGCTTTGAGAAAGCATGTGCGGTCGTGGACATGTGGAAAGCGTCTAAGTACGCGTCGTTTTACGAGTTTTGCCGAAGGAATGGGCACGTGCACAATATCGGTGCCTCGCCGTCAGCGAATGGAAAATGTGCAGTTGTTGCTGTGGAGATTGCAGTTACGTTTCTCGGTAACTCTGGTTGGGCACCCCCCCCCCCCGGGTGCTTTGGTGCATTTGTGGAGTACTGCGACCGGCGGGGCCGACCCTTGTCGCCTGACGGTCTGACTGCTCGAGAGCTTCATTTCTACATCAAATACCTGAATGATCGGTGTGGTAGTTCGAAGACAAGTCAGATCAGCATCCGCGTATTCGATGGCAATTTGCTAGGAGGTGTCAACGGCAAGAACGCGTCGGAAGTATTGATGAAAGGCGCTCTAGTGGATGGAGTTTACGTCTGCGCTGCCTACAGCTCACTACGAGTGACGCACTGCTTTGCGATCAAAGTTTTTAATTGTGATAAGCTCATTTACAATGACAACAATGTTGCGGTGGAAATTCAAGCCTATGACGCAGAGTGGATCATGGGGATTATCTTTTTGCGCCGAATCGCGCTATACCTCCCTTAGTATTTTTGGCTGACAGCGTCTTTGTCTTAGGTATTACCTCAATTGGCTTAGCCACAATATGCATTACGGTAAGACTGAGAGTTTTTAAAATGAAGCCTTGGGTTTGTTACTTACTCGTGCATTATTACCACGCTGTTAGTCAGGTCAGACTGCAACACGCGTTCATTCTACAAAATCCTTGAACCAACCCAGAAGATCGTAGCACACCACTCAGTATGCGGGCACAGAACGCAGTATGGCTCTTCGCGGCAGCGGTGGGGAATCGATACGCGCGTTGGTATGCAAGCTTTCGTCAAACTCTACCTGAATTGGAGCGGCGTACGCGTGACACAACCTTCTTGTGTGGCCGTGGCGGTGATAAAATTCGGGACGCTTGGCGTGACATTGGGCCGGAGGAACGCGCACGTCTAATCCAAGCAACACCGGATTCCAGTTTCCCCAATGATACGTACGGTATCATGGACGAACGTAAGGCTTATCCAGGACAACGAAAGAAGACGTCTTGCATAACATCGCAAAGACCACTACGACCAAGAAGACTACGGCCAAGATGGCCACCGCCAAAACGACTACGGCCAAGACGACTACGGCCAAGAAGACTGTGGTCACAACGTTTACTACCACAACGACTAAGGGCAAGATGACTACGGCCAAGACGAAGCGGCAACACGTACAACCGAATTCCACGAACAATCCAAATCGTGTTCGATACAGCAGTCGGGTGACTGATGAGCCGATGCCAACCCAGCCTGTACAGCATGATACTCAGCTGCAAACACGATTCGCAGAGATAGAGCGCGTGCGTAACAACTACTACACAGTGCTGAGCAAAGCACAGGATCTCCGAATCCACACATCTTACAATGGCGGGAGTATGGTCGGTATTATCGAAGCTGCTGTGGCCGGTGCGCAGAACGCGGTCGTCTTGGCCAGAATCAAGGACAAACCTAAGACAGTGGAGGACGCGTTTTCTACCGTCGCACTTCGCCTGGACGATGTACTGGCGGTTCCAATGGGAACCGCTCAGTTCGAACCGGACCTGAGTACGATCAACCCGATCCAAGGTTTGCTGCGGCGCAGATTAGACGCGCAAAACGACGATATGATGATACCAAAAGCGCCTTGTACAAGCTTTGTGTTGAGCTTGGAGCGGATGAACCTGGTGAGATCGTCATCGGGAATCGTACGAGCCGATTCTTTGGGAGAGTTTATGTGCATCGAAACTTTTTGTGAGGAAGCGATTTAGGTTGTGGGTATCGTCGTTTTCCGCAGCGATAAAGCAAAGAATACATGTATTCAATCACCAAGAGGGTTTAACCTAGTCAGTGTTCTCTATTCTAATAGAATGGCTTGAACTGTCAGCGCTGGTGCTGCATGAGCAGGCCTTCCAGTGGGCCCTGGGAGACCTTCAGAGCAGGTTGCTGAGGATGTAGTGGCGTTTGTACTGTTCGTCTGCTTCGTTTTTCGGCGAGACGTTTTTCCCTTCGACTTGTTTGGTTTGGATTGCTTACGCTTGGATCCGGAACGTTTTGCCTTGGCCTTTGATACGATTCTGTTTTTCAACTTCGCCAGTGGGTCGCGTACACTACTGGTGATGTTAAATTTCCGGAGAACCGCTACAACATGCCAGCACATCAGCATTTTCGAAAAGTAGGGCCAGGTGCAGCGCTTGCGTGTGATGTCAACTAGCCCCCCATCAGAAGGCATTCCTATGCGATGCGAACGCCGTAGAGACCATGATGTGGCTTCCTCGAAAAGCCTTTTCCAATTCGTGACCGTTTCATCGTCCTCCTGTCCATCTGAATCCAGTCTAGATCGTAGGATGGCTGGGATATCGCTGGCCGACGAGCTATCGGACGAATCTGATGTTGGGTTGTCTTGAGTGGATGTCAATGATAGAAACAAAGCCAATTGGCTACTCGGTCCTGTTGCCGTATCGGGACGCGTGGAGCGAGCCGCATTGACTGTCTCCAGAAGAAAGCCGTTTCTTCTTCAGCTTGTTCGTCTGTGTCGGGCGTAGAATCTCGAGGACTCGTACTTGGTTCGCATCGCTTGTCCTGGTGATAACAACTCGAGAAGCATCAAGCATAGCTGCCGCTGCCTTCACTAACTCGGATGTTGGTGTGGATGTATATTCTGATGGCGCGGGCTTGACGGGACTCGTCGTTTCGATGAAGGTCCTGATTTTTTCGAGTAATCGACACATATGATGCTTACGGCGCTGCAGAAAATGCTTTAGTCCTCCATGTAGGTTCTCGCAGGGATTGTTGGTTAATACGTAGCCCTCAGGGTTGTGGTACAGTTGCCATCGCCAATAGCGGCCTTTTAGCCACTGCTGCTCGAAGTAGTCCGCGAATTCAACGAGATGTGTCTGCTTGCGCCAATTAGCTATTTCTCGATCTCGTGTACGCTCGAAATCCAACAAGCTTTGCGTAAAATGCATGTCGACAATCGAGTTCATCACATTTCTCCTATCATCAAAGGGCAGGTGTTGTGTGCGTTTACGTACATTGAACATAACGTAAAAATAACACATCAGCTTCGTAGCATTTGCAAAACTGGGCACGTTCTCGAGAGCCAAGAATTGATCATCCTCAGCATCGCTCATGGTTGCGTCGATACGAAGTGTTGCTCCTCGAACATGCCGGACGACGTCAGCAAAACTGCGCAAGCACTCGATGTATTCATGTTCCGTGCGCCGACTCACCACGAAAAAAAGCACCAACTTGGTATGAACGCCCTCTATCCGTGAAGCCGCAAGTTATCACTGGATAGCCCAAGTCGCCAACCTTAAACGTGGCATCCGCATGGAACTGCACAAAATCACCCGAGTGGCAAAACCGTAGGCAGCTATCGATAAGTGCGAGAGACGTCACCCCAATAATGAAAGGATCGTCGTCCTCGCCGGACCCCACATAAACAAAGCCATCCGTGTCCAACTTAGATCCAAACAGAACAGCGGAATCTGACTGTAGGTCTGGTTTGTAGCGGCGAGCGCGAGCCATTTCATGCACGGCCTTGATTGAATTCTTGGTGCCCTTCGAACGCCGGTGGACTTTCAGCGCATTTTGAATCTGGGAGAGCTCTGGCCATCCGCCTTTAGATGGCTTGATATTTGCTTGCTTCTTGAGATGTGCTAGAATAATACATGGGGCGTTCCCAATCTCGTCTTGTGCCGCGATAAATGCTTTCATCGGCTGAGTCACGACTGGCCGATGCTCCGCAGTACAGGGAGGAACACCACGGGCATGTGCCTGCTCGTTTACAGTTATCTGCCACTTGTCCTGAGCTGTGCAGTAGAACACCTTCCAGACCACGCCACATTTGCCAAACTCGCGAGAAGTGCTGCTCAAGCACCGAAAACGTCTTCCTGTCATCGTATGTTCACCAGCACAAACACGGCAGTTGTCAAAGTCGACCTTGTGAAATATCACCGAGCAGCACATCGACTCGTCACAGTAATCATCGAATTCCCCCGTGGAATTGTGCACGGCTAGCTGATGCCAGCCAGCCATGGCCGCTCCTGAACGAAAAACTTTGTCTGCAGCCGCCCGTGTGGTAACTTGGCCAGCACAATTAAGCTGATATTTATATGCCTCACAGCGGTTAGCGGTTATATTGGTGCCCCACACATATATTCTCTTCGTGTTGTCACTCCAACGGTATGGTGCAAACCCATATTTATATTCACTCCCCATGTACGTATATTTGTGCCTACAAATCTGTCTATTTTGACACCATCATCAGAAGCTAACTGCTGCGTCTTATCCCTGGCACTTCGACACGTCGTATTAGAGCAAAGCACGAAAAGTTTCTGGTTAATACATGTGGGGGCTGTGGTATCACTGCGTCAACGCCATGATGTCGTTATACTGTACTTCCCATGTAATATTCGTTATCCATGTGTAAGTATGACAAGCGCTCTCTTACGCGAAACTTTGGCGAAAAGCAGGTGATGAATTTACCATGTCGTCATCATGACAAAAGCAGTGCCGATTGTTCTGTTGCGACGGTTTGTACTTGCGTTATTGACTGAATCATTGCTAAGCGACGCAAACAAGCAGAGTGGCGGAGCTTGTTGTCGTGTTCAGGGACAACAATCTCACTTTGACGTTCCTGTGAAGAAGAAAAGCGCCGAATTCAGGGTTAAACGTCAGGTCACAGCTTGAAAGTGATCATTACCGCACTTCGAACAGCAGATGCCCTGGCAAATATGTACTGCAATCGAAACTAAATCAAGCAGAGTATCCGTGTTTTCATCATAAAAATATAAAGTATTGCCCTCCGATCTCCCTCGTACTTCAACTCGATGTGATACCGAATACTTAGTATTCGAGTTCAGTGCACTTCGAAGACTCACACCAATGAAAGATACTAGATCCTATTTATCTGGTTGACGCATCGACCCTAAAACAAGGGAAACAACTAGTGTTATTTCGAATTCAATCTAACTTTATTAGGTGATATGTAATACTTTGTCCGTCGTTGTTTCACAGTACTTACTGTCAAGTTGTCGTGAATAGAGGATGTTAGCAACTTCGTAAATAACGACTCAAATTTACGGTCGACATTTTTATTTGTTTAGTTAAAACGAAATCGTCGACAGTGTTAGCATTCTCGTATCCGCCCATTTACGAAATCCAACTGACTCCCAGCGATAGAGGCCGACCTGCTGGCACGAGATCCCTGCATCCGATGCCATGCTGCTTCGCGCTCTGAGCGCCCCGAGTGACTGATCATCCCAGGCGTTCGAGACACAACGAGCACAGCGATGGGTACTGCAAGAGGTACTTCCGCTTCACCAATAACGCGCGATTACCGTATTTTGTGAACTATTGTGTGGCGGCAGTTGGGTTCTGTCGTGTCCCTGTTCCCAGTCGCAGTTGAAGCAGTGCTGCAGCTCACTTAAGTTTACTATTGTATACTCTAGCCTAGTGTAATGGAGGCTGCGCTGTTGCAATCCCAAATACGCTGAGTGGGCGAACAGTGTGTTTGGCAAGTCTTCTGCGCTCAAAGCAACAGGTACTGAGCCCAAGCGCCTAAAGCTCCGTGAGCTGACTCTCGGGAGCTTTGCTGTTGTCTTCGCGAGAATGACGACGCCCACGACAAGCGTGGCTGGTACTCCGTCCGCAGCAATTAACCCGCAAGCGACGAGTACTACGACAGGCTCTTCAACTCTAACGAGTGCTGCTGACTCGACGGCGGCGACTACAACTACGGCTGGGATCCATCTTGGTACTATCGCGGCGACTGGTGGTGCGATCGTGACGTCTGCAGCTACTACGACGAGTCTCCAAGGTGGCTTTACGTTCCCCCGCGTGCCGGCCGCTGGTGTTGCGTCGTACCTGCCCCTGCCGACGCCTGGAGTTGTCGTGCCCGTGCCGATGATGTATGGAAGCAGTGTGCCGTCGGTGGCTGGAGTATCATATGACTATTACGGTGGATATGGTCATCCCGTTCCGTCTAGTGGAGTCCCATTGTATCCTGGAGCTCGTGGTTCTGGTGGCATTGTGCCTGGCATTAAGGAGATCTCTACTAAGCCACCTGTAATGAAGGGTAGCTTCGACTTATATGCTGTGCAATTAAGGACCTTTCTGACTAGATTTGGACTTTGGGGAGCTGTCGAGGGCACAGACGCGCGCCCGCTTTTCGATGTCGAGGCCCAGGTGGCTTTTAATTCTCGCGACAATGCAGCCCGGGACGCGATCTTGCGCGGTGTGCCGGAGGTGGATGCAGAGATGATCTGTCACGAGGCTTCTGCGAAGGACATGTGGATCAGCTTTGAGAACAAACAGACCAAGCGTGAGTACGCGAATTACATCTTCGCCCGTGAGCAGCTCTATTCGAACAAATATACTCGTGATCAGAATTTGAGTGACTGGCTGCGTGATATGGAGTTGCAGAGGCGTGAGCTTCAGCATTACGGCAAGGTGATTAGTGATGAAGAATTTGCAGAGATCTTGCTTGGCAATGTGTCGCGGACTCACCAAGAAGTGGTTCGCCAGTTTTCTCGGCACTATGCGGTTCTTGCCGTGCCAGGCACTCACCAACTGGCTCCGACAGCAGCCCAGGTCATGAATGCGCTGCGCGCAGAGGAGGATCTGGATGAGAAGGTCGCTGAGGAGATGCCTCAAGCCAGCATTAGCTCGGCGAAGAAGAAGTCGAGTAATTCTTCGGGAAACCCAAACTCCGACAATTCTGGCAAGGGTAATGCTGGAAACGGAAAACGCCAGCGAGGCCGAGGTCGCTACAAGGCCAAAGGCAAAACCCAAGAAGGGAAGTCTGCTGGAGGCAGTGGTGGCAAGAGGAGTGATGGTTGCTGGAACTGCGGCGAGCTCGACCACATTCGAGCTCACTGCCCCTACTCAAAGAAGAATGATGACTCGCAAGGGCAGAGACCGTGTGCTGGCATGGAGGCTAAGCGGTTCCAGAACAAAAAGGGCGGCAATTCTGGAGGAGTGACGCGGAGTGTTGATGCACTGACGCAGCGCAGTATTGGCGCGACTGTGGTCGGTTGTAAACCCCGCAAGTCCAGTAGCATGGAGTGGGTCTTGGACACAGCGACGGACGTGCATGTCTGTAAAGACGCAACACTTCTTGTCAACCCAAGACCAGACAAGGAGCACATCTTCTTGGACTTCGATAGACAACCCAAAGGAGAGCGAGTGGTAGGTGAAGTGCGCTTACTAGTAACTAATGTGACATCCAAGCAGGATGAAGAGTTGTGTTGCATGGTGTTGTCCATACCCCAACTGGACCGGATAATTTGCTGAGCTTGCATCAGCTCGAAGAGAGTGGATGGAGCATGAGCTTCACGCAGATGAACATGAAACGGATTTGTTGGCTGGAGAAGGATGGGTTAAAGCTGTCAATGGTGAAAACGCGTGGCCGCTATCGGCTTCGTGCAAGACCTGGTAATGAACGATCGAGTGCTATTTCGTTGACGGTTGCTGCCACGAAGAACGCAGCGGTGACGGCTGCTGCTACGAAGAACGCTGCAACGAAAAAGAAGAACGCAGCGGCACGCTAGCACATGCGCTTCGCACATCTGAACTACCCAGCTCTGCGTCAAATGGCAGCGCAAGAGACTGTGGTTGGTTTAGAGGAACTGTGTGGAGGTGCAGGCTGTCCGAGTAGTGAACTTGACGGCAATAGCTGGACGTGCACCGCCTCTAAGCTGAAGAGGATGTCGAGCCGTTCCAGAAATTGATGTCAGACATGTGCAGCATCGGTGAAACGACGTACGATGGCTATCGCTGCTTTCAGCTCGTGATGGACGAGGCTACGCGCTGGGTGTGGGGCTTTCTTATGAAGGCAAAAGAAGAGTCCAGACCGGTAGTCATCGCACACCTGGAGTGGTTACTGGCACAAGGCAAGTACATTGAAGTATTCGGTACAGACCAAGGCAAGGAGCTGGTCAATGAGAAGCTGAAGGCATTCCTCAGGGGGAGAGGGATTGAATTTCTTTGAACGAATGCCTACAGCCCAGAGGAGAATGGGCTCGTAGAGAACAAGAACGGCGTTCTCGAAGCACGCATTCGCAGCTTGCTGACGACAGCCAACATGCCGTGGATGCTGTGGGGTGAGGCGTTCATGTTTGCTGTGGATGTGTCGAACGTGAGCCCGTCCAGGGGACTTGGAGGTGATACCCCATACACCAGACGGTTTGGTGAGCGTCCGAGCGTGGATCAGCTGAAAATATGGGGCTGTATCGTGCATGTATTCACGCCCAAGGTTCTACAGAAAGTAAACTGGAGAACCCTGGCAAACTGGGACTGTTTGTCGGGTTTGCAAAGCATTCAGAGAGTGTGCGAATGTTGAATTTGAAGACTGGTAAGATCGAAGAGAAGCGTTTTGTTGTTTTCGATGAAGGTTGGACTGTTGAGCGTTCGTACGTGGAGAACCTGCTGGCTAACACGCATCGGAAGGGCCGCTTCAAGCTACCTGATAGTATCCCGCTCGTACGACTTCCGGTGTTAGCGGCAGTGACGCACGATGAGCTGGCTGCTGTGACTCATGAAGAGTTGACTGGTCCTCCGGCAAAGCGTCGCCGTCTTTCGTCTACTGCTAGTGGTTTTGGCTCTGGTGTTGTGGTGGAGCAGACTCCGGCCAGCATGGGTTGTCCTGTGGCTGGACCAGTGAGCGAGCCTCCAGTGGGAGCGGCTTCGGCTGCTGACCCGCCGTCACTTATAAGTGCACCGCAGCAAGAGGGTGAAACCTCTGTGAGTGAAGACCATGATCAGGACGGTAGTGACTCTGAGGTAGCTGACGGTGTACTTAACCGTCGCCGTTCGGTTGCTTTGAGGGAGTTGCCGCCGCCTGCAGATGAGCAAGAAGATAGAGACGATGATGCAGTTGCAGAGAGTGAAGAAGTTGTTGGTTCAGGTGAACCAGCGCAGAGGAGCGGAAGCTCAGTGGGAGACAGGATCTCGTCAGCCAGTAGTGATGAAGAGGAGGACAACGATGACGATAGCGGTGCTGGGGCATCGTTTCGCCGCTCGACACGCATTCGCAGACCCAATGTCCGTCTGTTTGACTATGAAATTGAAGTGCCAGAAAGTCTGGTGATCCAGGCGATGAATGCAGTGATGGACCCCACACCTCTGTGGATGAGGCGTTGGGGGCTCCTGACTCTGAGAAGTGGGTTGAAGCACTGAATAAGGAGTTCGGTGACCTGCTACGCAACAACACATGGGAGCTGGTGAAGAAACCCGTAGGCGCAAAGGTGTTGACGAGCAAGTGGGTTTTCGTCCGCAAGCGGAACGCACAAGGACAAGTTGAGCGACACCGAGCCCGTATCACCATAAAATGCTGCCAGCAGAAGTACGGGCTGGACTTCTGGGAGACCTACGCCCCTGTCGTATGTATGGAAGGGGTACGTTTGGTTCTGCTGCTCGCACTTCACTACGGCCTGGACTGTCGTCACGTGGACTTTGTGACGGCCTTCCTGAACGGACCAATTGATGTTGAGATATACATGAAGCAGCCTGAGTTCTTTGATGATGGATCTGGACGTGTCTGTCGTCTGCTTCGGAGCTTGTACGGCCTCAAGAAGGCCCCGAGGATATGGTACAAGACTCTTGACAAGTATTTAAGGCAATGTGGGTTCCAGCGAATGGAGGAATTTACTTTCGTTGGGTGAATGATAGTCCTATCTTCTTGACTCGGTATGTTGACGACATTGTGATTGCCGCGACTACGGAGAACTTCAAGCTTGTGTTGACGGAGCTTGCGAAGAAGTTCGAAGTCAAAGATCTGGGTGATGTGAGCCACTTGCTTTCGATGGAGATCAAATACGTACCCGGCCAGTTTCTGTCGATCTCGCAGCGTGGATATATCGGGCGGATTCTTGAGCGATTCAAGATGGCGAACTGCAAGGCCACGCCCACACCACAGGCGAAAGGCGACTTTCCGCTGCCAGGAGATCCCGATAGAGAGACTGTGTGCATTAACATGGATCCTGATGTGGACTATCAGTGCATTGTTGGTTCTTTGCAGTATCTGGTGAGCTGCTCTCGCCCAGATATTGCAAATGCGGTACGGACGTTGGGAAAGTTCCTGGCCTGCTACACGAAGAAGCACTTCGTGCTGGCCAAGCGTGTTCTTCGGTACCTACAAGGTACTCGTGAGTACGGATTGGTGTGGAATGTGACTGTGCCTTGGGGATTGCAGCTGGCTGCCTACGCTGACGCAGACCTCAGAAACGAGAAAGATGACCGTCGGTCCATTACTGGGTATGTGTTGCAACTCAACGGTTGCACATTTGCCTACAAGAGCAAGAAGCAGCCGATCATCACGGACGACACGTGCAGTGCGGGGTTCGTGGCTGCGAGCGAGTGCTCGAACATGATAATGTGGACTCATAATTTGTTTGAGGAGCTGAAGCTCCGGCGGGCAAAGCAAACTATCTTGTTTGAGGATAACCAAGCTGCGATTAAGGTGATCAGTGAGATTGGCAGCAACTACAAGGTGCGCAGTGTGGATCTCAAGTTCCACAAGATTCTGGACTTCGTTGAGCGCAACGTATTCCGAGTCACGTACTGCCCAAGCGAGGACAACATTGCTGGCATCTTCACCAAGCCGCTAGGCCCACAGCAGTTCTGCAAACTGCGGCAAAGCCTGAATGTGTTGCCAGTACCCGACAACGCGTTGTTGCGCGCTCCGAGCAATAAGCTGACTTCAAGAGAGGTCAAGCAACACGAAGTGGGAGTGTGAACTATTGTGTGGCGGCAGTTGGGTTCTGTCGTGTCCCTGTTCCCCGTCGCAGTTGAAGCAGTGCTGCAGCTCACTTAAGTTTACTATTGTATACTCTAGCCTAGTGTAATGGAGGCTGCGCTGAGTGGGCGAACAGTGTGTTTGGCAAGTCTTCTGCGCTCAAAGCAACATATTTTCTAGGAGCACATTATATACGAATGATCGAATTAGGCGCTAAGGACATCTCAGCGCATTGCTGATATTTTTTCCCGAGATACAAGGGTGTTTGGTATCGCGAAATTTAGACCACGGCTCTAACTTTTAGTGAACGACTTGTATTGCAGGACTTGTCGACACTCGCATCGATTATTTGATCGAGCATTTACTGTACCGTATGAGAATCTTCTTTTCATTTTTCTTTCCTGTACAGTGCCAGCGTGAAGATTTGTTTCCTAGATCATCGCGGATTCCATTGCCAATTTTTGGCAATGGTTGGGTTCACATGTCAGAAATACGAAAAACAATAATTGATCTAAATCAGGAGAAGAGGGCACTGACCAGATTTATTGGAGATAGCGCCCAAGCCACGGCAGGGTCGTAGCAATCCACGACTGTATGCGGTGAGACCCGATGAGCTGGCACCGACGGGGCCGGTAGGCCCCGCTATCTCCGGCGAGTTTCGGCTATCTCCGGCGGAGCGGCTCGAAGAGTCGCTCCACTCTAGATAAATTCGGCGGATCAACAATTGGGCCCGATGTGCGAGCAAGCTAGCGGTGATTTAGAACGAGATCCCGACGGTATCCCGCTCAATGAGAGAGGAAGATTGGTACAACAGGCTCTAGACACGTGTTCGTTCCCACCTCAGATTGTCTTTCCTGAATCTGTATCGTGTGGAGCAAGCTTGGCTTCGTTTTTTTCTCGGCCGGTGTTGGTGTGGGTTCCAGAAGCAAGAAGACGATGGAGGCGTCCGTTCTGTGTGGTGCCAGGATGTCAATGTGAGCCTAACGTGAAAGAGAGGAAGCAGCGTGTCATTGAGGACGTCGGATACAAGTATAATGTTCTATGTGAAGTACCAGTGCACCCGCAAAGTTGCAAGCGGAAAGGCCAGGACGTTTTCAACGTTGAGCTCTAGCTTTCTCGAGGCTAACCCAGACGTGGCAGTACATCTCCCGTTCGTCATTAGCAAGAAAATGGGGTTTTCTAAGGGGTTAATGGAGCACGTTCATGAAGGAATTCTCTCTCCCAATGGATTATCGCGTGCTTTGAGTCACTTGGAGAGACGTCGACGCAACACGTACTACGAGTTGCTCTCAAAGTTTGTTTATGCAGTCGATCCCGCCCACCGTCGATGCATACCTGAAAAAATACAAGGTGGTGTCACAAAGCTCAATGACCGACGCCTGGTTGGCGTACACTGAATTATATGGCTCTCTGTGTGAAGTAGTAATGAAGCAGACCAAAGTGAAGAAGGTCCTGCG